TGGGGTGAGATTTACACTTAGTGCCATCCAAAATGGGTAATTACTGATTAGAGTAATAATATGTACCCCACATTGAGGATATATATATATATATATATATATATATATACACCCATATATATATGCAACAAATAAAGGGTTCTATTGATCAAGTTCGTGTTTCGATGAGCACTCTTTACTAGTCCTCATGTGTGGTCGGTCGATACATGGATGTCCAGAGTCATTAAGTTGGATGTCTGAGTCAGACAGTCGATTATCAGACGTCGGTCATGAGATGACCATCTCGTGCATCCTAAGTATGGTGTTTTCCAACTTCCAATGAATGCACCAAAAGAAGGAGAGAAAAAAAGGAGATTAATTACCATGTCGGATGATATGAACAACCAGCTGTCTGGTACGACGTCTAACCTAGCTAGCTCGCGCGCAAGGCCTCATCGAACTCATTCTCTTTTTTTTTTTCCACGTACAACAACGATCATATATGTCTACAAAATTATAAATCCCATCTATCAACAGCGCCAACACTAAAATAAGACAAAGAAATTAAGCAACCAACAGAGAGAACATGTCAGGGAAAGAGACAAATGTATGTGTAGAAATTAATTACTGACATAAATACAGCACATGGATTTATATTATTCCTGGAACGACAACTTATGTGTTAGGTGAAAATCGACTTCCCAAAATTCATCATGCATTCAAACTCAAATAGGTAAAAGTTTAAGGGACCAGGTGGAAATTTGGTGTGGAGAGGGTCAGTGACAGTGAGTGTGCTAATTTTGGGAGGACTTCAGTAATAATATCAATAATTGCTACCTAATTAGTTAAATTTGGGTTTTATTATTGTTTTTGTGTGTGGAAAATATGGGCCTAAATATGTGAGATATATATGTATGTAGTGCAGATTGAAATGGACAGTGAAATTGTCATCTTCTTTCTAGCCATTTTGCTCTCTTATAGTCTTATATATGACATGATTGTTCCATATGTATTCCAGACAGATAAATTCAGTCTGTCTTCCACTAGCTAGAGCTGGACATCAATGGGAATTGATCAGTGAAAAGTTGGAAGCTAGCAATGCATATTCTCATATGCAGAACGTTGCACACACATAAACTTATCGGGCATACAACTAAATGATATCGTTGATCATGATTTTCGTAAGCATGTAGGATTTTTCCTATTAGGGGATCCGGCGATTACCCCGATCTGATTTTCGGTGAAGGTTTTGCGGATTAATGAAAAAGACTTCAACAGGATCTGAATAGTTGATCAGGGCCTCCTTTTACGGAGTAAAATTCTCTCTCAATAGTCCTATTGTATATTATGATCGATAACGGGGAATTATTGATCGAAGAGAGTTTTAACCAACACTAGGCAATCAGAGAGTGAACGATAGATGAGCTCCTAACTAGCTAGAAATCATGTGCATGTCATAGCTAGCAACCATATTCTAGCTAGTTTAAGAGTTATTTAATTACAACAACTATAGAAGCTACCAGCTGAATGTAAGAATAAAACCGACAAACAAGCGAGAGCCATCACAGTGAACTCGTTCGGCTAGAACTTCAACGATTACTTATACGATAACAATTAGTTAATGACTTAGATCATGTGGGTTTTGGTCAATTTGAAACCCTAAAAAAAATATGTAGACAATAATGTGAAAGTTTCTTTTTGAAACATATCCCCTAGCTAGCTTTGAATCCAATGTAGCTTCCTTCTACTCCATTGCCTTCTCCATCAATCCATCGTGTAGTAGGTACCAATACTAACCACCAAAGCACATGCTGAGAAAATTTGCGTTTTATAGAGAGACTATATATGGCAGCAGTTGTTCTCTATCACACGCCATTGACTGAAAGCAATACAGAGAGGGATTTATGGGGGAAAAGCTCAGGGAGATAAGGGCTTTGGACTTTTCAAAAATGTACCAAAACTAAAACATTCCAAAAAATATGGTTTCAAAAGTGAGGGCCCTGCTTATTGAATTCTTACCCTATTCCCCTCTTCAATTGGATTAGGTGGAAGTGAAACCCAAAATGGAAAGAGGGCCAAAAGATGTCAAGAACAAAATGGGTTAATTAGGTTCTTGATCCGAATTGTCGTGTAAGGTTCTGATTAGCGTAAATGATCGATAAGCAACTCATTTCATAACCCACTTGATTCAGATCAGGAATGTTAGTCACTTGGTAGAGCACACCCAACCATGCATATAATCTATACTTTGTCGATCTGATCGATAGCATATAAGGTTTTTGTCACCTTTTCTATTAACTTTAGACGAGTCAAAAGTATCGCGCGAGGATGGACAGTTCAGATGAAACATGCTGAAAAGAGTGAAAATAATTGTAGTTATTTCATATTTTCATCGACAAGTATGCAAAGATATCGAAATTCAATAACCGAATTGTTAGTAAAGCCAAATTTTAGTGACCTCTCATGCAATTGGCCAAAGAAGAAAAGTATGGGAAGTAACTCTAGTTAGTGCAAGAGGAGTTGTTGGTTCATGTTCAGTGACAGCTAACAATTCCTGGTAATGGTGAGATTAAAATTTCCTGGCTGCTGTTCTACAGAAAGAGTGTTAATTAGAAGACTTTTGGAAGCCAAAAGAGAGCATAAAGTCTATGTTTATAATTGGAAATACAGAAATTGTGGCCATGTTGATTTATTGAGAGTTTTTTTTTTTTTTTTTCAATCTTTCCATGTTGTCATCAACCATTCAGCCGCCCATTGTTTTAATTTGGGATATATATTGATGGTTACATGTTCAATCCACCAATCATGCACAAATGTGGCCAACAAGTGAATTTATTATATATCTTTCCCATCTCTGCCTTCTGTAAGTTTTGTTTGCCTTATTTGGATCACTTAACTTAACTTATTACTTTAAGAATTTCTGTGAAAATAAATGGGATATAGATAACAAATATATGTTCCAATCTTCCATGATGCATACTCATATATGTTTGATAATATTCAAAACAATCTGTATATGGGTTTCTATACGTCGAGATTTATGTCTATGATCTTAGCTGAAAACTGAACGAGCAGATAGAAATTTGTGTGTGATTCAAGTCGAATATAGTGAAGTGATTTTTGTGTTGTCATCAATATATGAAAATCAGAAAAATTGTGGAGGTCTTATATCTATATGTGGAAGTTAGTCTCGATTTTGATATCTCGAAAATTGAGTGGACAAACTAAAAATTTATTTGATTCAAGCCGACCATATATTGTTTTTTTATATATTTCGAGGTCGGTGTCGATGCGCTTAGCCAGAATATTTCGTGGACATATTCAAAATTCGTCTGACTCAAACCATATTAGAGTTTCTATTGTATATACGGAAGCAAGAAATTTGTCGAGCTTTTATATATGTCAAAGTCACAGTTAAGATGATGTTATCTTGAAAGTTGAGTGTGCAGACTAAAAATTCGTGTGTTTCAAATCGACCTTATTAAAAAGTTTATTCCATCGTTGTTGATACAAGAAAAAGGAAGTTGCCTCTCAACAAACATTTGCATGCATATGATTCAATTTTGTACATGGGTAAAAAAAGTAAAATGGGGTGGGGAATAGTTCATGAGCATGCCAATAACCTTTTACTTTCCCCTTGTCTCAAGACACATATGATGTGGTCCATTGATGAAGAACTCCATCATGTTTTATCTCTCAAGTCAACAAAAGGCTCTAAAATAACAATATACTCTGTCACACCTTTTCTCTCTTCAAATACGAATTTGAATATCGCACCAAACCTGATATACGTAGTCATCATGAATATACTTTTTTAGTATTCTCATCTGTAAGATAATGATTGTGATGCACACATTCAAATACGAAAAACTCATACAAATCACGTCGATCCGATTCTCGATTCAATAAAGGCATATACAAGCCAATCCGAATTCTTTTTGCCTCCTCATTGTAAGTAGTGTTGCCCCATTATAAGGACACCCACCAAATTGGACCCAAAACATAAAAGAGAAGAAGAAGAAGAGAACAGAAAAAAAGAAAAGGCTGCAATATCCCACTTGATTGTTACTCCCACATGCTGTCATCTCCCATTATTGAGAAAATCACATGCTATACTTCCATCCAGTATTATATGCTAATTAACTATAATCCAGTGCTCCCTCGAGAAAAATTCAGATCTTCCAGTATATTTTGCTCTCAAGATGCAAAGTAATTAGAGGCAAAGAAACCCTTAATTAGGATTAACGTGTGTGGCATTAAGCATAACATAACTGGGATTTCTCCTGCAATGGCATTAATTAGGATTAACATAACAGATGTGGCCTACAATATATAATTGTGAGGAGCATGGTAAGGTTTTGGGCAGTGGGAGTTTGCCACTTGGATGCCTGAAATACAAGCTCTTAATTAATTAGACGTATTTTTGTTTGTTAATTATGATCAAAATGATTCCCTTAAATCTAGAGCCTTGATCACCCCAGATCAATGTGGATTAGACATGGTCTAATTATAATTAATTAATAACATCATCAATATATAATGAAACTTAATTAAATCAATTTCAATCGATTCCATCTTCAATTTTCTTCAAAATTTTCAAACTAATTATCTTAGTATTTTGTAGGGAAGGTGCGTGGAAGATAAGATCACCTTGCATATTTAGGGTGGAAAAGAAAATTAAGATCAATTGTAGTAATTAAGAACTAAGAATACTCTAAGAGAGTGGAATCATTAAAAAAAGAGACTTCCAAAATTTCTATTCAATTAAAATGATTAGTAGTTGAAGATGAGCTTTCTGAAATTCAAACAAGAATTCATCATCCAAAAGGCCAGCTAATTAACTACCCAATTTGCCACAAGCAAATCGCAATCAAAATCGTCATTTTTTTCTTCAAATTAAAATACAATTAACACAATTAAATCAAAATTATAATTTGGTGCCAATATGACAGCAACTCCTTAACGACTTGGCTTCTATATATACTCTTTATTTCATGCAATCTTAATCCACTCCTCCCCAACTAAAACCCACTTCCCCTTCCACTTCCCGGCGACCAAAAAAATGGCGACCTCTTCTGGCGGCCGCCGGTGGCCGCAACTAGCCTTGGCATTAGCCTTGGCTTTTGTAGCAATTGGTATTAGCAATGTGGCCGGAGACCCATATGTTTACTCTTCTCCTCCGCCACCATACATCTACAAGTCCCCTCCACCTCCTTCTCCTTCCCCTCCGCCGCCGTACGTCTACAAGTCGCCGCCGCCGCCTTCCCCGTCGCCTCCTCCGCCTTACGTCTACAAGTCTCCTCCTCCTCCCTCGCCGTCGCCACCGCCACCATACTACTACAAGTCACCTCCTCCTCCTTCACCATCTCCACCACCACCTTACGTCTACAAGTCACCGCCACCACCTTCACCGTCGCCACCTCCGCCGTATGAGTACAAATCTCCTCCTCCTCCTTCACCGTCGCCACCGCCACCATACGTCTACAAGTCTCCTCCTCCTCCTTCCCCGTCACCACCGCCACCATACTACTACAAATCTCCTCCTCCTCCTTCACCGTCGCCACCGCCACCTTATGTCTACAAGTCTCCTCCTCCTCCTTCCCCGTCACCTCCACCTCCATACTACTATAAGTCTCCTCCACCGCCGTCTCCATCTCCTCCTCCACCATACCACTACTCCTCTCCACCACCACCCAAGAAGTCGCCGCCGCCACCATACTACTACAAATCTCCACCCCCACCGTCACCTTCACCTCCACCACCGTACTACTACAAATCTCCCCCACCACCGTCACCTTCTCCTCCTCCTCCATACTACTACAAATCCCCTCCTCCGCCGTCCCCATCACCGCCGCCGCCATACTACTACAAGTCACCTCCACCACCGTCTCCATCTCCTCCTCCGCCGTACTACTACAAGTCACCACCACCACCCGAAAAGTCACCGCCGCCACCATACTACTACAAATCTCCTCCTCCACCGTCGCCATCTCCTCCACCACCATACCACTACTCCTCCCCACCACCACCCAAGAAATCGCCGCCGCCACCATACTACTACAAATCTCCTCCTCCACCGTCGCCATACCCACCACCACCGTACCACTACTCCTCTCCACCACCACCAAAGAAATCCCCACCACCACCATACTACTACAAGTCCCCGCCGCCGCCATCACCATCGCCGCCGCCACCATACTACTACAAATCGCCACCACCTCCGGTCAAATCCCCACCATCTCCATACTACTACAAGTCCCCTCCGCCGCCCAAGGCATATTACCCTCCACCGTACCACTACTCCTCACCGCCACCGCCGGCCGTCCACCCCCACCACGTGGTCGTGAAGGTCGTCGGAAAAGTCTACTGCTACCGATGCTACGATTGGAAGTACCCATCCAAGTCTCACGATAAGAAACATTACAAAGGTAATTATAATTCTTGTTCAAATTTATTTATTATATATATTTCGAATCAACATAAAAATCTCCACCACATCACGGCATGTTTTTTGCCAAGTGGATTAAGTTAACTAATTCATGATTTCATATTACTAATTAGCAATTAATTAAACAAATTCGTTATGCGGGATTAGGTAGAGGTCCTGAATTTTTGTTGTGTTGACTTATACTTAACGACTACGATAGCGACGCTAATTTTTAAAATTTATCATTTGCGACGAAAATTTTGTCCACGTCAGGTGCCACGGTGGAAGTGACGTGCAAGGCAGGGAAAGAAGAGATCAAGGCGTACGGCAAGACGAAGATCAACGGCAAGTACAGCATCGCCGTCGAAGGGTTCGAGTACGGCAAATACGGAGCCGGCGCGTGCACGGCGAAGCTCCACGCGCCGAAGAAGGGGACCAAGTGCAGCGTCCCGACCAAGCTCCACGGCGGCAACAAGGGCGCCATGGTGAAAGTGAAGTCCAAGACGTACGACGAGGTTGTCCTCCAGGCCAAGTCTTTTGCTTACGCGCCCAAGAATGCTTATTCGGACTGCGAAAAGCCCAAGCCCAAGCCCACTCCAACTCCCTACTACTACAAGTCCTTCCCCGTCACCTCCACCACCATACTACTATAAGTCTCCTCCACCGCCGTCTCCATCTCCTCCTCCACCATACCACTACTCCTCTCCACCACCACCCAAGAAGTCGCCGCCGCCACCATACTACTACAAATCTCCACCCCCACCGTCACCTTCACCTCCACCACCGTACTACTACAAATCTCCCCCACCACCGTCACCTTCTCCTCCTCCTCCATACTACTACAAATCCCCTCCTCCGCCGTCCCCATCACCGCCGCCGCCATACTACTACAAGTCACCTCCACCACCGTCTCCATCTCCTCCTCCACCGTACTACTACAAGTCACCACCACCACCGTCCCCGTCTCCTCCTCCACCATACCACTACTCCTCCCCACCACCACCCAAGAAATCGCCCCCGCCACCATACTACTACAAATCTCCTCCTCCACCGTCGCCATCTCCTCCACCACCGTACCACTACTCTTCCCCACCACCACCCAAGAAATCACCGCCGCCACCATACTACTACAAATCTCCTCCTCCACCATCACCATACCCGCCGCCACCGTACCACTACTCCTCTCCACCACCACCAAAGAAATCACCGCCGCCACCATACTACTACAAGTCCCCACCGCCGCCATCACCATCGCCGCCGCCACCATACTACTACAAATCGCCACCACCTCCGGTCAAATCCCCGCCATCTCCATACTACTACAAATCCCCTCCGCCGCCCAAGGCATACTACCCTCCACCGTACCACTACTCCTCACCGCCACCGCCGGCCGTCCACCCCCACCACGTGGTCGTGAAGGTCGTCGGAAAAGTATATTGCTATAGATGCTATGATTGGAAGTACCCATCCAAGTCTCACGATAAGAAACATTACAAAGGTAATATAATCAATAATTCATTTCCCCTTTTTATTACTTCATATTAAATTATAATTCTTGTTCGAATTTATTTATTAAATACATTTCGAATCAACATAAAAATCTCCACCACATCACGGCATGTTTTTTGCCAAGTGGATTAATCTAACTACTTCGTATTTAATTAATTAAATTCGTTATGCAGAATTAGGTAGATGACGTGAATATTTGTTGTGTTGACTTATATTTAACGACTACGATAGCGACGCTAATTTTTTTTACGTTTATCATTTGCGACGAAATTTTTGTCCACGTCAGGTGCCACGGTGGAAGTGACGTGCAAGGCCGGGAAAGAAGAGATCAAGGCATACGGCAAGACGAAGATCAACGGCAAGTACAGCATCGCCGTCGAAGGGTTCGAGTACGGCAAATACGGAGCCGGCGCGTGCACGGCGAAGCTCCACGCGCCGAAGAAGGGGACCAAGTGCAGCGTCCCGACCAAGCTCCACGGCGGCAACAAGGGCGCCATGGTCAAAGTGAAGTCCAAGACGTACGACGAGGTTGTCCTCCAGGCCAAGTCTTTTGCTTACGCGCCCAAGAATGCTTATTCGGACTGCGAGAAGCCCAAGCCCAAGCCCACTCCGTCTCCTTACTACTACAAATCGCCGCCACCGCCGTCTCCCAAACCTTACTACTACAATTCTCCACCACCGCCGTCGCCGTCTCCTCCCAAGCCTTACTACTACAAGTCACCTCCTCCACCGTCGCCGTCACCGCCTCCTCCTTACTACTACAAGTCTCCACCACCACCGTCGCCGTCTCCACCCAAGCCTTACTACTACAAGTCACCTCCTCCGCCGTCGCCGTCACCGCCTCCTCCTTACTACTACAAGTCGCCACCGCCGCCGCCTAAGAAAGCACCTGCACCGACGTACTACTATAAGTCGCCACCACCACCGTCGCCATCTCCTCCCAAGCCTTACTACTACAAGTCTCCTCCGCCACCGTCGCCATCACCACCGCCTCCATACTACTACAAGTCTCCTCCGCCACCGTCGCCATCACCACCGCCTCCATACTACTACAAGTCTCCACCGCCACCATCACCGTCGCCTCCTCCGCCCTACGTGTACAAGTCACCACCGCCACCTAAGAAGGCACCGGCACCAACATACTACTACAAGTCACCACCACCGCCGTCACCGTCGCCTCCTCCTTACTATTATAAGTCGCCACCACCACCGTCTCCATCGCCGCCACCAACATACTACTACAAATCACCACCGCCGCCATCACCGTCTCCTTCTCCGCCTTACTACTACAAGTCCCCGCCACCACCATCGCCTTCACCTCCGCCTCCGTACTACTACAAGTCTCCACCACCACCATCTCCATCACCGCCGCCTCCTTACTACTACAAATCCCCACCGCCACCGTCTCCCTCGCCGCCACCTCCTTATTACTACAAGTCCCCACCACCACCATCACCTTCGCCGCCACCACCTTACTACTACAAGTCTCCACCACCTCCCTCGCCGTCGCCACCACCACCATACGTCTACAAGTCACCTCCTCCTCCTTCGCCGTCACCACCACCACCGTACTATTACAAATCTCCCCCTCCTCCCTCACCATCTCCTCCTCCCCCGTACTACTACAAGTCTCCACCACCACCGTCACCATCTCCTCCTCCACCATACTACTACAAATCTCCACCACCTCCCTCGCCGTCGCCACCGCCTCCTTACTACTACAAGTCTCCCCCGCCACCATCTCCATCACCTCCACCACCATACTACTACAAGTCCCCACCTCCACCATCACCTTCGCCGCCACCTCCATACTACTACAAATCGCCGCCACCTCCCTCACCGTCGCCTCCTCCACCATACTACTACAAGTCCCCACCACCTCCTTCACCGTCGCCACCTCCGCCTTATGTCTACAAATCACCTCCACCACCGTCCCCATCCCCACCACCACCGTACTACTACAAATCTCCCCCACCACCGTCGCCTTCACCGCCTCCTCCTTACCACTACAAATCTCCTCCACCACCATCACCGTCTCCTCCTCCCCCATACTACTACAAATCTCCTCCACCACCGTCTCCATCACCACCACCGCCATACTACTACAAATCTCCTCCTCCACCATCACCCTCACCGCCGCCTCCATACCACTACAGCTCTCCCCCACCTCCGTCACCGTCTCCTCCCCCACCGTACTACTACAAGTCTCCACCACCACCGTCTCCATCTCCACCACCTCCCTACCACTACAAATCGCCACCGCCTCCCTCACCGTCGCCTCCTCCACCATACTACTACAAGTCTCCACCTCCACCGTCGCCCTCTCCCCCTCCTCCCTACTACTACCACTCTCCTCCCCCGCCGGTGAAATCTCCTCCGCCGCCGGCCTACATCTACGCTTCTCCCCCGCCGCCGACTCACTACTAGGTCCGAAAGGTCCGATCGGGTACCACAAGCAATCATGTAAGTCAAACTCTCCAAATTAGTGAAAATTCAATTATATTGATGATCATCACTTTCTCTAATGTAAATCATCTTCATGCAGATTTTAGATTTGAGGAAGGAATAAAAGAAGGCTCCATTAATGGTCATCATCTAAAGGCTTGCAACCCAATTAGTCAACTACCCTATGGTTCCAATAATGTTCACCAACATGCTTCAGTTTCCATGGCCGCCATCCTTCACATTGCAATCTTGCTGTGTTCTTCATCATCATCATCATCAAGTGGAGTTTGGTTCAAGAGACGGTTGAATTTGGGTGGGGAGTAATTGAGGAGCAACGCGATTTTAAATTAATTTAAGTTCTGAATTTGATCATTTTGGGTTTTTGGATGAGAGTCCTTTTGGAGGGAAGGGTTGTTTTCAATTGGTGTATGTAATTTTTAATGATTTTTAGTTCCCGGGGTAATTAATTTGTAATGTGGGCTTCTACCCTCTATTTAAAATTGCTATGTGTATTATTATGATTATCCCTATAAGTTATATAATGTTGTGGGGAAGAGGTGAGAATGTAATTGTTTGTAATAAGATTGAATCTATTTCATATATTGCTCCATGTTTTCTCTCCTCTTCTTGGGAAATTCGATATTAATATCGGGAATAATTAACGATTACAATATGTTTATACTGATTAATGATAACGTGATATTTATATATTTTACGATGAAACTACCTCATTATTTATATTATAAACGTTACGTTATAGCTTCTTTTATTATTATTCGGCTCTGAGGTTGTCATGGAGGCAATCGATGGACCACATATGGTTGTCATATTTGCAAGTGCTTTAGTTTCCCCCACTATGGCAACACAACAAATTATAAATGTCACCCTTTCACAGCTATGTAACAGAGTAATAATAATTGAAAATGAATGGAAGCCTTTTTTTCTCTTGCATAGTGCATTATGGGTTGTCTTCCCACTCACTCAAAACGTTTTATATCTACAAAAAAAAATTAGGGGTTCGAATTGCAAGTTGCCTACTGAATTCATGGGAATTTTGCCTGAGAAAATATTTGTGTTGGTGATTCGTTGGACCACATGCAAATAAGATTCTAAATAGGTGGGATAGTTGGTCAAAGTACGTATAGTTTAGGACCTTTTTTTCATGTGAGCAAATTCCTAGAGCTCTAAGGGCATCTCGAGGGTAAACCTTGGTCGTCATAATAGTAATTTCTAAGGCGCTTTTGTGTCTCATATCGGTGAAAAGTTCTTTAAGCTCTATTGGGTTAGGTGTTTGGGAGTCGTGGTTACGGGATATTCGAATTCGATACATTGTTCAGATGATCTCAACACCATAATCATATAAGCTATATATGAACCAAGCCGATAGCTAATGTTGGAGCTCTTTTGGTCTTGTTGGTTTCGGGAGAGCCTACAATGGAGTTTTAATACATGGTCGTTATACTTGGACCTGCAACTTTTTCGAGTGAGTCCAATATCACCTCAAGTAACCATTATTATATTTGAACTTGCGATGTTTATCTATCCATTAAGAAAAGTAGACGTCACGATTGTAAAAAATCTTGGATACAAAGATCATTGTTAGGATTTTGCAAACATTTTGCGATGAGACTATTGAAGCCAGAAAAATTCAACTCAATCTTTAGTAATATGACCGGATCATATCTCGAGGATGTATATTGCACGTATTCAAGTCGTTTGTATTAGAAATTTTCTAACTCGAAACTTAATCCTAAAAACATTTTGTACCCATTGACTTTATGCTAGCACCAAAGTATTTTAATTCATTAGAAAGTGAAATAATTGGAATGACCAATTTGACATACTCAAAATATTGATACATGTCATATCACATATGGTTGTTGGTAGCTATTCGTTTTCGACCTGAATTTATCATATGTAACCATTAGTCAGCTGGCTTAACTATAGCTTGACGTGCATGTTTGTTTTTAACCCTTAAAACATAGACAACATCAAACAATCCCGTATAAAGCACAACTTTCCTGTAACGGTAAAATTGCTGAGGTAAAAGGCAATGTGATAACTCAATTGATAAAGCTACCCAATTTCTGCAAAGAGACATATTTACATTATACCATAGTTGTTGAACTCACATTTAATTTCCATGTGATCATCTTTTTCAACCACCCTTTTTCTTGCATACTTAGAACTTTGTCAATGGAGCTCATATTGGGAAACTACAGCTAGCCAGAGGAAAAAGCCATAACAAGAGGGAATTGTTCTTGCTTTGCCAAATTTCACTTTGTTCAGATTTGTGGGTCGTGATAATCCAACCTAATTATTCGATCCTACATTGGGGATGAGCAATCCCTGCAATGCAATAACCCCCTAGATTTACAGGCATTGACGCTTGAGACTACACTCAGACAATCGAGTAAGTGATAGTTTTCATCTCAAAAGAATGTACTCGCAACGAGTTAGATTCTTAATACTGGCATTCACAGAATGTACTCAATCGATAGAAATCGAACTAATCACCTTATGATTCGTTAATTAATGAGTTGACATTCTTAATGAGAAAGCATTCAATACTCATCATCATCATCATCAGAGGCTAATTAGTTATATAGCTAATAAGAAGCACTTCACAAGCTGCTATATTAATTACCTCTCATTATCTGCGGTTCTACATTTAGATACGGGACGAAGAGAGCAGGTGAAGAAACCACAGGTGGGATGTCATTATCAATCCCTAATCAGCAGCTAATTATGTATATGCAAGTAACTCAAATGAATAAATGACCTCATCAACATTTTGTCCAAACTTCAAAAGTATGCACCATTGCCACAAGTAAATTCAACTCATGTCGCTGTTGTGCTGTAACTAATTTCACAACTTCAAAAGATTACCAAAATAGGGTTATACCAACATAGAACAGGAAAAAGGAAAGAAAAAGCAGGTTGCAGAAACACCAGAGGAAACAGTAGATCAAGCAATTTCACATTCCACAACCATAATTCCAAGTAAGGAAGCAATCAGACGATTCCCTAGAGGTTTCAATGTTGCAAAAGCTCTGTTGAGTGATCGTGTAGTATACTTTTGCAGCAGTGTTCATCATGTCCATGCAAATAGATGATCTAGTCGGGTTAAAACTACTTACCTCACCCGTGGCTAATTATCCATTCTGGGCGAAACTAAGGTCTCCATGTAGATCACCTCGCGATTGTTAGGATCCGACAAACCTCTCGATCTAGGAAACCTGAAAGTGTTGTCCTTGGAATTGTAAATGAACAAATCAGCACCATTCTTCCATAGAGCCTCACCATTATCTGAAATATACAGTAGCACGAGTGACCGTGCATTGACCTCAAGCTGATCGACCCTGAACAGCTTAGTCCAAGATTCCGTAACTCTAGGCTCTGTCATCACCCATACCTCACATGAATTACCATCAAAACAAGTGAGACATAGACGGTCATCAGCAAATGATTCCAACTCCCAAAGAGTAGTAGCAGCCTCATCGAAATCAGGTAGCTTCACCTTGTTAAATTTCTCTGTTGCAAGGTCAAGTGAGAATAGGGTGTCCTTCCGCTCGAGATCCCCTGCATCAAAACTGCGCACTTTGTAGTAAAGTCGGCCAGCAGCAAACTTCCCATTCCCAATAGGAATCCCATGCTTGAAATTATCAATCCTCCTCCAGGATGTAGTACTGAGAGCAAAGACTTTAACTTGCGTTTCGAACTCATCATGCCGAGTACAATTCTCAGCTGGACAGGAGATCATCGTTACCACCTTGTAATCATCAAGCTGACAATCATAACCAAATCCAGAAACCCTGCTAATCTCAAACATCTCTTCAGTTGAAGCAACATACGGCAAGTCGGGCAATTCCATGACGATTCCGGTAGATGGGTTCCATACAACCATCCTGGAGTACCACCCAACAGAGCATAGCATCCCATCGCATGACCCAACGGCCCAATCATCGCTGATAAAGTCTCGCTTCACCGTATCGACGAGTTCAACACCTTCGATTCCGGGGGCATTGTATAATGTGTCTAGCGACCACGAATGCAAACCCCAAGGGGGAGGATTCTGTTCGACACCGGATCGGATAACGCGCCGGACGAAGTTCAATGACCGCCTGAACAGCCGATCAACGCGATTCGGTTTGACAGCGGACAGCGCTTTCGTATTTCTTAGATGTGATTTAACGAAATCAGGACTGGAGATTAGGGTTTTGAACCATTTTGATACGGACCTGAATCGGAGCAGCGAATCGACGGGTATCCAGGTGAGAATCTCGACGATGAGATCCGGAGGAAGGACAGGCAAAGCCGCCGCTGCACTACCCTTGCCCGGATCGGATTTTCAAGCGACGGAGTCTCCATGAACTGAGCTCGATCGTGAAGATGGCGGGAGAACCGAAACTGGCGCTCGGTTAAGCCACGGTGGAACCGAAATGGTGACTTGGTTGAGCACTGGTGAAACCGAAATTTGGCTTCGGTTGACGAACGGGCTCGGCGGAATGGAAGGTCACCTTCTCCGGCGTGAAACAGGCGACGACGAGGAGCACGGACTGACGACAACTACTGGAGGCGCGCTTGACAGGGACTGGAGGCGTGGTGGACGGCGGTTAGAGGGCGTGGGGGCAGCGGATCGAACGCCGGCGTGGGGCGTGGCGGCGTGTCGGCATGACTGGTGGCGGCGTTCTCTGCGGCGGCCGTCTCTACGCAGAGAAGAGGTCGGGTCGAGGAGGAAGAGAAGAGTTTGGGAAGGGGACTGTTTGTTTGGTGTTTGATTCTGAATTTTAGAAAGGGTAATTTCGTAATTTAGGACGATGGTTAGTAAATTTTAGGACGACCTTTAACCATTCAGCTCACGAAATAGGGTCAAGTCAACTGAACTGGTAAGGGAGTTGATTTGAGGGGTTTACTTTACCGTCGCTGGGCTTCGTTAAATTCGACTTAAAACGGAAACCAGGCCCTAGAATAAATTGTCACGACCGAAAATTGGACCAGCCCAAGTTCGGGACCCAAAAGCCCAGCCCGGTTCCCTAATTGCAGAGTGAGATGTTCCCGCTTCACACTACAACCAACTGAATTCTAACCTCCTTCACTTCTCCACAATCCACATCCTTCTCCAAATTGCCATGAAACATGGTTTCATGGAGCTGTGTAGGGCTATGTGCAATGTTTAAGAAGATGCTAGGCGATATCTAGATGAGGAGGCCAGGTGAAAATCTCGACGATGAAAATCGGAGGAAGGATAGTCAGAAAGTTTTTAGCACTTACGCCAACTGAGTTCAGTTAGTTGAAACTTTGTCAACAAACATGATGAAGTTTTTTGGCTAAACGTCTCCATGAAAACAAGATAGAAGTGGTTTAATTTTCATCCATAGAGAAAAAGATAATTTCTTTGTAAGCTGCATCCAAATCGACTAATAACTTCTCCATGAAACCATTCTTAATTAACAAGAGTGCATGAGTATCATACATAATGTCTTAATTTAACAACTACTAGCAAGAGTACATGCTGCAATCACACGAACAAATCTAAATGAAATATGAACCACGAACCACCTTGCTCCTTTCGATCTACGATAGCATAGCATTTCCCGCCAACGTGATCTCGCAGGGTGGTCGAAATTCCAACCAGTGAAGCCTAATTGCTAACGGAACCTACAACTGGCAACAAGTTTTGAGTCAAAGGAAGTTATAGTAACATAATGAAGCTTGAAAGCAAAGTTAATAGCTACAAACAATGCAGAGCTGGATGATAATCAAGCTTGCGTGCAAAATTAGCATAACTACAAACAATGCAGAGCAGGGATCAAATTCATTAACGCATGATCTATTCGAGGTGAACCTACACCTACTTACCCCACTTTGCTAATGATCCATGTTCGGCGAAGCTAAGGTCTCCATGTAGATCACAGGAGGACCATCGCGATTGGACAAGCCTCTCGATGTAGGAAACCTGATAGTGTTATCCTTGGAATTGTAAATGAACAAATCTTCATCATTATCCCAAAGAACCTCGCCATTATCCGAAATATACAGTGGAGCATGTAACCCTGCATCTACCACAACCTGATCAACCCTAAACAACTTGGTCCAAGCATCCGTCACTCCAGGCTCCTTCATCACCCACACCTCACATGAATTGTCGTCATCAAAACACGCTACACAGAGACGATCAACAAACGATGCTAATTCCCAATGAGTACCAGCATCATCAAATGCAGGTAGCTTCACCTTGTTATACTTTTCTGTTGCAAGATCAAGTGAGACTAGAGTGTCCCTCCACTCTTTCCCTTCACCCACGAAACTCGGCACTTTGTAGTAAAGACAGCCGGCAACAAACTTTACTTCCGCATCCGACGGAACCCCATACTTAAAATCCCCAATCCTCCTCCAGGATGTAGTTCTCAGAGCAAAGACCTGAACTTGAGTTTCAAACTCTTCAGCTCTATTAGGATCTTCAGACGGATAGGAAATCACTACTACCACCTTGTAATCATCAAGCTGACGATCATAACCAAATCCGAAAACCTTGTCACACCTACGCATCTGTGACTCTGAGATCTCATAGTCGAAATCAGGCAATTCCCTCATAACTCTAGTAGATGGGTTCCATACCACTACCCCATGGTATAACCCTAGAACAGAGCATAGCAACCCGTCACACGACCCAGCAACCCAATCACCACCGTTGTCGACTCCTTCGCAGACGTTTACACGATGGGAAACTTCAATTCGGGGGCCATTGAATAAAGATTCGAGCGACCACGAATGCGAACCCCAATCAACAACTGGAGGACTCGGTTTGTTTTGGCGGTGGATATAGCCCCCGGACCCGCTGAATCGCCGTTCCGGTTGGATTAGGCGCTGGACGAAGTTCAACGACCGCCTGAACGCCCGATCCACGCGATTCGGTTTGACAGTGGACAAAGCTTTCATACTTCTCAGATGTGCTTTCACGAAATCGGGGCTGGAAATTAGGGTTTTGAACCATTTGGAGACGCACCTGAATCGGAGGAGCGAAACCACGGGTAGCCAGGTCAAAATCTCGGCGATGAGATCTGGAGGAAGGACAGGCGAAGGCCGCCGCCGCTGCGCTACGCTCGCCCCAATGGGGTTTTCAACCGACGGAGTCTCCATTTCGTTTCTCGGCGAACTGAACTGCGCTCGATCGTGCAAATGGCGGGAGAACGGTTTCTTTGCGATGGTAACTGCTGAGGAAATCGAATCGATATCAGGGGACAGGGTTTAGTGTTCGCTAGTTCTCGTTGGGCTTCCGGGAACCGGGCCTTGTAAGAAACTTGCACCGCGGGAAATTTGGACTCGGCCCAAAAAGTGGGCCTAAAAGCCCAGCTTTTCATGCAAAAGTGGAGAGAGAAAGAGAAAATCACGGAAATTAACCACGCACCAAACCCAACTCCCTTGACCCAACAACGACACCGACGCCTCTCTCTCTCTCTTCTGGCAAATTCGACGAACCCAGAAGAAAAACAAAAATTGGAAAAAAGAAAGAAAAGCAAAGATCCCTCATTTTGCCAGGAGAAATTACGCGCTCCCACCTCTCTCTCTCGTTGTCTCTCTAGCAGCCAGGTCGCGGCTCCTTCTTCCGCCTTTCCGCTGCGGAAATCGATCGTCGTCGTAGTCGTCGGCAACTCGTCGTGGTAATCTCCTCCACCGTCCGTCAGATCTCCGGCCTGATTCCGATTTCCACAAGCCGTTCATTCCTTCTATAACTTCCAATTGAGGTTCGGCTCTCTGCCTCTCTCTCTCTCTCTCTTTCTCCATTTCGAAAGATTTATCGACGTTCGAATTACGATTCCGCGTGATCCGATCTCCTAGTGGCGTTATCTCTGGTTTCAGCTCAGCTGTCTCCTGAATTGTACGGGAGTATGTTTTTTTTGTCTCTCTTGTTGATCGGAGATTGATGTCTGCGTTGCGTCTTTGTTTGGTTTCTGTGATTCGGATGCGATGATCGCCTAGCTCGTTTTTTTTGGTTTCGAGGAGTGATGCTTGGAGGGGGATCATCTGGCGAGATGCCTGCGGTTGTTAGTCTGGGAGATGCTCGTTGAGATTCTTTGCGTTTCTGTTGGTGTGCGAATATGGAATTGGATCTTATCGTACTTCTTTATGCTGCTGGTTAAAATTTAGTAGTGATTGGATCCCCGTGGTGTAAAATTGGGTCGATCATGCACGATGCATTATTTGCAAATGAATGGTTTGGTAATCCCTGGTAGTTCGGTTCAGTCTTCTGCTTCTGTTCTGAAGTTTAATGAAAACTTGAGCTGACCTTTATTAAGGTTTTTTTTTTTTACTTTTGGGTAGTTCATTGGCTTGTTTCTTTGGAGTTGGTAGCTGAGTCTTTAACTTTTCAGTTGCTAATATACAATTGTTGATCTGTATTGCAGCATTGATTGGAGGCTATCAATGAAGAAGGTCTTCGACCAGACTGTTAGAGACCTGTAAGTGACTTTTTCATTCTCAATTTCCAGTGGTAAATGTTTTTGTATTAACCTGTCACTGTATTGTGATGAAAGCTTGCGGGATATGGCTGATGCACTTGCTATCAGTTTAGGCTTGTTTAGATCGTCCGAGTTTTGATTATTCTTTCTATTTCTAGAGAATTCGGCATTTCAATTTATCTAATCATCATATATGGTATGTTATTTATTGGGTTTCCATTGTTCTTTTCCTTGTGCCTGTAGAAAGAGAGAGGTTAACAAGAAAGTGCTTAAAGTTCCTGGTATAGAACAGAAGGTAGGTCCCAAAGTTGATCTCAGAAAACTTTTGTGACAGTAGCATATGTGTTCTTTTCAAATTGAAAATCAAAACTTGGAAAACTTGGCTCTTTTCGTTTTTGATACTGCATTGCAACAAATTGCTGATAACTCCCACTTAATGGAGTTCTCATTATCCAATTTGTAGGTTCTTGATGCTACCAGCAATGAGCCCTGGGGTCCTCATGGATCACTACTTGCAGATATCGCACAAGCAAGCAGAAACTAGTAAGAATTCCTAATTTCTTTCTGTTGTTGCTGTAGATTAGATACTGAATATCAGGGACTGATGTTTCATCTATCTGTGCAGTCATGAGTACCAGATGATTATGTCAGTGATCTGGAAGCGAATCAATGACACAGGCAAGAACTGGCGACATGTCTACAAGGTTCGCACTATGCTGTATTGAATTTTTTGTGCCATCATGTGCACGATGCTATCTATATTTCCAAAATAAAATTATTGTGCACGTCCATTTACTAGTCGGTTGTTGATCCTGGTCCATTCTTCTTGTTTTTATTCAAGATATTACTGCTCAAGTATTTTTGTTTAGTCTGTTTATACTTAAATGCTACAAGAAGTTGGTGAATTTTGCTGCTTGATTTTGTTGGTAGATGTCATCAGTACTGTTATAAAATTTCTATTTGATACTGCATAGATACTGCATTGCAACAAATTGCTGATAACTCCTGTGATGGGTTTCAGGGGTTGACTGTTTTGGAGTATCTTGTGGCTCATGGGTCAGAACGAGTCATTGATGACATAAAGGAACATGGTTATCAAATATCGGTGAAGCTTCTATCTTCTTTGTTTTATTGCTCCAATGTTCGAGTTCCTTGATGCTTCTGTTGCAACTCTTTATGGTTGCGGCACATTACCTTATGGTGCCTAACCAGCTACTTTTTCCATCTCTGTTAGACATTGTCCGACTTTCAGTATATTGACTCCAGTGGGAGGGATCAGGGCAGCAATGTCAGAAAGAAATCTCAAAATCTTGTGGTTCTCGTGAATGATAAAGAAAGGATTGTTGAAGTCAGGGAGAAAGCTGCTGCGAACCGAGAAAGGTTGGTTAGTTTTTGGATAAAAGCTTGTGTTCTATTTAATAAGGCATTTTCTTTATGACATCCGAGAAGTTACTTGAATTTGTTATCTTAATTCTTACACAATAACATAAACAAAAGCAGAGAGTGGGAATTTAGCAGTTAGGTTATGACCTCATAATATATTACTAATTGTTGATGTCTGCAATTTATATGACAGGTTCCGCAGCCCATCGGCTGGTGGTATGTACAGGCCTGGTTCTCAATCCAGTGGAGGATATGCCGAACGGTACGATGATGATCGCTACGAGGGACGCTATGGAAGCAGGGATGAAGAGCGGAATGGATATGGTAGAGAAAACAATATAGGGATGATGACCGATATGGTAGATATGGCCGAGATGGAAACAGAGATGAAGAACGCTATGGTCGCGATGGATACAGGGATGACGATTACAGAGGAAGAAGTCGTAGCAATGACGGCTATGGTTCGAGAGGCAGGAGTTCTGATAGAGATAGAAGTCATGGTTATGATGACGATGGCCAATACTCATCTCGGTATTTTTGCAAGTTCCTTTATCAAGCTACTTGTCGCTATGTGTGTTTATGTGTTTGGATGACACCCAAAAAAATTTCAATATCTTTAACTAGTCAAAAAAGAGTGCAAATTCAAGACTTTTTACTTGTTCACACCTCATCATTTCGGGTTTCGGATTTTTGCTGAAGTTTTTCCTGTAATGTTAGTATTTCTAAATGTCGTGTTACAATTGAGTCATTACTATAGGTGTTTTCTACTGTGTTTCTCAAGATGATTAGGAGCGACATTTTTGTTTTTGAGTCGTGATATGTGCACACTTCAATTGCAACCCATAAAACAAGGCTTCTGAAGGAAGCTTAGGTACTATAAGTGAGCTGCTGAACATGTTGTATTTATATTTATGGCTGTTTTGTCCACAACTTTGACGTTTTCTCTGAAATCAAAGCGTTATTCACTGTGGATCATTGACATGAGATGGTTGATTGCTCCCTTTTTCCCCTGCAGTGGTGGTGCCAGAGGTGATGATCAATCTCAGGACGGGAGGTAACTTGCATCAGATATGTTCTTTAAATTATCTGCTCATAGGTGACCTGTATATGATTTTCTGTTTCTTGGAAATTTCACAGGCCCCTCGAGAGAAAGTTTTCCGAGCAAAATATTGGTGCACCCCCTAGTTATGAAGAAGCTGTGAATGATGCCCGTAGCCCTACACACAGTGAAAAGTAATTTGCTTTGCCGATAGCAAGCTCTCAGCTTCTGCTTCTCTGAATGTTTCTGACTTGATTTACCTTGATTTGATTTTCATCAAAAGGAATGGAGAAACTTCACCACCATCTGGCCCCGCAGCTTCCTCGCCTTCGGCCCCTCAATCTTCTTCTCCACCTGCTCCTCAAGCTTCTCAATCTGCAAGCAGTAGTGCCATCCAAGAACCCACTGGTGTCAGCTCGTCTGTGTCTCCAGCCAATCAGGAAGTGGTGGTAGACGAGTTTGATCCACGTGGTTCTTTTGCAGGTACATGATGTCATTTATACTTATGAATGCATTAATTGCTATGGGAATCTATCATGGAATATAGCCATTGGTGTTTATTTCGATTCTAGTTGAGAGCTTATGGTTTGATGTTCTCGATCTACAGCATTTCCAACTGCTGGAGCAGCTCCAGCTGCCTCAACTGCTCCTACAACCGTAAATAATGCTGAAATGGATTTGCTTGGTTCTCTCTCAGAATCATTTGGTCCATTAGCAATTGTTCCAGCTTCTTCTCCTACTACTACTGCGTCTGAAGCTGATATTCAGCCAAGTTTCTCAGGACCCTCATTTACTTCAGCACAGCCAACAGCTTCTTTTGCTAATCAAGTAAGGTCGAAGCATCCATAAGGATGTCATATATTTCTAGTATCAATGATGAAATACATAGATCGAAACGATTATCATGGTCTTAATGAATCTATGCTGAACTTTGTTTTCCATATCTCAAAATACGTGTATTCACTTTGATTTTTACAATGTTACTGGTTTAAATATTGAAATGCAAACACAATTTTCTCTTGCAGGGGTTTGAAGATCCATTTGGGGAAACTCCCTTCAAGGCTGTTCCTTCTTCAGAACAACAAAATCAACCTTCTGTTTCTGCTGCGCCATTCCAGAATTCTGTGAACCCATATGCTGAACTGCCACATCCATCTGTTTCCAACGCAGAAATGGAGAAGAACTCGCCCTTTGGTGATGCAGCCTCTAGCTTGACTTATTCAGCACCTAATTTTCAGCCTGCATCAACTAACTCTCAGTTTTTACCTCAAGAACTGTCCTCCTCAAGTCTAGAAACCGATATACTGGCTGATATCCTCCCACCTTCTGGTCCATCCATAGCCCCACCACAGGCCGGATTTCCAGCTCAAACCGCGCAAACCTCATTCCCGGCTGGGAATGGTTATGGAAACTTCAATTCGCAAACAGGACAAACAGTCCCAGCTGCTCCAAACATGGCCCCTCCAAGTTCACAGTTCGGTGGCGGTCATTTTCTGCCGCAGGGAGGTTCCATGGGTCCCACTACACAGAACATGGGACAGCCTACACAGTTCAACAATGGGAACTTACTTCCACAGCCGGGGTATGGGGGGCCACCTCAACAGATGGCAGCTGGACCCTCTGGACAACTAAATAATGGAAACATGTTCCATAACCCGAACACTACCAGCTCAATGCCTTCACAAGTCCCTTCTTTTACGCCCTCTGCTCATCAGAACACGGATGGCTTAGGTGGTTTGTTTGGACAGGGATCGAGTGCTCCAATGCCTCCCCAGCAAGTTAGTCAGACTTTGGCTTCTCAGCCCAGTCTCTCTTCTTCTACTGGGGCCCTTGTTCCTGTTCAGCAACCATCCAAGGACAAATTCGAAACCAAATCCACAGTTTGGGCAGATACACTCAGCAGAGGGCTAGTCAACTTGAACATATCAGGGTGTAAGTACTTGTATTTAATTTGAAAAGTTATATTCAGTGTGTTAGTTTTAGTATTTGCCTTAATTCAACTGCTTTTAAATTATGTTTAAGGTTTATTAAGAGAGAATGAAAATGTGTTTGGGAAGGTTTAGAAAAGAAGTGATGGTATACAGAACACTTTTAGTTACCAAAAAGTAATTGAAGATGATTCAATGGTGTGTTTTACATGGTGCAGCCAAGACCAATCCGTTGTCAAACATTGGAATAGATTTCGACGCAATTAATCGCAAGGAGAAGAGAATGGAGAAACAGCCAGCCACTACTGCAGTCACGTCTACTATCACTATGGGGAAAGCCATGGGGTCTGGTTCTGGAGTCGGCCGAGCTGCGGCTACTGGTCTGAGGCCAGCCTCAAACCAGATGATGGCCCCCGGCATGGGTATGGGCATGGGTGGCGCTCCGGGCATGAGTATGGGAGGGGGTCCAGGCATGGGCATGGGTATGGCTGGTGGCCCTGGTCCGCGTATGGGTATGGGCGGCGGCCCTGGTCCGGGTATGGGTATGGTTGGCGGTCCAGGTTCGGGTATTGTCATGGGAGGCTACGGAGGGATGCCTCAGCAGCCCATGGGGATGGGAATGAACATGGGGATGAATATGGGAATGGGAATGGGATTGGGGCAGGGTCCAGCTATGCAGCAGCCTCAACGTGGACCACCGATGATGCCCGGTGGATATAACAATATGATGGGTGCAGGTGGCTACCCTCAACAGCCCTACGGCGGAAGAGGCTACCAGTGACGAGACATTCTAGTTGGCTCCCCTCCTTTGTCAGATGAGATCCCGTAGCCGTTGTTTGTACAAGACTCGAGGTAATGAATGCTCATTCATAGTCCAGAATCTTAAACCAATGCGGGGATTGATAAGTCCGAAGAAGTGCATCCTTGTCCCCTGTATGCAGTTCGCATGTTTTTTGACTGACAATTGGTGATCTCGCTAGAGATTCATGCGATGTGGTTGTTTCTTATATGGTTTGTGTATTCATTTATTCCCCCTTCTATTTGCTTACCATTTTGTCATTCATTGTTATTTGGGGTTGAGAATAGAGTTGAGGAAGAAGTACTGTTGAATTGGTTTTTTTGAAGATGAGTCTCTGCAGCTTGTAATATGCTTTCCTGCTAAACGAACAAGGTCCTGAAGGTTTGGTAGCCATATTCACCTTTGCTTTATTTTCCAGGTCTCCATTTTTCATTTCTATGTAACTGAGGTTTCATCTATACTTTATTGGCTCCTGGGTTTACCGAATGAGAACAATAAATCTGTGATAGTTTGTTGCCCTGCTTCAATTCGTTCCACCTCTTATTCGCTCTGCATTCGCTGTCCGCTGTAATGTCGATTTTCTGCTGATTGTATCCCTTTGGAGAGAATATTCAAGGTGCAATATATACCCAATCTTGTAGCTAAATATATATTCTGGTTTCTGGATTCGAAAATATTACAGCTTTTGGTTTGTTTCGTTCATGATGATTTGATCGATCCCACAACTTGATCCTGTATGCACGTTTTCAAAATTTGGTAGCGTTGTCGATAGCTAATTCTATTGAGGCTGCATCATAGCAATGGACAATCGTTCAAGTGATGCTAGAAACTTTGGTCGTATACCTTCTCAAGATTTATTAGTGCCAAAGGGTACAATTTTCACTGAGAAAGGAATGAACAATGACTCAGAATCACAATCTGATCAAGATCAGCTTCCAAGCCAAGTACAAGGTACAATTGCCTCGGTAGATTACTCGGATGAGTAAATTCGATCATCCTGACCCACGACTTTCATCTCCTTCATGCCTCTGCAATCTCTACTTTGCCGTCGAATCTTTGTTCTTGCACTTCCTGATGCAAACACAGCCATATAGCACTATTAGCAATATTTTCTCCCTGTCCTGACAATTCTTAGCCCGGAATAGACCTCATGGCTTTATTAGCTGCAGTCTCTAAATACTACGATGGTGGTCATGAACTCTCTTAATACTGTCAACAACTAGTGGGCTGCCAACATTTAGGAGGCTTCATCTCTCGGCCATTTCGACATTGCTATAAGATTAGGAACTAGTGATAGATCTCTTAGCTTACCAATTGAATCAATTATTCCACCCAACGCATAGCAAGAACAGACAGACAGATCTCTTTCGCGTCGTTCAACAGGATGAATTATGTCGAGAGCATAATCATATGTATCTCAGTCATGGCAATTCATATCAGTTTATACTGAAAGATCTTAGATGAGTATTTTTGCACTAACCTGGTAGCAAGGAGTCTTCCATCTTGCTTCGGTGAAGGCATGCAGATTAAAGAGTTCATTCTAGGAAGACTTGAATTCTGTCTCCTACTGTGTCATTGAAATCCAACAGCAGCTTGCCACCTGCTTCCCCGGAGGCTTGATCCAACAGTTCTTTGATGTTGACACCTCCCAAAGCTGTTCCACAAGAGACAACAAAATGACTAATCTGTTCATTCAACGATACTATATGTTCACTTAATACAATGGACAGTGGAATATTTACCAGGCACTATGTTTGTTATCCCATCTAAGAACCCAGCCTGCACAGCATGATTGACAAGTTATTGTTAGAACTTGGGAGACATGATGCTACTGACAATGTTGCTGCTTCACAAATCACAAGAAGAGGAAGATAGTGAGACTCACGGGGATTCTGACGTCAAGTTTCTCAAACCCATCTCTGCCTGTTATCTTGACTCTCAATGTCCGAGACCAGATTCCAGAAAAGGGTCTAGAACCATCTGCACCATAGTTATTGTACACATCAGGAGTAATCACTTCCACAACAGGCTCTTGGGGACTTTCACTTCTTTGTTCTCTATCATCTTGAGCACTCCGTTGTATAGAATACACATTACTGCTCGCTGATGAACCTACAGTTTATAGGAGTGAGGGAACTGAAAAACATAGCAACCTACAGTATCTTCATAGTGCAAGGGAAATAAACAACCTAAAACTCCAAAATAAATTACTTATTTTAGCAAAAGCTGAAGCAAAACACACCTAGTACTATCTAAGCAACTAAAATCATCCCACATGCAGCAGGGTCAGCCATTTTAAGACAGTTTGTTGTTTCGGCTGAACAGCTAGGTAGCTAAGGTTGCATGTATCCATGTGATTTTGCATCTTGCAGACAATTTAGCAACATAACGTATATCAGTTGCTCTGAATCAAAGAGTATTCAGGCACCCCACCTGTCTGCCTGGAAATTGAACTGATAGCATACCGCTTCTCTTCTTCATAGTAATCATTGAAACCTAAGGTTTCCTTTATTTCTTCGAATGATGGCATACTTCCAGGAGGAGGAATCCTGCCTCCTTTGATGGCAGAAAGAGCATCCTGCAGATGAGTTTAGGGAAACAATGTCAGCTAACTCCATGGATGATAACAAAATGTCAATACAATTTACTGTATGCAGTTCATAACAATTATCTCAGGTGAGTTTCAAGACAGGGACATGAAAGCTCTAATCAAGTGAGAATATGACCTGCATTGCTTGAATAGAAACTCCAATCAAGGAAAGTGGATACGCCACAATCTTGTAGCCAATTTCCTCCAGCTCCAAGGGATTGAGTATTGGTGTTTTACCACCTCCTTCAAGCATATTGGCCTGCAAGCAAGTGAAACGAATTCATCACCATCACCATGTCGCCCAACATGGTATAAAGCATCGTCAGGCACAAGACTTGAACGCCGTTACCATTTTCGGAACTAGGGGAGATATTTCACAGAAGGCTCTCATTTCTTCCCTTGAAGCCAAAGCATCAATGAAAAGGACATCCGCTCCAGCTTCAGCAAAAGCTCTACACCTCCAGAGTGATTCATCAAAGGACACCGCTTGGCGAGAATCGGTCCGTGCAACGATCACAATGTCCGAGCCTGACTCTTGCCTAGCATCAACAGCTGCTTTTATCCTCATTACTGCCTCTTCCCTTGACACCACTTTCCTACCACGGGTATGCCCACAAGCTTTTGGAGACACCTTCCAGTTTCAGAGGGAAAAAACGTATCAAGTGACATCCAAATAATATAAAGTCTGAAGCTTTTAAGTAACTACCTAAACGATGAAGCTTATAAGAAAGAAAAACCTGGTCTTCAAGAATGATTCCAGCAAAACCAGCTCGAATGTATCCTTTCACCGTCCTCTTAACATTCATGGCATTCCCATATCCATTATCACCATCTCCAATCACAGGAATCGACACAGCTTGAGTGATTTGCTGCCCTTGATCCACCATTTCTCCATACGATATGAACCCAGTATCAGGCAGCCCCAATCTAGCAGCAGATATTGAAAACCCTGCCAACCAAAACCAAATCCAAACCACGATAATCAAAACCCAATTCACGATTATCAATTTTCATCAACAGAAGTCAAAAGAACACCCACCACTTGTAAAGCAGAAGGGGAACCCGGCTTTCTCCACGAGCTTGGCACTCAGAGCATCGAAACAGGCGGGGCCTTGGTGGGTCCCAGGAGAGTCGAGGATCAAACGGAGTTTCTTCGCCGGGTCGGCGGCGGAGCAGCTGATTGCGGTGGCGGCGCGTGATAGGTTCCGTCTGGTGCGGACGTTGTAGGCGCGGCGGGGTTTTTGCAGGAAGACATTGTTGTTGCTGTTGTTGTTGTCGGGAAGGAGGTGAAGGGAGGTTTGGGTTCTGAAGGTGGAAGGCGAAGAAGAAGAAGGAACTGATAAGGCGAAGGTGGACTGCGATGATGGTGATGATCGGCCGCTTGGAGTTTGGGAGAAGAATGAAGATTGGAGGGAAGGAAATGCTGCGGAGTTCATTCTTGTTGAGTGTGATTAGCTAAAAAGTGTGAAGGGAAGGGAAATAGTTATGTTATGAAGTGGGTAAACACTAACCACTATTTGGATATTTTTTGTTAATGAGATGAGGCATGTTTGTGATAATTCGTTAATTACAAGTTTTTGGTTTTAGGAATTTGAAAAATAAATTCAAGAGTAGTTTTCTACTATATATTTGTCGAAAATAGTTTCACGTTCGGATATGTATACTAGTCCATCGCCAAATTTTCGATCAAAATTGCATGTCATAAAATGATATTTCACTCAAATTGATAATAACAAAAGCGACAACATCCATTGATATAATCTACTTCACTCATATTCAATTCGTTGTAGTCCAACTTCAAGTCCAAATTTTTCGGGAATTAACCATCATTCATTTCTCTCGAGGTACAAAGAAGATCATATAAAATGATTTATTTATGGCTAATAGTTTTGATAAGAGCATCAACAAGTCAAGAATGAAGAAAGTTTCTACACTATGGATTAGAGGTGATTCAAATGGTGATAAGTACAACTCAAATCCATGGTTCGACCATACGGAGTCAAGCTAATAAGTTCCAAACTCAAGTCCAAACTTATATATGACGGGATGTTTTGCTACCTTTGGCGATATTCATTAGAGAAGTCAATTTGTGCAATTAATTGGAATTCTAAAAAATCCTAGTCCGCCCAAATAATGGATTCGGAAAATGGCGGCCTAAACTGCCCGTTATCATGACTCAGACCGTCATGAACTTCTATTTCTTATGCATATGGTAAGAGTGAAATTTAGCTTTCGTACTCAATTTACTCTAGATGCATCCTTTTGTAACTTTCATATGCATATGGTGTTGTATACGGGGGAGAACAACTTATGATCACAAATTTAGCTATTATTTCCGAGTTCCTTTGTGGTTCAACCTTCTTTCGCTTTGAGCTGGTTAATTGGCATCAGGGCTAGGAAAACCATTATCAATAGGTTCAACACTTATGTCATATTTCACTTCATTCGATCTAGTGCTTTTCATTCGATGGAGTATATTAAGCTTGGTTGTGTTGAGTATCTTCTATCCTTTGTGTGTTCATGATTTCTAATGTGGTTTTGCGTGTTGTTGTTTATCACTTCTTGATCAACTTATTGGCTAAACTTGTATAATATTTAGATAGTGTTTTCATCAAAAGGAAGCTTATTTCAACAATTTCAACTAAAAATACGACAAGTATGGATAAAACTAGGACTGACTCGCTCGTATAGCTTAGGTTGGATGACCTTAAAGTTTTGTGACCATTCATGTAATTGATCAACAACACTATCACTAAAAGGTAAAAGTTAGTCGTGGAGGGTAAAGTAGAACTTGGGCACACTTTCCCTCTTCTGCAGGGGCAGAGCAGGTAGCCAGGAGCAGGACCAGGAGGCAGTTCCAACTTCCAACTCGCTTCCTTCCACCACGTGAGAGAGCAGCAAGGTTGGTAAAACATTTCTTTGTTTTCTAGCCCACCACCAGCGTTTACCAGTTACCACTGCGCCACCACGACCACAGACCAGAAAACCCCAAAAGCTCCATCTCTACCCAAATGAAACAAACACACTTTCCTCTGACATGCCAAATTTGATGGCTCGATCGAACTCGGAATCAGACAACAACGTACAGAGCATCAAATTCGTCATATTCTCCGCATCTTAGCTATAGCAACTCACCTCCACAACTTCCCCACCTTCTTAATCTTCTTTTGGGTAATAAGAGCTTCGAAAAAGTATCGAGCTTTGTCTCCATCCTCGGACTTTCCGTCAGCTATGAGTACTGCTGCTGCTTTTGCTGCCTTCTCCTTCGGTAATCACTGTTCCCCCGAGGCGAAAGATCTCGTCTTTTCAGTTTAATGTTCCAATCTGTCGGGTGTTTCTGCGATGCAATGTTGTGATCTTGATTGGGTGAGTCAGGGTTTTGATGGATTCTGCTTGTTTTTGGGAGTGCCCATTTTGTGTCTGGGGCTTGATTGCTTGAAGGAAAGTTAATTTACATGGTAATGGAGTGATTCGTTGTTGTATGTGTATGAATACAGTTCAAGAATTTGACTTTAATGTGGAGTTTGAAAGCATGCTCCGGTGAAAGTAAAAGGTCTGTGCTTGGCATTTCAAATGTTAGTGAAGTGGTGGAACGAGAGTTATTTAGTCCTAATTGCTTCATTGATGTGGAAGTGAAAAAACTGGGACTGGCTTTTGAGTTGGAAGTTTCACTTCGGTCTCCATTGCTCATGAGGAGACTCTACGTAGTGAAATTGAATGAATCCTTTTAGAGTATTATCTGTGAATAGTTCAGAATGCAGGAGAAGATTATCTTCTTGTATGCTCCTTTGACATAAATTTTTTTCTCCTTCAGGTCCTTCCCAGTGTCAGTCATGTCAAGCTGATGGGTCCTCCTGCTCAACATCAAATGGGATCACGAGTGGTTGGATGAAAACCACTATTGACACTAGTACCGATGTTCTCAGCTCAAGGTATGAAATCTTCTGGTTGGGAGAAATCATTGCCTAATCGACTTTAAGTCCTATTGCTCATGTGTCCAGGCGATGACATGTTTTATTCGTCACCTTGATGATCAAAGATATCATGCATCACTCAATAAAAAGAGTTCCTTGCAATTTCAAGTTTCAGGTCTGGAAGTCCGATCTTGGGATCAGGATCATTATTCCCTTGGTCAAGCAGAGGACGTGATCTGAGCCATTTGAAAGTGTCAGTTGCTGCTGATTACTCTGATTCATCATTTCCTGACTCGTCTAGTTATACAAGTGCAAGAGGCTATCATCCTCTGGAAGAAGTGATAGTCAGTAGAAGGAGACCGGAGCCTCAGCTGACACCAGCTGAGATTGCAAGAACAACTGTTGAGGTTTGTGCATAATTTTTCGTGAACATGAAAATCGAATGGCCCATAAACTCACGAGTTTATTTTTCTAGGCTAACAGCGGCGCTCTGGTGGTCTTTCCTGGAATAGTACACCGTGAACCACATGAAGAAATCACATGGGCGGAGTTACAGTATGTTGTTGATGATTATGGAGGTATGTCACTTGTCAGAATTTGCACCCTTTTAGTTCTACTTGCATCTAGGTTTGACATGGTCGTCTTAATTACTCCAACTTCTGTTTCCTTCAGAAATATATTTTGAGATGTTTGATGATAGGAACGTCTTGCGAGATCCTCAAGCTGGTAATGCTGTGGTGAGCTTATGTACTTGAACATACCCTTAGAGTTTCTAATTTTTTCATTTCTTGTATAAATGAAAAGAGGTAAATCGCAAACAGACCTATACAATACTTGTCTTTAAAATAAAAACCTTTACCCCCTTACTTGCAGGAGAAGATACCAGACATGAAAAAACATCTAGAGTGATTAAATAATTTTATTTTCACTAGTTAGTAATATGCTGCTAAATTGGTACTTCTCACTATCAACTAACAGTCGTGTGTTTTCCGTGGGAACTTTGTAGAATGCTTTTATTGGGATGGACGTCCCGGTATATGAGAATAGAAGAGTTGCTAGCGATATTGCCGTATTCAATGTCAGAGATGCCGACGACATACCCATTGAAAACGACTATTTTCCGGTGAAAGCTTGCTTCTCTTACTTGCAGAGTGATTTGTGTTTTCCATTTTAGTTTTTTTTTGGTTCTGACTTCTGAGAGGTCAAATGAACTTGAAACAGATCATGGATTATAAAGACCACGATGTTCCAGTTGACTGGGGGATGCCAGACACATGTACTTGGGTTCATCCAATTCATTTTGCCAAGTGCTTATCAAAGGTGATTAAAAACATGGTTTAATGTATGCGGAATGTACCAAAATATGGTGTCTGCACTGGCTGTTACAATTCAACCTTGCATTGGAGAACTGCATTATTTTTTTTATAGCTTTTGGCTCGTAGAATTGATGTAGGTGTTCTTTTCTATTAGGCTACCGATATCGAGCATGATATAAAAATGGGTCATCCATCAAATGGTGTTTCTATTATTGGGTGCCTCAAACCTGCTTTTGATGATGAGGAAGCATACTTCAGATCAGTATGTTATTCTGAAGATAGCGATGGCTATAGTTCAGACTCCACAGGTATAAAATTCAAGTAATGTATATTTACAGCATATTAGTACAATTGGCTTTACCTTGGAAGTGCTGATTCTTCAAATTGACTCGGTTTGTATCTGAAAGCAGAACCCAGTCTTTGCATTGAGGTGTTTGTTTGAATTGCCAGATGATGGTTGTACAAGTTTTTTCAGAATGTTGTCCTTTCTGCTTTCTTAGATGGGGAGATCCCGAATTTAAGCTCCAAAAAGAACGTGTCTAGAGCCTCATCTATTTATCGGTTCGAGATCATCAGTATAGAGCTTTTTTCAGTATATGGTACTCAGGTATGCACGTCATTGTAAACCAAAGCCATATATTTAGGACATTTATCTAGAATGCCAGAACTGTCTTAATAGCTTGTTAATTAGTGAAGCTTGGAAATGGACTTCTTTTAATGATGGAGTAATATGTTAGTTCTGGTTTCTTATAAACATTGCAGAGACCAATTGGTTATTCAGAATATCAAAAGGCTGAGGCTGATGTCCTTCTAAACTGTGTGTCAACAATCATAGAACGTTTCAATGATAGAGGAATTGACGTTGATTCTGCTCTTAAAGCTCTGTGCAAGAAGAAGGGCATTGATAGCCAGGTAATTAATGTTTGCTCGCTGGAGTACAACACAGTATGTTATGATTTGGAATCTGTGGAAGTGCCTGAATGGATACATCGTCCCTTGTATCTAAGTGTGAGAACTATCATCGACACTTTACACGTTGGGTCGAGTAGACTTGCATCAGATAGCCCTATTTTTATTTTTTGATTGCAACATCCTGGGGAATTTTTCTCCTAAGTTAGATCCTTGGTTTCTTGCACCTGATACATATATTCTTATTTTTATTTCTTGCTTCTACTTTCATGAAATGTGATTTTTTCCAAATTTGTGTAGGAGGCTCATTTGATTGGAGTTGATAGCCTTGGCTTGGATGTTAGAATTTGCTCTGGAGTGGAAGTACGAACTCATCGTTTTCCCTTTAAAATACGCGTAAGTTTATGTATGCTGCTACGCTAGTTTACTGAATACAGATATTGTGCTGAAAGGAAATATATGGCAACAAAATGCGCAATAAGCGATAGATCATGTGAATTTGGACTTGCAAATTAGTATCATAACGCCGCATGAATGTTGCTGCTGCCACTCTGCTGATGGTTCTAGTTGTGCTTTTAATGAGCAGGCTAGGTCTGAAGTTGCTGCAGAAAAACAGATTCACCAACTATTATTCCCACGATCTCGTAGGAAGAAACGAAATCAAGGTGACAGGCTAAGGGACTCGAGGTCACGCTGATATGTCCCTGCTGTGCTGAGAACTTCCATGACCAATAAGAAATGACGGCTACATTGGTGCTTCTGCGGCTTTACCAGGAGAGAACCCGGAAAATGATCTTGTTGGCGGCTGACTTACCCCTAACTCCTAGTTCTTTTTATTGCGGCCTGCTTTTATTGATGATGATAATCTCTTATCGTGGGTTGCTTCCAGTTTGATCTAGTAATCCTTATGTGTTAAATCTGATCAAGAAACTTGAGTTCAAGTGAAAGCGCCAGGCCGTCTAGTGTCTATTGCACTGAATAATGAAGGGTGTTTGTAAGACTTGTTTTGAGCATTCCAATAATCTACTGCAGTCTGCAACACACAAAACAAAACTGCTACTTCAAGTTTCCATTTTAAGCTCCAAATGGCGGATGCCCAGTAAAATAGGAAGCAACTCAGAAAGCAAAGCATGCCAGTTCTTAAGTTCCCATTTTGCCATTTCTGAAGCAACAATTTCTTGACATCTCAACGTATAAAATTAACAATAATGATAACAATTAACAATAATAACCAGGAAGTAAGACTGCAAAGTTTCTATTGCCAACCCATTCTTCCAACGGACTTATTATTACTACTAGAATCAATACCCGCGGCTACGCCGCAGGAATTAAAATTGCAATAACATAATCAAATGGTTGCCCGTTTAGGTGACAACACATTAAGGATCGTTGTCCTGCTAACAAAGATACTGGTATAAAAGTTTTGAGCATGCTATAAATTTTGCGAAATTACTACTATATTACTTTCAATTTTCCTTGCACTACAATAGATAAGATTATCAAGTAAACATTCAGAACTCTATGAATGAATCTATGACTTGGAAAAATTCACGTCCTCTTCTTCAGTAGCAGATCCCTAATTGTTGAACAACCATTTTTTGGTTCGCCGTTAGAGAAAAACGAAGACGACAAATAAACAACAAAAGATTAAAAACACTTGGTCAATGACTGTCTTTTTCACCTTCATAATTGGTGTGACTTGTTTCATCTCGTCATTCTCTATACACTTGGGAGTTTCAGTTTATGGTTCTTTGATAATTATGAGCTCATTTTCTTCCACAATTGTTACATTCTCTATGACATTCTCATCAACATAGGTACTTGTTTATTCAGAGTCATTACCACATTATGCTGGTTTTGAAAGGCCATTATCACAATTATGAGTTTTGGTTGCCGTAATCTTTCGGTCCATGTGACCAACAACATATAGCTCACATATAAGGAGAACTCATACCACTTGATGTAACCATGTCAGTAACAATATATAGTAAGAGTGGGAAGATGAACAAAGAAAGAGGAACAAACATGTCAGTCGCAAGTAAACTCTTTCCTGGAATGCACAAACATCAGGGAAGATGAACAAAGAAGACTGTCCCTAGCAGCAGCTTTTCCCAAATGTCTGATGCTTTTATTTTTAGAATTTAGTCAAGTAAAAAAGAGAACAAAAACTACTAAACTGCTTCCTCGGTTGATCATAATTATCGTTAGCTGACACGAAGAAATGCAGACATGCTTCTTTAAGCACCATACAAAGAAAACGATCAATGAGATGAGAAGAGAAACCCCATACATTAACATGTCTCAATAATTAAACTGAGTTTACATGTCGGATTACAAAGGAAGAGCAAATCAACAATATGTGCAACAACTATATTCCAAGACCATTTATGGCTTGCATTCCACATGATTTCCATGATATTGTTTGAAAAAAACGACCAACACATAGTTGACGACACATGTGGCTAAAATCAGGACTGTAACTGTATAATATCTATTTTGTTTCTCTTAAGCGTATGATGTGATAAACTATAATGATACCCAATTCAATTTCCAACTACACCCCTTGAAGGCACCAATTGCATCATAACACACATAATTTCAGGCTGAAGTTTTTCCTAAATAGCAGAAACTGAGTTTCCAACAACACAAATATAAATAATGTTAATCTCATAGAAAAGCAGAAAGCAGTTTTACAGTCTGTTTACACCTAAAAATTTCTTCGCCAGAAACACAGTCTACCTAATCCAAAATGTTTCATACACAGGCCATGACAAACACTTGTGGCAGCGCCCTCACAGAGATTGGAAGGACACCTACGGACAAAGCCAGCACCTTATTGAAACATAGAGCGTGTTGAAGAAGTGTGGGGTCGATGTGGATAGCAGGTTCGTAATGTGTTGCTCCAGTTCATTGATTCTCTGGCCAGTTGGATCCCTGTACTTGTTTTCTTTTGTAAAGTCATGGAGACATTGAACAATATGACTGAATCTTGTTCAGAACTTTTAGCAACTCGTAAGGCCCAAGCTTGGTGTCAGAACTTGCTGCAAGATTAAGGAAATGTTGTTGTTCAGTTAAGTTAAGCTTTTATATGGAACTGAATTATATTGGAAACTAATTTCAAACTCATTATTTTAGCATCCACGTTAATAATATGAGGCAGCAGCTTCCCTTGAGGATGGAACAGGGACAACCTGTTCAGAAAAAAAAAAATAAAAAATAAAGGGGAAATTAACAAAGGGAGAGTGATTAACATAATAGAATAAGATATTATCAATCTGATCACAAGTATCCTTTGGGCTCTTTTAGTGTAAATACAAACCCTAATTCCTTCTCAGCAAGAAGGTTGTTCGAAAATCAAACCAGCATGTTCCTTGCCATAAAGAAAGAGAATGTAAAGCAAGTGCCTCAATAGAGGAAGAGTCTACTAAGCATCTCCAAGTATAAATGAACTCAAATAATACCTGAAGTTTGACATGGGAAACCTGTCTAGAAACCCATTCAAACAGACACCTGCAACAACCAGGAATAGCTATATATTAGGCAACATTAAATCTAGAATTGACAACATAAGAATTTAAACCTTTGTCTTGAAGCAAGGGAAACTCAAAACTCGAGCTTGGCTTTCAATCCCAAACAAAAAGACTTTGCTGTGAATTCTCCTAACAGAAACCAAGTCGAATTACCATTTTCCTGCTTCTCATTTTGGAAGTATAGAAAGGCGGAAGCTTTTGATCCAAAGGCATGCTGCTGCTTAATATTTTCCTGCTTCACAGTTTGGAACTTGAGAAAGGCGGAAGCTTTTGATCCAAAGGGATTCAAACTTGTCTTAGGCCACGAAGTAATGGTTTAACTCTGTTCAACTCCCCTGCAAAACATTTTAAACCCATTTTGAGCATCAGATTTACGTCGAGGTTGGCCAAACAGTTATGATGATAGTTAAGAGCAACAAACTTGTGAATGTGAGAATCAAATTAAAATCTCCATCATCCAAAGATGAAGAAGCATAAAAAGTCAGTGGTTGAGCATGAATACTCTATGGAAAAATTAAATGGACAGGTGGGTGGTCTGAGCAGAGGTCAAGGTTCTCACATAATGTTGATAAGTTTGATAAAAAAAACAAAAGGCTAATAATTGTTAATCGAATTAAAAGTACATAATGTTTGTTGCTATTATCGCAACTTGCCATCATCAATTGCAGAGAAAAGCAGCAAAGATACATATCAAACTACCCAAGAACCTTGACAATACTTCAACCCATATGCAAGCCGCCATTAGGAGCGTAGTAGAGAAAAAAATAAGGGAGTTAGAGGAGAAAGAAAGGTCATATAGCATACCAATTTGTGTAAGAAATCTTGAAAGTTGCACAACCCCAAAAAACTGAATCGCCATTCGAGAGGGGAGGGCAGCAAGACGCATAGGAGCGCAACAGAGAAAAATATGGGAGTTAAAAGAGGAGAATCGTACTGTGTTGCAGAGTAACCAGCAAGAAGGCAAGCTGGAGAAGATGGTGGTGCAGGTTGACTCCAACGACGAAGGAGTCTTCCGCCGACAGCTGCCCTTGGACACCGCAGAGGCCAGAGGGAAGTCTCAGAATCCATCACCGAAATACACGACGGAGCTTCCCTCTGCGGGTGTGGAAATCGAGAATAGAGAAACAAAGGAATAAATTAGTAGTTGCAGCTGAAACTGAAATGGTCTACCCAGAGGAGAGAAGTCTCTCTTAATCCAGATTTCAGAGTAAAGTAGAACTGTGCAAATGCATGGGCTATTGCGTGTGAAGCAGCTGTGAAAACCACTTGAAGAAGCAAGCCGAAACTGTTAGATAGCGTGAGATGACTGAATTGTAGATTTTGTACTGAGGGTGAATGGATGGGGATGGGGATGGGGATGGGGATGGGGATGCGGAAGCATGGGCTGCTGCAAAGGGAGGGTAAAATTTTCGGTGGAGGTGGCTGCGAGACGTTTTTTTGCAAAGCTGGTTGGAGAAGGTTTTTGCACTATACGACAAGTAATGAAACAGTACCGAAAAGTTTGTTTGAATAAAGTGTACCCACTTTTCATATATAAAAGGGTGACATCCATGATTCGTGCAACAGCCACCATATATACAATCTGCAATTCTGCATGAACCTTAGCTTTCTAACTATCCGGCTAACAGCAGGATCGGAAAGCATCCAACTTCTACACCTTCAGAACCTCCCTCACATGTGTCCTTTCCTTCCAGATAGATTCTGTTGTTTCCATATCTGGATATGCTTTTCCCCTTGCATTCTTACATTTCTGTAATGCATTCTTCATGAACATTGCGATTGCATATTCTCGTATATGATCTCAATACATGTTTATGAAAAGGTAATCTAGTATATACTAATTTTCCCAATGATATTCAATACTTAATTCAATAAGACCATGCCCTTAATTAGGAGTGTACTAAAATTGGCTTCCATTAAGTTTCCAAGGCCATGCCCTCAAAATTTTCTCAATTTCTTTCCAAGGACATCTTGGCCTGGATTCTTTCCTTCCCTGTCCACAAAGGCAATATCCTACCCTGATTTTGAGCTGCTCCCAGAAAGCAATCCTCTACTGCGACTCGCAGTAGCTCCAGCTTCCTCATCCTGTTTGCTTCTTTCAGCGTCTTCGTCTGCTACATCTGTAGATCGATCCTCGTCTGCTGCACCTCTGCAAAGAAGCTCAAGTAGATGAGCCAAATTCGTAACGAACAAGTCTGCAGTACAAATGGGGTTAAGATACCAACTAAACTCGCTTGTACGTATCACATTGGGGCATTGAACTCAGTATTGAACAACTATAACACCAAACTACACAATACAATCACGAGTTCAGTGCCTAATGCCACACATAGACAAGTTTTCAGTTACCAAACTGATATTAACCCATCGTTCACAGATGTCTAATTTGTAAAGTTACGTACCCAGAGTAAATGACCAACCCAATTACCACAGCACCAAATGCGATGAAGTAGATCCAATCAACCTGAACACAAATGGCAAATCAAGGGTTTGAACCTATAATTTCTTAATTGGATTAAACATCAGTTTGGGCATATTTGCTGGTGTGAGAACCTTCTGATGGTAGGCAAAGATGCGAATCAAGACTGCCCACATGTCTGACGAAAGCAAAGACAGGTTGAGCATGGTAGAACCTGTCATCTGCATATCATATAGCATTGCATAATATATAAAGTTATAAACATTGAAGCATTTCAGCAAAGGAGCTATGCCTAATAGTGCTTTTTGTCCATAGAGTACCACAAGAACTAATCTTCCCACTATCTTAAAGATGTTGCACCAAGCAACAAGAGCTGATCTGTTTTACAGAGCGTAAACAGAAGTGAATGACATAAGTTGAGCAGTTGTTCTTCAGTTTAATGGAAAGCCAGCATAACAACCATTGAACAAGTACCTACTAGTACATTTTTTCTTTAGTGTCTATCTAGTACTTCATTCTTAGGAAAGACCTATGGTTTTACTATATAAGAAGAATGGATATGGAACTTCAAAACAATACCTTGAGCAAAACAGGAACGAATGAGTAGAACAGGAACATCGCCGACGCAAACCCAAAGAATGGAAAAGCCTGAAACCAAGGACCAAGGTTCAGTAGCATAGTAGGTAAAATTCAATTTCAGTAAGGAAGAACACTGGAAGTCCCATGCTCTACAAATTAAAGTGTCCGAGACTAAGGAAACCTGGATAGACTTCCTTCCAATCACTTGGAGGCTCCGAGTTTACATTTACTTTTACTGAATAAGATTATTTATCTACATTTGTAATTATAATGACCTCAGGATGACTCTAGTTGATGAAGTGGATATAAAAGGCACTTTTGCACATTTGGTAACTTTAAATTTTGTCAGATTATGATGACTAGATGTTTAACTAACAGTTACGGAATGTATAGAACACTTACTGCTCCAGCTGACCAATGAATAGATTTCAACTCAGTACGCTCCAGAATGGCTCTGTAGAAATCATCAAGGACTAACAATAAAAACTGGACACAACAGCTGCACTAGAAGAGTGTTGTTCATTTAGGAATGAACCCAAGATTTAGTTAGGATACATTTGGATAGCACTGATAATGGCACCAAAAAAGCCAAGCAGTGCCATGAGTTCAACTCTGTCAGCATTTTTGACAAGAAACTCCTGCATGAGGAAGATAAATAGCAGGCATGAAAATATAAAAAAAGCTTCTCATGGTGCACAATTAAGTATCGCCAGTCAGAATAAGGCAAGGAAGACAGAAGAATAGAACATGAGAAATAAAAATTATTGAATCTCAGTTATAAACTTGGGAAATGGGGAAAAAGAAGCATGCTTCACCTGCATAGTAATCCATAGCCTCACTAATTGCTTAGCTGTTTACTACACAAGAGAACAGGCAAATGAGCTTACCTCACTGACATTACTGACAGCATAGAGCGTTGCCCCGGCAATGACCAAACCATCTCCTACAAGAGGTTTGCTTCCTCCTGAAAGAGAAAAAGGATATCTTGAGAGTTCTGTAACTAATAAAACCGTTAACACTTTTGAGTGATAAAAGGGAGGAGAAATTATCGAAACTCGTTGTTAATACTTTAACCCAAGTAAATATAACCACATAAATCAAAGCCAGTTAAAAAGAGAAACGGTCTAAGAATGGCTGAGCCTACCTGACCAATCACCAGAATGAACATCTGAAAAAACAACCGCCACAAGGCCAGCAACACAAACTACTACTCCAGTTATCTTCTTGAATCTGTACTTTGTCTTAAGAAAAATCCAGGTGAGAATCATAACAGATGGAATTGACCAACAATCCAGCAACATGACACTCGTAAGGGAGGTGTACTGATAGGCCTTCACCACTGCACAAACAGTGAAGAGTTGTGATAAAACCAAAATCTAAGCTTCAGTGCTTCCAGATTGCAGCAAAGAAACCCGATATTTTAAAACAGCAAGAGTTTCAGATAATCTGGTCAACTATACATATACCTTATGGTTCAAAATAGCTTAATGGCCAGAAGGCATGAATATTTACAGGATAAAATTTTAAAGCTTGCCACCACGTCCATTCTAACATGGTCAAGAAAACTAGCGGTAAAGTCTGGCAACATGAGACACTTACCAAGAAAATTGGCCTCCACATCTATCAATCCGAGAATTAGATAGTAATACCATTTAGCCTGCACAAATTCCCAAAGAAGGTACATTAGCTGCCAAGTTTAAGACTTTGAGCTACACTCAGCACTTACTTCCCATCTTATTGAAGTAGCAGTTTTATCAATGAGGACACATACAATTCACTTAAAACACCTCCTGACTACTTCATCACATTCTTATCCTAACAACCCGGATTTCGATCATGAACTAACCATCACTCCATTCATTTTCATCATTCAACATCAACTACTCGATCTAGTTTCCTACTCAAGCTTCATCAAATCCATGGAAGAAACAGGAGAAAGACACGGGTTAAGGCCAGGAAACCAAATCACCTTAAGTTTTTCTCTCCGGTATAGCATAATACCGCCATAAACAATAGCTAATAATACATAATTTAGAAATGATTGAGAAGTTGGAGCATTGATCCCTGCAAAATAAGCAAAGGGCAGAAAATGGTAAGAAATGGTGACATGAACACTACATCAAATGCAAATATACAAAAAGATAGAAACTTCAAAGACTTTGCTTTGATCATATAGTAAAAACAAACAAAAGGAAAAAGTGGAAAAAAGAACTGATAAGAAGAGACAAACCAATATGGATCAAACAAAAGTACAACAAGCTTCAAACACCAAAATAGTTCAGTCAACAAGAAAAGATGCACAATGGAAACAAAAACTTAAGCTAAAGAAGGGATATTCGAATGAACCTTTTCTGGCGAGTTCAGATGAAGCAAAACCAGTAGAAGTAATCAACAGCGAGAGAAATTGCCCCAGCCCAAGACCCAACAACGTTTTCGTGGTACAAAACTCCTTCAATCTCGACATTCTTTTCCCCTCCTTCCTTCCTACTCTAAACCCAGAAGAAACAGAAAGAAGTACAGTAACCCAGTTGAGTAATCAAGCAACCCCAAAGTCCCAAAATTTCAGCTTTTATCTTTCGTTCCAAAGGGAGGCCAGAGAATTGCGGGAACAGGGCAAACCAACCACCACCATCTATTGGTTTCTTCCTGAAGAATGAAGTTTGGTGGCGATTGACTGGTGATAGCTGAGAGTGAAAAAGAGAGCTGCTTTGGAAGTCTCCAAAGCCCATCAACAGAAAAGAGCTGAGATTTGTCGCCAGCCGTTGAATTTTGCGGAGAATGTGGAAAAGGCGGAGGAAGGCTTTTTTTGACAAAGGCAAATTCCAATGGCGGAGCGAGTGTTTCCTTTCGGAATTTTTGGATTGTTCGCTCTTTTTGTTCCAGGTCTCCAACACGATTGAGGAAAGGAACAAAGTGAGGCGAATTTATCAATAATTGCAAACACTTTGAAAGGAAAGGGAATCATAATTGATGCCGCCGAATTTGTAGTTGGAGAGACTGGAGAGTCCAGCTGCGCAAGAGTTGTATAACAAAGTAGAAAGAGAACTTATTGAGGGACTTCAATGGTAAACACCTCAAAGTTCAGTGATGAAAAATGATATAAAGTAACAGACTTTGAATACCGCCAAATAAATCAATTCTTACAAAATCGAAAAAGTAACAAAAATTTCTGCAGCCTTTATTATTATTACCTTTCCTCTTCCCCACACACTGATCGACTCCACTAGTGAAACCTCACCAAATGGCAACAGTAGAAAATCCAGCTGCAGCTCTACCGCCCGCCATTACCAATCCCCTGAAAACCTCTTCCAAACTGAAACTCTCTCTCTTCTCCATTCTTCTCTTCTCCCTCTCCTACTTCCTCGGCAGCACCCTCCACTCTCCTTCTTCATCTCCTCCCCTGATTCCTCCCCACCAGCAGAACCAACTTCTCCTCTGTCCTCCCATCTTCCCGCCGTCGCCGCCACCGCCGCCGCCGGAATCTCTCGACTTCCAACCTCACCACTTCCTAACCAGCTCCCTCATTTCCAATTCCATCTCCAGCTCAATCAATTCGCTTCCAATCCCACTCTGCTCTGCCAATTTCACCGACTTCGTCCCCTGCCACGACCCATCAAGAGAGAAGCTATTCTTTTCCCCTTTGGGATCAACCCAACTGGCCTTCTTCCACAGGGAAAGGCATTGCCCTGCTTCCGAAGGAGAGAAACCCAGGTGCTTGGTTCCGAGGCCTCGTGGTTACAAGTCTCCGTTCCCCTGGCCGAAGAGCAAGGGTTTTGCGTGGTTTCGAAATGTGCCTTCCAAGAAGCTTACTGTTACGAAGAAGAGTCAGAATTGGGTTAGGTTGGAAGGGGAATTCCTGGTTTTCCCCGGCGGCGGGACTTCTTTCCCCAAAGGCGTGAAGGGTTATGTGGAGGAGATTAGGCGGCTTCTGCCGGAGTTGAAGAATGGTGCTATAAGAACTGCTCTTGATATTGGATGTGGGGTAAGCTTGTTTTTTAAGTAAAGTAACGGACTTTATGGTTTGGTTATTCGCTTCTGCAGAGTCTGTGAAGTTGATTGCTAAGTTTCCGATTACAAAATGAATGGAGATTCTCCTTTTTGTCTTTGTTAGCATTCATAGTCTAGGCACTTGTTTGTTAAGACAGTGTAGTGCAGTAACTAGAACTACTACCAATCCTATTATATTCTACGCTTCAGTAAAGAAATAACGACTCTAATACCAAATGATAATGTTGTAGACCATAACTTTGTAAGAGAAGTTTACATTGTAACATTTTCTTGCGGATGATCCCCAGGTTGCAAGTTTTGCAGCATTTCTGATGGACTACAATGTCCTGACAATGTCAGTAGCACCGAGAGACATACATGAGGCACAAGTGCAGTTCGCGTTGGAAAGAGGGCTTCCAGCCATGCTCGGTATACTCAGTGTTCACAGGCTTCCATTCCCATCAAGATCATTCGACATGGCTCATTGCTCGAGATGCCTGGTTCCATGGACTAATAATGGTAAACAATGATATATAATAGTTTTGTTGGGAGTGTTTTGTTATTACACAACTGCTGCAATGCAGTTCATCACTGGACTTGGTTAAAGCTTTTTCTCTGGTGCAATGTAGATGGACTTTATCTGTTGGAGATTGATCGGGTACTGAGGCCTGGTGGCTACTGGGTGTTGTCTGGCCCACCCATCAACTGGAAGCTTAACTATAAAGGTTGGGAGAGACCTGCTATGGACTTGGAACAGGAGCAGAAGGCATTGGAGGATCTTGCCAAGAGACTGTGCTGGAAGAAAGTAGCAGAGAAAGGAAACATTGCTGTGTGGCGAAAACCTACTAATCATGTTCACTGCATGATAAAGTCAAGGACTTGGAAGTCACCTCATATGTGCACAGGGAGTGATCCTGATGCTGGTTGGTGAGTGATCACTCTGCATTTGAAGCATTTGTAAGGGAATGATAACCCAGAGTTGTAATTACGACGAACGGGTTCATGATAAATTGGCACTTGGTCATTCTTTTTCTCAACAGGTACAGTAAGATGGAGGCTTGCATAACTCCCCTTCCACCTGTTTCTGACGTCCACCATGTCTCTGGAGGCACTCTTCAGAACTGGCCCAAAAGACTGAATGCTGCTCCTCCTAGGCTTAAAAGTGAAGGAATCTCAGTCAAGGAATTCAATGAAGACAACTTGCTGTGGAAAAAAAGAGTTGCACATTATGGGGTCATACTTAAGCCTTTCACTCGAGGCAAGTATAGGAACATTATGGATATGAATGCTGGAATTGGTGGCTTTGCTGCTGCACTGATTAAGCTCCCGGTGTGGGTTATGAATGTGGTGGCTCCTGATACTAACAGCAACCTCAGCATTGTGTATCAGCGCGGCCTTATAGGTACCTACATGAACTGGTAAGAAGACCTCCGGAACCAAGCTCGTTCCTCCATTCACTTAAAGGTTTGAACTCTTTTTACTTACATTTAGTCAAATGCTGGTGTGTTATGTATGCAGGTGTGAGGCTTTCTCGACGTACCCTAGGACATACGACTTGATACATGCCAATGGTGTCTTCAGCATGTATATGAACAAGTAAATGCATCACCCCTTAGTACTCCGTTTTTCGACTCCACATGAAGGTTTTATGATGGAAGTTACGAGCCTATAAGCTTATGGCGATTGCAGGTGTGATATGGTCGATATTGTGTTGGAGATGCACAGGATTCTGAGGCCTGAAGGAGCTGTGATAGTGAGGGATCATGTTGATGTTATAGCCAAGTTAAAAGCAATTACTGATAGGATTGGTTCATGGGCTGGCACCATGTATCACTCTGAGAATGGCCCCTTTCATTCTCAAAAGGTTTTGTTGATTCATGGTTCTCTAAGTTAGGTATCTATTCTTAGTTCTCTCTTTAAAGTAGTAGCCTTTGTTGAGATTAGGCTAAAAATATGTACCTATTGAAGCATATATGAAATCCAGTAACTTGTAAGCATATATTATAATTTCAGAGGGATATAAAATTTCCTATTAATTACCTCATTGGACAAATATTAGACTTGATATGAATGGTTTGTTAATGTACTGTGTTTTTAGTGAGATTTTAGTTCATGTACTATGTTTTTCTTTTGTATTGTTAATTTTAACTAACCGGTCCGTTTGTTATGGCTTTCGCTTGTTCTTCTAATCGACAAGTAAATAATTCCATTCATATTTATTATATATTATAGTCAATTTATGTTCAGTTAGCACTTTATTGATAACTTGCATGTCACATTCAATGAAGTTTATATTTCGTACCTCAATCTAGTCCAATTAAGTTAGAAATAAGAGATAAAAGATGAGATTGAGATATGAAATTTAAGAGCTGATAGAGAATGTAAAGTATCAAATTTCAACATATGTAGTGTAGGGTGTTGAAGATTTGCCTTGCTATGTATGGCTCAATCCTAGGTATGGTAGGAATTTTCAGCTGAGGGACTAAAAGGAATAAACGACACATATCTGTTAAAACTTAAAAATGAAAATATATGGATGCAATTGTTAAAACAAGATAGTACAGGTACTAAGTATCTAAATAGGAAAAAAGGGCGTACGAGTTTGAACTTTAAGGAGTAGAACGCTCCTATAAAAGCCCTCGCACATAGTAGCCGCCCTTTGCCCAATCAAAACTGAACCTCTCCTCGCCCGGAAAAAAAGTAACCACTGCCGGGATCGTCTTGTATTCGCCGGCGTCTGAAGCGGATGAGTCCGAGCTCATATTCTCCGGCCATTGTTGCTGCGGCAGAATGAAATTAGTGAGAACTGAAAGTTGCTGCCTTTATTCTCCGGCCATTCCAGGCCTCACTCGAATGATGTGAAACCATTCAGAATTTTGAAGAGTGTCCTTTAAACCCTTACTAATTCCCCCTGTCGCCATTGGAACACTCCCAAGTCTCAACCTTTTTTCTACAACCAGTTATTCAGAGAGAGCAATGAGAAGATGGGTCGCTAAGACCCTTCTGTCTCGTGCCGTTCCCTTTCAAATCCCTCATTCCTCGATTACTACTCCCTTCTCCCATTTTTCTCCGATTCTCGCCCCCAGATTGCTCTCCACTTCTCCCCCCGACACTCTAGAAGGTTTGGTCGACCCAGAGGACCCTTTTTTGCTGGAGAGTTCGCGGCCGGCGGAGTCGATTTCGAGCGAAGAATTCGCTCTTCTGCGGGATTCTTTGTTGAACCCTGATTCTGCTGGACAGCAGCAGTCGCGACCAGCTGGTAAGCATTCAGACGAGGCATTTCTAGTTGTTGATGTAATCGCGACTTGTAATGATCAGTTCGGGAAAGAAACCCAGAAGTTGCTTAGGCAGCATAGGGACAAGTTAAGCGAAACTTTGGTTATTGAGGTTTTGAATTTGGTCAGAAGCCCTGAACTGGGCGTTAGATTCTTCATATGGGCAGGTCGTCAAATTGGGTACTCGCACAGTTTAGCTGTGTACAATGCGTTGCTAGAGTTGCTGCAGAGGAACAACCATGGCAGTACTGATGATAGAATACCGGAGCAGTTCTTGCTGGAGATTAGAAATGATGATAGGGAAGTACTTGGGAAATTGCTTAATGTGTTGATTCGCAAGTGTTGTCGAAACGGTATATGGAATGTTGCTTTGGAGGAGCTGGGTAGACTTAAGGATCATGGCTACAAGCCCTCGAGATCGACTTACAATGCTTTGGTTCAAGTGTTTCTGAAAGCAGAACGGTTAGACACTGCTTCGCTGGTTCATCGGGAAATGTTGGGTTCAGGGTACACCATGGATGGTTATACCTTGGGCTGTTTTGCAAATTCTCTTTGTAAAGCTGGGAAGTGGAGAGAGGCCTTGAAGTTGATCGAGGACGAGGAGTTCAAACCTGATACTGTGCTTTTCACCAACATGATATCTGGATTGTGCGAAGTATCTCAGTTTGAAGTAGCCATGGATTTCTTAACCAGGATGCGTGTGTATTCTTGTATTCCAAATGTATTGACTTTCAGGATTATGTTATGTGGGTGCTTGAAGAAGAAGCAGCTCGGTAGGTGTAAGAGAATTATCAGCATGATGATCACAGAGGGTTGTTATCCGAGTCCAGCCATTTTTAACTCTTTGGTTCATGCTTATTGCAAGTCTGGAGATTATGCTTATGCCTATAAGCTTCTTAAGAAGATGCCAAAATGTGGGTGCCAACCGGGGTATGTAGTTTACAACATTTTCATCGGCAGTATTTGTGGTATTCAGGAGATGCCTGATATGAGTGTGCTGGAGTTGGCTGAGAAGGCGTATAAGGAAATGCTTGATACAGGGGTTGTACTGAATAAGGTTAATGTTAGCAATCTTGCATTGTGTCTTTGCAATGCTGGGAAATTCGAAGAGGCGTATAGTGTCATTAGCCAAATGATGAGCAAGGGGTTTATTCCTGATACCAGTACGTATTCAAATGTCATTACTTATCTTTGTAATGCAACCAAAGTAGAGAAGGCTTTTCTATTGTTTCAACAAATGAAGAGAGATGGCGTTCCACCGGATGTTTATACTTATACGACGTTGATCGATAGTTTCTGTAAGGCTGGTCTACTGGAGCAAGCTCACCGGTGGCTCAATGAAATGGAGAAAGATGGTTGTGCCCCTAATGTAGTAACTTACACAACTCTTATTCATGCTTACCTTAAAGCAAGGAAGGTCTCTACTGCCAATGAAGTTTTCGAGGTAATGTTGTCTAAGGGCTCAGTTCCTAATGTTATTACATATACAGCCTTAATCGACGGGCATTGTAAAGCGGGTGACATTGAAAAGGCTTGTCTGATATATGCAAGAATGAAGAAGGATAAGGCTGAGAATTCAGAAATAGACTTATATTTTAGGGTTGATGACCCAGATTCCGAGGAACCCAATCTTTTCACATATGGGGCATTGGTCGATGGTTTGTGCAAAGCTCATAAGGTCAAAGAAGCACGTGATTTGCTAGAGGCAATGATGACAAAAGGTTTTCAGCCCAATCATATAATATATGACGCCCTTATAGATGGATGTTGTAAGGTTGGTAATCTAGATGAAGCACAAGAAGTGTTTACCACGATGATCGAACATGGTTACAATGCAAATGTATATACATACAGTTCATTGATAGATAGGTTGTTTAAAAATAAAAGATTAGATCTCGCCTTGAAAGTCTTGTCCAAAATGCTCGAGAATTCTTGTGCACCAAATGTTGTTATCTATACTGAGATGATTGATGGTCTGTGCAAAGTTGGAAAGACCGACGAAGCATATAAACTTATGGTCATGATGGAAGAAAAGGAGTGTTTTCCAAATGTTGTGACCTATACAGCAATGATTGATGGCTTTGGGAAATTGGGAAGAGTTGATAAATGCCTTTGGTTATTTCAAAAGATGACTTCCAAGGGCTGTGCTCCGAATTTTGTCACTTACAAGGTTTTGATAAATCATTGTTCTGCAGCTGGTTATTTGGATGAAGCTCTTAAGCTTTTGCAAGAGATGAAAGAGACTCACTGGCCAAGGCATGTAGCAGGGTATCGTAAAGTTATCGAAGGTTTCAGTAGAGACTTTATTGCTTCTCTGGGGCTGTTGGATGAGCTGAGTGAGAAGGAATCCGTGCCAGTTGCCCCTGTTTACAGGGTTCTGATAGACAATTTTACTAAGGCTGGAAAGCTAGACATAGCTCTAGAACTGTACAAAGAAGTCTCGCCTATTTTGTCATCATCAGATGCTAACCGGATTATGTATGTTTCTTTGATCGAGAGCCTTTCACTTGCAAATAAGGTTGATATGGCTTATGAGTTGTATGCAGACATGATTGGGAAAGGTATTGTTCCGCAGCTAAGCACATTTGCTCACCTTATCAAGGGTCTGCTGAGATTAAACAAATGGGATGAAGCATTGCACTTGTTAGATGGCATTTGCCAGATGGTATGCTTCTGGGCCTTCCTGACTCTAAATGTTCCTTAATTTGATGAGTAGATTGAGGGTTTCCTCGGAAATCGGTCTTCAGAGTTGTTGTGGGGCCTTTTTTTTTTTAATGTGCTTCTGTTTGCATTGTTCTTCTATAGAATGGTATGCTCCTTTCAAAAGAAACTTCCCTCTAGAGTTTAAATAATTTTCCCAAACTGATATGCAGGGTGGAATTACTGCCATTGAAGGAGGTTGGATTCCTCCTCTTCGAAGTGAGCCATCTTTTGAAGATTGAAGGAAGCGTAAGATTCAATGTTTACTATGTGAAGAAGCAAACTGGTCTGCTAGCACCAGAAGTTCAATGCAGGCAGACCACTGGTTGATAGACGACTTCTGTGCAGTAACACAGAATGGTTTCATGATCTGGGTTGCTAAGCTTGCTGCCTCCTGGGCTCACTTAGGCGGTACGTGAAGGGTCCTTAAAGATATTGTAGCTTTCCAGTTCTCACTCTTATTAATGTATGTGCTATTGGCAGGCCGTAATGGTTATCAACCAGAGGGTTCAAAATGATAGAAGAGCAAGCGAGAGCCTGAAAGAATCTGTTGTGGAAGTGGATCATTCCTGGTGTATACAATACCCTATCGTGCAGATGGTTTTAGAGACCATTTTTTCTCCAATATGCCATCGGAGATTTGAGAGAGAACTGGCGGAGATGGATTTTAGAAACTTGATTTCATGGTTCCTGTAAGTCTCTGTTCCCCTTCTACTGAAACTTCTTATTGCAACATCAGGCATCCTTTCAAATGTATTGCTTAGTGCTTGTTCTTCTCCCCATTCTGACGTGATCAGCTGTCTCTACCAGGTTGAGACTCGTGGTAACCACTATTACATTTGATGAACCTTCCAAGCATCTATGCCGAGTCTTTCAAGGCCACGGCTAAACAAAGTTGTATGTAAAGAAGGTACACCCATTTGAGCCCAGCCTACATGGTGGTATAGTCTGGACGATCGAGTTTCAGGTGACACTGCTCTCGACATGATTTTTCTTTGTTGAAATGGTGGCTGGCCAAGGAACTTATTAGCAGCCTGATGATGCATGATTCGTCTTTGTTGATATGGTAGCTGGGCGTCATTAGCAGCCTGATGAATGATGATGCATTTCAGGATGAAAACGATCGAGTTTGCAAGGTGCTCATACATTGAACGTAGGCGGTAAAGTAATGGATTGACTTTGGTTAGCAGGTTTGTTTACACCAAGGCAATGCCACAATGATCAACTCGGCCTAGTTTCTTTTTGTGGCTGCGGCTGTTGTAGTTGCTATAATATTGAGGCTAATGCTGCTGAGCAGATGTTGATATTTCAATCATCAGCATAGATCATGTAATTTACATTCATATATATTGTTACAAGGATCATTATTCATCCTCGTCTGAATAAAATACAGCCATTTGAGACGATCCACAGTTGGTTTCCTGTATATGGGAGACCTATGTTGGCTGCAGATTCTTTTGGACAGATTGGCACTACAGAAATCTGGTTACACTATTCCTCACCTGACTCCTAAAAGACTTCATATAAACTAAACATCAACAATTCAACATCCAGAAATGAAGTAGAAGTAAATAGATATGCATCATCATTAACTTAAACTCCTAAAGTGCAATCTAGCTTCAGGCCGAGAATCTGTATGTTCAATCCTTGCTAGTTGCTATGCTCTCCTTGCTATATGTAAACCTAACCAATCCACGATCCATTTCAGAGAAATAGATGGCAAGAGAAGGGCGATGAAGTTCCTACATCACGTTATGGCCTCCCATCATTATTACCATCACCACTACCGAATTGTGTGGAGTTTCCATTCCAGAAGGTATTCCTGCCATTTGAACGGTCATCCTCTTCGTCCCGTCTGAGCGTGTGAATGTTGCTTCCAGACCCGAACGCTGCTAATCGCCTGCTCCTGATATCGTTTGCAGTAGCTGCCGAATCGCGCTGATCCGGAGAGTTGGTGCCAGGTGGCCCTGGTCTTCCTGAGCTATTCGGGAGGGACTGGTTTGGACCTAAAAACGCGTAAGTTAGCTGAAGTTAGAGCATGGTAAGTCCTTTCCGGGCCCATGTAAAAAGTGAAATAATTTCAGTTGCTCAAGTAATCCATATTTAGATCAAGTACACGCATTTGTACCAGTTGAAACATGAGACGAATTCTTATCACAATAGCAATGCCTCAGACCTCTACTGGCGATAGTTCAAGGTTTATATAAAGAAGGAAACTTACTGTATTGCCACATGCTGCTTCCAGCTTGCCCAGAAGCTGGTGAACTGGATCCTCCAACATAGGATAGAGGATTGATGAAAGAGAAGACCTTCCTAATGTACCCGAAATATCCTCCGGGACTCGCAACTGATGAACTGGTGTCAGCTCTACTCTGTGAAGGGGAAGAAGAAGAGTCTCCTTGAAAGTAACTCACTCCTTTCTGATGAGGAACCACTATCAGTGCTTGTCTGTTAAATAAACCCAAATCTGATAAAGATCTGCATAGATCTGCCAAAGGTGTGCAAAAAAGTAGAGTTAAGTGAACTTACAATTGAGACAAATGACTCAATTTACAAATACGTCAAACCAAACACACCATGCATCTGCCTGTTGCTTAATTAGAAATTAGAAATCCACACCTTGTTCACCAAATATCTTCCGAGGATATGGGATGGCAAGATCGTATGCAGCATATCCATTCTCTTGGTTGCTATCCACGTAGTCTTTGACCATTCTCAGTGTACACGACACCAAGAACTTCTCTTGTATGCTAGTTCCATTAAGCAACTTGATGTTTAGATGAACATCAGTTGATGCATTAATTTTGGAGCCTTTTTCAATGGCATCGATCTCCTTTTCGTTTGAAGTTGCAGGCTTTTTATCTTGTGCATCCTTTGGAAGGGGATTCATCAAAGGTGGTTTGTCAGAATTGTAATCAGTGCTGACTTCTCGGATAACAGGAATGTTTTCTGCACCAACATTATCAACTGTTTCCAAGTTTGCCGTAGAGGGATTAGATGAGGGGCCAGTACTTTTGCTGAGTGGTTGGAAACGGGACTGTTCATCCTCAGCTTTCATCGACTTATTGACATTGCATGGATCCGAAGATGCATTTTCATCATCCTGTTGATTAAAAAAACAAGTAAGGACATTTATAAATTCCAAGTTTGAAATATAAAAGGAAAGGAGGCATGGGTGTGATAGAAACCTTAGTTTTACGGTCACGATGGTTGTCGTCTTTTGTCCCAGAAGCACTAGGTTGTTCAAACTCATAGGATTGCACTTTTTTGCCATCTGGAGATGACGAAACAGTAGATGAAGAACTTCCATGGTCACCTGATATAATGTGAGATGACCCAGGAGTAGTTGGTGCAGACTTCGTATTAGCAAGTGCAGCAGTAAAGACACTTGCAGTTGTTTCCTGCAGTTCATCATAAAAAACTCTGTTATAAAGAAGAAACAAAGGCATTCACAAACAAAAGAGACTATTTCAGTAGACAGACATGCTAGCTAACCTGGATATGAAGACTCAAATACGCTTTCTCTAAACTGGAAACTAAAACTTCAGCACTAACGTTTCCTTCTGCCATGATTTCAAGGTAAAGTCACTTGAAGGGATTTAATAAAATGCAATTGTGATATGCTAGTTCAACTTAACGTTAGCGATCGAGTGTTACCACTTTGCCAGAGTTGGACGCCGTTGAATCCTATAACAGCCACAGCAGGAACAGATTTTTGTGGATCTATAAAAAGTTGATGCAAGGATAGTTTCTGGCTTTACAAATAAAAACAAATCCAGGGGAACAATAAAGAAGGGCGCTTTTGCGACGAGATGTACAAATTCTTGAAAAATAAAGGACGCTCTGCGATAAGATGTAAAAATTCTTCAAAAAGGATACAAATTGCAGAGAAGTTTGCTGCATCATTACTGCCCTCAAGAACATGCAACAAAACACAGTACTTTGATAGTGTATCTGCCACCTGCAAGACACAAACGAAAGTAAAATGCAGTTCAACTACTTAGGGCCAGCGAAAGAAAAGAACTCGACATAATTACAAAAAGCGAAGTATTTCCAGACAAAGTAACATTATAATGAGAAACAGCATCACCTTTGAGTCAGTCCAAGTCGATTTCTCCAAGTCCACTGACACTGGATCCTTGCCTGTAGAGCAAGCGAAAAAGGAGAAGCAACAGTGAACAAAAAACCTAGATAATGACATAACCAATTTGGCGATCCTAACCTATTGGAGCTAACAAGACACCAGAATTTAGCCCCACCTTACACTTACTAAGCTGCAACTAACTAGTAACAGCTTGCAAAATTGTATCTTTTTTTTTTTTTATCACAGTTATCTCTACTAAACCAAGATAAGACATCTCATAACTAAAGGCAGTCCTTTAGATCTCTAACGATTCTGAATAACGGGCAATGATGAAGTCCTTGTGTCATCGTTGATGAAAATCGAAAGTTAGCCACTTGCCACCTACCCTCTTCTCAGTTCATCAAACCTCAAATTGAAGTAATGAACCCTCTAAAGCAAAACCAGTACACAGTCCTAGGAACAATCCAATTCAAAGCACTGCAGAATCAATCTTTTACCTGAAATATAAACAATGAAAAGCTTCTTCTGGGCTTTGGCTTCGAGAATTGCTTGAGAGATGGAGCCTCTGTAGGCTAGCTCAGCTATGCAACTCTCCCCCATCTGTTCAGCAAGCGAAACGATAACTCGATATGAGCTTTAAGGGTTCATAATTCAACAACACAATGAAATCGCAATCACAATTCATCCCAATCCTGAAAAAACTTGAGAGGAACACAATGATGGAAATGCTCATCGTCGCCATATTCAGACAACGCAGAATTCGACATAAAAAACGGAAATCGAAAAGTACTATTACAGTGTAAAGATTGAATCTTTGAGTGCTTATACAGTCGTACTGTGGTCTGTGGAGCGATCGGAAGGGAAAAAGAACTTCTCCAGCCTTACGGAGCTTGTGAGGAGAAGCCAAAGGATTATTCTGGGCGGAGGCAGAGATCAGATCAAAGGGCTGTGATGTTGCCACGACCTCGGGTCGTATTACACAAACCGGGTCACCCTCATTTGCCCCGATGGCTAGCCACGTGTACAAGCATTTACTCCAGATCAGAATGCCAACTGGCAGTGGGACCCACTTCTGCAACTGTGTTACCCGCCTCTTAAAGACTTAAACCCTTTCCTTCCATTCTTACCAGAAGTACCACTGTAGTATTATTGCTTCTCTTTTTCTCTTCCGAATCTAGGGTTTTAAATTTTAATCTCCGTCCATCCGCCGCCTGCTCGATGGCCGCCGTGTCACCGGCATCCAGATTCTCCGCCTCCCAGTTCTCCGCCGCCAATCCAAAGGCCAAACCTTTTCCCTCATCCTTCATCCAATTCCGCTTATCCCCTTCCCGCCATTTTCCTTCCTCCTCCTCCGCCGCCGCCGCCGCCGCCGTTCCCTCTTTACCCCGCAAGTCATTCAGTACTTCGATTTCGTGCTCCGTTCGTCCTGAATACATCCCCAACCGCATTTCGGACCCTCACTATGTCCGCGTGTTCGACACCACGCTCCGCGACGGCGAGCAGTCGCCGGGGGCGACCATGACGTCGAAGGAGAAGCTGGACATTGCCCGCCAGCTGATCAAGCTCGGGGTGGATGTGATCGAAGCTGGGTTCCCGGCGGCTTCCAAGGACGATTTCGAGGCGGTCAAGGCTATTGCCGAGGAGATTGGAAATGCGGTGGATGAGGATGGTTACGTGCCGGTTATCTGTGGGCTGTCGAGGTGTAACGAGAAGGATATTCGGACAGCGTGGGATGCGGTGAAGTACGCGAAGCGGCCGAGGATTCATACGTTTATTGCGACTAGTCCGATTCATATGAAGTATAAGTTGAGGAAGAGTAAAGAGGAGGTGGTGGAGATTGCCAGGAGTATGGTGAGCTTCGCGAGGAGCTTGGGCTGTGAAGATGTTGAGTTTAGTCCCGAGGATGCTGGCAGGTTAGAGTCTTCCCTATTTCTCTCTTGATCTAATTTGGATTTTCTCTGTTGTTGATTTTGTGGTTCCCCTGATTTTGCTGCTGAACTGGCAGCACTAGGTGGTGATGGAAATTGGGAATTTTGGTGAGAAATGTTTGAACTTGTTACGTGGATTTGTCCTGGGTTAACTATAGATGAATTGAATTTTGCTGGCGAAGACAAAATTCGTTGGTCCTTAGTCCCATAAGCTGATTAGGATACTAGGGGACCTCGTAACTATTGAAAGATAGAGCTCTGTGTCAAGAACCAGTTGCTCCCAATAACTCGAGTTGTTGGGAGAAGGTTCTACTGGATCTTATACCACTCTCTAACACGCCCCCTCAAACGAAAGCCAACCCATGAGCTTGAAGTTTGCACAGGCCCACCATACCATGTGCTTGAAAGACAACGGTTAATATTGGGGGTCGTGGAGATTCGAACACATGACCTTTCGGTTCTAGGCTCTGATACCATGTCAAGAACCAGTTGCTCCCAATAACTCGAGTTGTTGGGAGAAGGTTCTGCTGGATCTTATACCACTCTCTAACACTCTGTCCTAAATTGGTGGATCAATTGGGTTAGAGAGTTCTTGATTGGAAGTAGAGTGCATAGAGATTACAGTTACTGAGCATTGTTGTTTGCTTTAGGCCAAGAATGATGTAGGAAACAAGATTTCCTACAGGTTGGGAATTGGGGAATTTAGCTAGATCAATTAGGGATTGATCCAACTAGGGATTAGAATTGGGGATTTTGAGAACAAGAAGAGGGAAAAGGGGTGCTGCAGCCGCAGCTTTGGAGAAGGAAAGGGGAGGGAGGATACGCAGGAGAGAGAGAGGGAAGAGAGAATTAGGATTTAGGTTTTGGTTCTGTAATTGCTTAATCCCAAAATAAGACCCTATTACAGATTATATAACCTGTCTAATTCCTAACTGCTACCCGAATAATAAAACATAACAATTAACTCCCTGTTTATTCCCCCAAATACCCAAATAATACCCCAATCAATAAAAACCGACTCTAATACGAAATAACCAAAAACTGCAAATAATTATGTTTCCCACATCCCCTCTTCCTTCGAAAAACAACCTTGTCCCCAAGGTTGTTCCTCCAGCTCACTAGGCATCTTCCTCTCCATTTCCTTCATCCTCAGCTTCTTCTTCTGCTTCATCTTCCCAGCGCCCAACCAGCATCATCAAATCCGGCTTCGGGCATTGATGACCAATGGTGAACCGGCCATCACAGTTGAAGCACTTGCCCTCCCGCCTCTTTTGCTCAATCTCTGCCGGCGTCAGTCGCACGAATCCCTTCGGTATGGCCCGCTGCCCCACCCTGGCCACCGGAGCTGGTCCTCCACCGCCCGCATTGGCCCCAGTCGAGCCTCCCCCGGGTGCCCCACCTATGCCGCCACTAGCACTGCTGCTTCCTCCTCCTCCGCTTGGCTTTGAGTAGCGGCCAATGGTGCTTCTCCAGCTAGCCAGTTCTTCCTCCTTATGACCTGCAAGACGAAAAGCAGTTTTCACGGAATCGGGCTCAAACACCCTGACTGCCGCAGCTATCTCGGGTTTGAGACCCGCCATGCACAGCCCCACCAAGGTGTCCTCCGAGACTCCCTTGCACTGGTTCCCCAACTTGAAGAACTCCGCCCGGTACTCTGCCACTGTGCCGGTCTGCTTCAGCTTTGCCAACTGCTCAGGAGCCCACCCATCTGACTTCCCAAACTGATAACGGAGCTCCTCCTGAAACATGGGCCAGGTGATCAAGGTTGCTGCCGCTGCATAGGATCTCTCCATCCACTCCCACCACTGGAGCGCATCGCCCTCCAGATAGAACGATGCCAGGTAGGCTTTCCTCTCTTCCGGAATTGGGTGATTCTTAAACCACCTCTCAACTGCATACAACCAAAGACCTGCATCCTCCTGCCCATTGAATTTGGGAAACTCAATGGTAGGAGGCTTAGCTCGAAAAACTATCCCATCCATTCCCTCATAGTTTGGATACTGGGACCCATACCTGTCATTTCCTGGCGTCTTCCATGGCTGCCCCCACTGAGAGCACTGCATCTGGTTAGGATTCCCATGTCCATAGTCACCTGGATAGTAGCCCGGCTGATTCGGGTATCCCCCTGGGACATGCGGCGCCTCATATGGGCCCTCTCCTCCTCCTGGACCCCTGCTGTCCGCTCTCCGGTTCGGCTGCGCGGTTGGACTCGGTCGATGCCCGGTTCGACCCACCTCGGGTCGACCCATCCCGGTCCGTCCCGGTCCGGTTCGGCTTAACTCGGTCCGATCAGCACTGGTCCGACCAATCCCGGTTCGCTCCGGTTCGGTTCGAACCCCTCCTGACCCGTCCGCCTGCCCCGGCCCAATAGGAGCCGACCCGCCCGGCCCAATCTGGTCAGTGGACCTATTCGGCCCACCAGGCCCCTTCTGGCTCATCTCTTGTTCAGCCCATTGGGCCTGCTGGCCCGCCAAGCTTAGTTGATCATACTCAGGCCCACCTTCCAGATCCAACCATCCCAGCCCGTTATGGACCCTTGTATAGTGGCCCAGCTGGCCCGGCCCACCATTCATAGGAGGCCCATCCGTGTCATACCCAGCCATCTTAGCCTTTCCTTTGCGGGCCGCAATTTCTTGGGCCGTGGGTGTAGGTAACAGGCCCGAGCCTGAGCCCAGCCCTAATGCAGTCCGCCCAGCCCTGCTCCCTTCGGCCCTCTCGCCTGGCGCGGCAACCCGGGCCGCCGCCACCCCCGTCGGGATCGCCCCGCCGCCGGGCCCGCTGCCCGCCCCAACCTCCGTCGCCGTGGCACCCGCCGGCGCCGCCAGTGCCGCCTGCGGAGTCGCCCCGCCGCCCGCAGCCGCCTCTGCCGCGCCCAGACCGCCGCCTCCTGCCAACGCCGGCTCCGCCGTGATCGGCGCTCCTTCTAGGCCGCCTCCTCTTGCCTGCAGCGAGGTAATTGCCCTCATCAGGTCATCCAGCCTCTGACGCAGATCGTCAGCATCCTCCTTCGCATCAGCCTGCACTCTTGCCAGGCCTTCTTCGAGCCTAGCCAGCGCCTCAGAGTGCTCGTGCACTACCTCCTTCACCGCCTCCAGCTCAGTGAGGTCCTCCATCACCACCTCGTCGCGATCAACACCGCCCGTTCCGGTGCTCCTCTCGGCTGCCTGCGCCTTCTCCTCCGCCGCCTTCATCGATTTCGTTGTCACCATTGTTGCTTTCCTGTGTTCAAGAGTTCAGATGAACTCACTCTCGAGCCAGGCTCTGATACCAGATGTAGGAAACAAGATTTCCTACAGGTTGGGAATTGGGGAATTTAGCTAGATCAATTAGGGATTGATCCAACTAGGGATTAGAATTGGGGATTTTGAGAACAAGAAGAGGGAAAAGGGGTGCTGCAGCCGCAGCTTTGGAGAAGGAAAGGGGAGGGAGGATACGCAGGAGAGAGAGAGGGAAGAGAGAATTAGGATTTAGGTTTTGGTTCTGTAATTGCTTAATCCCAAAATAAGACCCTATTACAGATTATATAACCTGTCTAATTCCTAACTGCTACCCGAATAATAAAACATAACAATTAACTCCCTGTTTATTCCCCCAAATACCCAAATAATACCCCAATCAATAAAAACCGACTCTAATACGAAATAACCAAAAACTGCAAATAATTATGTTTCCCACAAATGACCAGGGAGAAATTGAGATTAAAGTTTGCTACTTTCTGTAGCACATCAGCTAATTAGTTTTAGTAATGACGCACACTGAACTTGCTGTGATATTGGTAGCTTTCTTTAGTTGGTTCTCAAGTGGAGCCCTGCTCCTGCTTTGTGGAGACGCAACCCTTTAAGCTTCTATGTTTCCATTATCTTCCTGGATCTCACAATCTCAAAACAGAAACCCGTGTTTTCTATTCGATGGGCACGTTAATTAATCTGCTGCTCCATAGTATTATTGAGCTTGATTGAGGTTGAAAAGGGGAACATAGGTAGGGAATTTGTGATTCCTCCTTTAGAAGGCGTATTAATTTGGTGATCCCTAATATGAAGCTACCTGAAGCAAAGGCTGTGGACGAAATAATCTGCACTCAAATGTTATTCTGTCAATGGTACTATATACCTGCATGTCTCCTCATCAATGGTCAGCTGTCTTGTCTAAGTGCCAAAGCTTCCCCTGCTTTGGCTATTCATGCTTTTTAGGTTTTAGTATGGTGCTTTGAGCTTTTCATTCTTCCTCAGGTCTGATAGGGAGTTTTTGTACCAAATTTTGGAAGAAGTAATCAAAGCTGGGGCAACGACTCTGAACATACCAGATACTGTTGGGATCAACTTGCCTAGTGAATTTGGACAACTAATTGCTGACATAAAAGCCAATACGCCAGGAATTGAAAATGTCATCATTTCAACACACTGCCAAAATGATCTTGGACTTTCTACTGCTAACACGTTGGCGGTATGTCACTCCTTTCTCTTTTTATTTTTGAAGTATTTTATGGGTACAACCAAACTATATTCAAACCTCAACTGATACTTCAGGGGGCATATTCGGGTGCACGACAAGTCGAAGTGACTATCAATGGCATTGGCGAGAGAGCTGGAAATGCTTCACTGGAGGAGGTATGGTTTTGATTTTTGCTCAGAATGTGATGGCACCTAACATAGATAATGCCTGTGGTTTCTGCAACTCCCCCAGTTAGTATACGAGTCCTCTCTTCTGGGCAAGTTCCTGCCCTTTGTCCGAAGTCCCTATGCTTTTTTTGGGTTCTTTTAGCTTCATTTGTTTATCCAATTATTATTTTGGTTTTAAAATCTTGTTCATGACAATTTATGCAGGTTGTAATGGCCATAAAATGCCGCGGAGAGCACGTGTTAGGAGGTTTGTACACTGGGATTAACACTAAACACATCACTATGGCAAGCAAGATGGTAAATTTTCTCTATAGCTCTCTGTATTCACCATTTGTTTCATTCTGTTTGGTAAATATGGTTCTTGATTGCAATGGTCCTTTAGGTGGAGGACTACAGTGGATTACAAGTGCAGCCTCACAAGGCTATTGTTGGAGCTAATGCTTTTGCTCATGAAAGTGGGATACATCAGGTTAGTGTGCAATTACAACTCGTTTTCCTGCTTGGTTTGGTCTTTAGGATCCTAATTATGTTGTGCTAATGTTTGCCATTTCGAGTAGTTTCTGAGATTTGATATAGAGAACATCTACTAATATAACGACAAGATGTTAGTAATATGAGCATAGTTCTTGGAAGGGAGTATATTAACTAATGTTAGTTTAGTGTGATAACAATGAAGTGCGGACAGCTCACACTGTACAGTGGGGTGGACCTGTTGGAGGCGAGTCCAAGAATGGAGAATAGCTGTTGAGGACTTATTTCTCCCCTTGGTCTGAGTTTGTTGTATATGGTTCAGGATGGAATGTTAAAGCATAAAGGAACATATGAGATTATATCTCCTGAAGATATTGGTCTTGAGAGAGCCAATGAAGCCGGTATTGTTCTTGGGAAACTTAGGTATCATTCAACTTATCGCACTTCGTTATCTGAATTCATATACTGCCCTACTCAGTATCTTATGGGTTTGAGCTGTTCGATAGAACTTTTCGTTTGGGCGCAGTTTAGATATATTGAAGGGCTGACTTATTAGAAATTCTGTAATTGCATTTTGTAAGGAAGACCATCACACAGCTGACTGTTAATTTATCTCCGTTTGGACACTGAATTACCCGGGGAAAAACACAAATGATGCTCCTGTGTTACTTTTGTAATTGATTCCACCGTTTAGCTGTATCACGTCTTATCATGTCATGTCTTCATCTTGATTTGTTTGTTGTTTAGAGACCAATCAGTAAAATCCTATGTGTAATTTCTTTTTTCTTTTTGTGGAAACAGTGGGCGCCACGCACTGAGAGATCGACTGAAGGAGGTATCGCTAATACATGTTATACTTGGTCCTGTAATGCTCATCTTTTTTGTTTAACAGAGCATTTAGACTGCCTTAATCCTACTTTGTGTAGCTTGGATATGAGCTGGATGATCAACAGCTTGGCAACATCTTTTGGCGTTTTAAGGCAGTTGCTGAACAAAAAAAGGTGATAAATGCTCCATATCTGTTCACCATCCACCTTATTGCAAAACTGTATACTCACTCTTCCTCTGTCAAGAACACTTGTTTCCCATAACTGCACCTTAAGTTAACTAATTTTATGGTTTCTGCAGCGAGTCACTGATGCAGACCTAATCGCTTTAGTCTCAGATGAAGTTTTCCAACCAGAAACTGTTTGGAAACTCCATGACTTGCAGGTAAACTTTATTCTCTCTTTCTCTTCTCTCATGATGTGTTTGTGAACTTGGTACAGCTTGTAAGAAACTGAAATGAGCTTTGTTACTACACAGGTCACTTGTGGAACACTTGGCCTATCCACTGCCACTGTCAAACTCACTGATGCTGATGGGGAGGAGCATATCGGCTGCGCTGTAGGAACTGGTCCAGTCGATTCCGCATACAAAGCAGTTGATCTCATAGTAAAGGTCTGGATTCAAATCTTAATCAGAAACTTTCTCCTGTCAGAGCTTTCCACTAGAGGACTGGTATAGGTAGCAGAGAAGCATGGACCTATTAGTCAGAGCAATCGAATGGCTCCCAAAGCTCAAATTTTTGGGTTGTGGAGCTTTCACTAGACTGTACTTTTGATTTTCTATAATCCGTGACCACCATCAACGACTTTAATGTTTGCATTATTGTGTTACTGGATGGTTGCAGGAAGAGGCGACACTGATGGAGTACTCCATGAACGCCGTCACAGAAGGGATCGATGCAATTGCAACCACCCGTGTCTTAATTCGTGGGGAGAACAAGCACACCCCTACCCATGCATTGACCGATGAACCTTTCGAGCGTACATTCAGGTATTGGGAAACCTTTTCGTTTCAATTCAACTCTTGTCGAACTCTGGTGGACATATACACACACATGCATTACATTAAACACATTGCATCAACTGGAACTCAGATTCTTTGTTTTTCTCTATATGAACAGCGGTTCTGGGGCAGGGATGGACATAGTGGTTTGCAGTGTGAAGGCCTACATCAGTGCACTGAACAAGATGTTAGCATTCAAGCGACGGGCGCCAGCTAAGGCTGCTGCAGCATCTTCGCCAGACAGAACCCATGTTTCCGCTTGAACAAGATGTTAGCATTCAAGCGATCAACAAGAACACATGTATTAAAAAAAACATGAAAGACAAGTGTTGACATTGAACTTTGGAGTAGTAGTACAACACATGACCAACCATGTTCGAAGGAAATGAAACACGAACGTAGCTAGCAATACAAGCCGTAGAGTCGAGTATGCCTATGTTTGGCCCGACTTTTAGAAGTGTTTTTCAGTTTCAAAAGCTGAGCAGGGCCAAACACCTATAAAAGTTCGGCTTTTGAAAAGCCAAAAAACACTTTTTTATAACATAAAAGCAGAAGCTCCAAATCGGAGCTTCTGCGAAAAGCTGTTTTGAAAATATAAGATTATTCTTATCATATTTTAATTTTATTTAAGAAAATATAATTTTTTCATTTATATCATTTTAAAAATAAAATAAATTATAAAATCATATTATTTAATATAAGGAAGTCTAACAACATCCATTTTGACTACATTTTATTGTTTAGAATTATTATTCATAGTTTATATTATAAGTCCTTTATAGTTATTTTACACTACCTCCCATATTAAAAAACACTTTTAATAGTTTTTCAGGCAAATATTTCTTTGCTTTGTTTAAAAAGTACTTTTCTAAAAGCTCAAAACATAAGCTATTTTTGCAAAAGCTACAGCAGGGCCAAACTGAGCCTATGTATAGAGAAACTTATTCTTAATCAGTACGGACAACTTGTTATATTGGAAAGTAAAACATGGATGCATGACGATTAACCAAGGCTAAATTAGTATTAAATACAAAAATATCCGACTAGTACAAGTTTCAACAAAAACTCACAAAGTGTTTCGTATTTTGAATTTTTTTTTAAATGCATTCGATATCCACGTTGCTTAACAGATCTCTCTCAATATATCCTATCAGATATACAATTGTCGTAACAAGATGTCTAACGTCGTATCCTCTGTCATTAGTTGGTGAGACATTATATATTCATTAACATGTGATTATTAATGTACTACTTGATAAGTTTTTCATACCTAGAAAAACACAATTGATATCGAGAATATATAATAAACTAATTTATGGTACGTAGTGTCATTAAACAAATACCAATCCTCGGTTGCCAACTTATATATCAACTAGTCCATTAATAATCGCATGTTTAATTATGAATATATAATATATATGTCTCACCTACCAATAACAGAGGATACAACGATAGACATTTTGTTTCGACTAGGCCGACGTACGAGAATCATATATATCATTATCGCTGGCAAACACCAAAGGAAGTTATCAATTATTTAAACCTACTTGCAATTAGGACGTACAACCCAATTAGTTATCAATTATGATTGTTGCTATATATGTGACGAAGCAAAAGGAACCATTTTTGGGGATTCTATGTAAAACAGATTGCAAATGCAAAACATCGTACACGTCGTTAAATGTATGATCAAGTACTTAATTTGCTCCATCATTAGCGACGATTTGGTGACAAATAAATGTGGGTTTACTTCACCATCGGCCGGCCTTTCTCGATCGATGACAACTTTATATAATCATCGTACCACGACCAATAAAAAACTAATTACATTAGTAAGCATCAAACCAACATACTCATACAAACAAATGAAATCTTTTTTTTTTTTTTCTTTTTTAATCCGAACACATGACGACAATACATGGACAAAAATGAGTAATTGAAAGACGAAAAGATAGAGCTACGAGCTTCATTATCAAGCATTAACACGTACTTCACGAGTACGCACAACTTATTGAGAGCAAAGGGTTGTACGTGACAATATTCAATTAACCAACACACAAAGCTGTCATGGATGCATCGTCCATGAAATGAACCTCCTCTTTCCCCGTACTCTCGTCGAGAACGTCGTAACGAGTATAAGGGAATATTACACGTGGCCAGACTCGCAGTCAGCTTGACCGTCACCGTTGACCAGGGTGGCACCGTGACCTCGTGGACTTTGATCTGGTCGGGGTCCCCCACCTGAGTGGTGTAGGGACCCCACAGGTAAGACAACTCGAACGGAGCTATCAGCTCGATTGCAGACGAATCGCTGATGGACCCGATTTCGTCCGGCTGGATACGAACTACCGGTCCCAACCTCATCGTCGGGCCATTCGCTTTCAGAGTGCAACTCCTCACGTCCTTGTACCGGATCTCTACCGACAGGGTTCGAGCGACACCGCTCTCGTTGGTGACAGCTTCTCCAGGGTTCACTACGACGAGGGTTTCATCGTAAACCCAACCGTATTCGAGTAGGAACTTGATGTCTTTGATCCTCTTCGAGGAGACGAGCTCGTACAGGGTTAGTTCGCTGAAGAACTCTTCGATCTCGGGTTCGTTGGCTTGCAGATAGTAGCCCGCCCGAGAAGCAAACATGTTGTTCCCCAAGTTGCGTAGAACGATGGTTTGGCCGTCCACCTTTATAAATTGATTGATCAATTAACTATTCAAATAACCCGAATTATTGGAAGAAATAGAGTAACTGACCTTAATTGGCTGAAACAGAGAATCCGGGCCGGGAGTGGTGAGGTCGTCTTCAGCCAATATGAAGTCACTTGCCTCACCATTTCGCCTCCAGTAAGCCCCGCGGGAGACGTTCTTGATGCGGATAGAAGTCCCGTCGGGCATAGGGACAACCTCGTTGGCGACGGATCGTTCTCCTCGATCGCCAATCTGGAATCGCAGAAACGGCAGCTCTTCCTCGAAGAGGCCAAGGTAAGAGATGCCCAGAAAAGCCAGGTGCTTGGGGAGCACGAGCAAGGAGTCCCAGTCGGTGACCTGCAGCAGTATCAGGAGATATTACTAAGTTATCGCGTCAAGACTACTCAAACCGAAGACCACGAATGTCAAAGTGGGATCGCGACAAGATTCAGAGGAAGTTGTCATCATCAAGTCTAGTTTATTGTCAATGTTAGTTTTAGACTTTAATTTCAGTTAACGTTTTTTTATCTTGTTAGTCTCAAAATGCAAGGTTGCACATGTTGTCTTGTAATGCCAAACTTGGGTATCTAAACCAAAAATGATAAATGAGAGAACCCAAGGCTAGCTAGCTTTAGGGTTCCACTTTCACCCCCAACAATTAGTGATGGCAATGGGCCGGGTTGGGGCTGGTTTGGTCAAACCCAAACCCAAACCCATGGGTTTATCCGCCAAAAAAACCTGGGGTAAAACCCGTTAGGTTTAAAAAACTCAAACCCAACCCAACCCAACCTGTTGGGTATCCGCGGTTCATGGGTGGATTTTTGTGGTAAAAAATTTACAATAACAAGTTTCTTTCAAAATAAAATCTTAACATCAATTTTCTCATACAAATTATTCATACAAAAAACACTAATCTAGAGCATACAAGCAAACCGCAAATGATCAATACAAATAGTTCAAAATTAATTATGAACATCTACAAACATCATGATTAATTGAAAGCTTCTTTCTCGTCAACTAAGTTTCTTCACTCTCCACTCCATAATATCAACTTCATGCTAAACAATTAGAAAGAACAAATTATACATGTCTCCACAAACATAAAGAATATTAGTTGTTTAAGGAAGATATATTGTTTAGAATATTAAATATACCGGGAAAGTAATTATATGTGTGTGGACGGGTACCCATGGGACGGGTTTACCTAAACCCAAACTCAACCCAACCCGATGAATAGTGTAGCAGGTTTAAACTCGAACCCGGCCCAAAACCATCAACACGAGTTTTACCCACATTGACTGAGTTGGGTCCAATGAGTACCCATGGATTCAGGTTTTGTTGCCATCCCTACCCACAATAATACTTTTGCTACCTGGAACTGGACCAACGGGTCCGCGCGGTCCGTAGCCTCCGCGGATATACCCGGGGCGCGGTACCTTACGTAGCGCCCCCGCTGGACAGTTGGACCACGGTTACATCGCCGCTGCCGCCGCCAGTACCAAACTCGGGCTGGAACAAGGTGCAGCGCCAGTCGACGAGGTTTTCGTTGGGCCTGTCCGCCATCGGACAGATCCAGCCGCCGATAGCGTCCCCTCCGATGGGCTGGAGGTACTTGTTGTTGTAACTGCACTTGATGTGGACCATGAATGGGTGGACCGCCGACGGCTCCACCTCGAACTTGGCCTGCGGTTCCCAGGCCTTGTCGGCGGCGACTCCAATGGCCAGCCCTATGCTAGGATGCCTCAAGTATTTCCCCACGCTCTTTGAATACAGCACCATGAACCTTGGCAATGCCGCCATTCTCTCTCTCTCTCTTAGTTTCTTTTTGGATGAGAGATAAATTGATGAATGATGAGTGTACGTGGTCGATCTCTCCAACGTTCCTATTTATTTAGGGAGGTACTAATTAAAGCCCTAAATTTTTTAAAATTTCCGCCCTAACTTAATAATTTGACCTTTTCGCCCTAAAAAATTCTCAATCCCTAAAATTATTTCGCCCTAAACCTAACGCCTTCGCCGCTGCAGCAAGGTAACTAGTCACCGCGCCGACGTCGCTGCTGCTGGTCGCTCTCACTAGTCGCCGTCGCTCCAATCGCCCCAATACCTCTCTTCCTATGCCGTCGACGACCTCTCTGCTTCATCCTCCTTCCTCCTCAACGGCGCTGGTCTGTTTTCCTATATCTGTCTCAACGTCGACCTGATTAAAAATTCTCAATCGGCGATAATTCTCAATCACCTTCGCTCCGCAGCAGCCGCAGCGACTAAACTCGGAATTCCAGGGCGAACGGCGGCTTGGCTGCGACGGGGGAGCTGGGCGATGTTCATCCAGGGAGAACGATGCCTTGGTTGCGACGGGAGGGCGGGACGGATTTGGGGGCGATTGGGGGAGGGGGCTTCCTGCGACAGGAGGGCGTACGGCGGCGGCGCTCATCCAGGGCGATTGGCGGCGAGACAGATTAGGGGATTAGGGCTGCTGCTGGGAAAAGGGTTGGAGGGGTAATTTTGTCTATTCAGTTTATTTAGGGCGGAAATTTTAAAAACTTAGGGCTGCAAATAGGAATCCAGTTTATTTAGAGTCAGTTTGTTTCGTGGATTTGAAAAATGAAGATTTTGGTAAAACTTGAGTTTTGTAAAACAATGGATATATGAGTGTTTTTGGGTTTATTATGGACCTGAAAAATATCATTGTTTGTTTCATAGATTTCATGATAGAATTGATTGATTAGATTTGTATGTATGAAGTGAAATTTACTTGTATTGTCCTCATTAATTGGTATGAGAAGAGAAATGAAATGGAAGGGGAGGAGTAGTTTGGGTCTTATAAACTGGAATTCAAAGTTCATGATCAATTCCAACATAAAGAGGTGGAACTTTCAAATCCGTTGGGTCCACGGATTCGGATTCTTAAAGTTCGTGGGACCCAAGGATTTGTTGTCTCTATATACATGAAATAAACAATGGATTTTGAACAAAGTCCACGATGGATCCAAATCCATCACCAGAACCATCAAGCAAACAACCACGTGTTTAAGTAAATTCCGCAGGGCAATAAGCCAATAACGTATATGCGCCCTGGGTGGCGGTTCGGCGATTTTACAACGTACACGGTGCAAAATGTCACATAATAATTAAGACGGAAAATGAAGTAAATAATGTTTTATTCCATAAATTGGATGCGTCCTTTAACTTACAATATTAACGTAGAATGATGCCAACATGTGACATAGATTATGGGAAGATCTTTCGGTGGAAATCGGGGGATCTTTTGTGGGGGAGGCCCAAGCTAGCCAAGCTACTTGCATGTGAGTATTAATTAATTAAGCAAGCAATTAATTACTAGCTTGTCCATTATTAGCGACGAGTTAGTGACAAATAAGTGCGGTGGTTTTATTTTATGATATATATCATCGGCCGTCCAGTCCATATCAATCATGTAGCCACGTGATGCATGCATGGTTCGTCATTTTATGCTGCAAGTTCGGCCGATACAAGTACCAAGCGAAACGATGTCGTGTTGGCCTTTGGTAATTAATCAAGTAATGTGTTGATGAATATACGACGTCGGACAACTTGTTGTTCCAGTTAGGCCGATGTATACCTAGAGGTTGCAATTCTCAATCGATTAAAGTTCTGAGCAGATTCGGATTGTGACGAAATTTTTCGTGAATAATGATGCACATCAGGCGATGGATGGAGTGGTCATTTTCAATTTCCAGAGATTTTATACAGAGTGGTGTTCTCACTTATAAATTAAATTAAATAATTAAAAATTAAATAACTAAATTAGTATTAAATACAAAAATATCCGACTAGTACAAATAAATAAATAAAACCCAAAACGTGTTTCGTATTTTGAAAGTTTTGTAAAATGCATTCGGTGTCCACACTGCTTAATAGATCTCTCTCAATATATCCTATCAACCAAGGATAGCATATTCGATTGTCGAACAAGATGTCTAACGTCGTATCCTCTGTCATTAGTTGGTGAGAAATTATATATTCATTAACATGTGATTATTAATGTACTACTTGATAAGTTTTTCATACCTAGAAAAACACAATTGATATCAAGAATATATAATAAACTAATTTATGGTACGTAGTGTCATTAAACAAATACCAATCCTCGGTGGCCAACTTATATATCAACTAGTCCATTAATAATCGCATGTTTAATTATGAATATATAATATATATGTCTCACCTACCAATAACAGAGGATACAACGATAGACATTTTGTTTCGACTAGGCCGACGTACGAGAATCATATATATCATTATCGCTGGCAAACACCAAAGGAAGTTATCAATTATTTAAACCTACTTGCAATTAGGACGTACAACCCAATTAGTTATCAATTATGATTGTTGCTATATATGTGACGAAGCAAAAGGAACCATTTTTGGGGATTCTATGTAAAACAGATTGCAAATGCAAAACATCGTACACGTCGTTAAATGTATGATCAAGTACTTAATTTGCTCCATCATTAGCGACGATTTGGTGACAAATAAATGTGGGTTTACTTCACCATCGGCCGGCCTTTCTCGATCGATGACAACTTTATATTGTTGAAATATCAAAGTTTGGGTACCAATTTGTATAATTATCTTCTGTTGTATTGTCTATGTAATTGTGGAACCCTAAGGCAGAACCTATAAAAGGGCCGAGGGTCTTTGCTGTACAGCTTAAGCCGTTTGGCAATTATAGTGAAGATTATTGGAGAGCACAGCCTCTCCCGTGGATTAGTCCTGTACCTCAGGGATACCACGTTAAATCTCGGTGTTCATGTTTGTTGATTCTATAGTTCTTTACATGGTATCAGAGCCTCTGATCTAAGTTTGGTCATTGCTTTCTTGCGGATTTGGTCGCTGCTGTTGGGGTTGGCTTCACGGCGTTCTTTGTTTGTGGAGTATTGGTTCTTGGTTCTCGACGCGGCGCGCTAGGGTTCCGCCAAGGTACGGTTTCTTTTGCCAGCTGGGTTGTGAGAGTGTTGTTTGTTCTTCTCTCGGTGGGACAGCTGCTTGTTGTGATGGATGTCACTAAGATGGATTCCGTGTCCATAAAATTTGATGGGAAAAATTTTGCTATTTGGGAATTCCACTTCCGTAATTTTGTGGCTGGCCAACGTCTTCTCCCTATTCTCACGGGCGAGCTACCGCAACCTGCTGTGGGTGCGGATTCTAGGGAAGTTGGAGATTGGCAGGCTGGGAATGCAAGGCTGATTACTTGGTTGCTCGGCGCGGTGGACATCCCGACCGCCCTGAGCTTGCGTCGGTTTAACACAGCCCATGAGATGTGGCATCACATCTGCTCGACATATGCACAGAATAGCGCTTCGCGACAGTTCGAGCTGGAAACTGAGATTGCTCGCTTGGCTCAAGGGGAACGGAGTATCCGCGAATACTATCAAGCTTGCCTTCATCTTTGGACGGAATATGATTTGTTGACGGCTTCGTTGGTTCCGGCTGCTGCGTCGGATGCGGTCATTGCGGAACGAACACGTACTCGTGTTCTTCAGTTCTTGGCCAAGCTTCGATCGGAGTTCGAGCCTATCCGTGCCTCTTTGATCCATCGAAACACGACCCAATTGGAGGATGTGATTGCTGAGTTGATGAGGGAGGAGACTAGGCTGAAAAGTCAATCTCAAATTGACAATGTTGGTTTACAGGCGGAGTCGGCATTTGCTGTGGGACGTCCCGCGGCTGCTTCTCGTCCCCAGGTGCCACGGACTTCTTCCGGGACGATTGTTTGCCACTTTTGCCGCGAACAAGGTCATATTCAAATCCACTGCAAGAAGAAGAATTTTTGCAACTATTGCAAACGGTCGGGCCACATTGTGCTTGAGTGTTCGACATTGATTCGCCGCGGCAAACTTCGACCTGCCTCGGGGGTTGGCACCTCGTCCTCTCCCGCGGCTGCGTACCCAGTCACTGTGGAGGCTCCTGTTGCTCCGGTCGCTTCCTCTTCCGCTGGCGGTGGGTCGGTTTCTGCTGATCAGATCCGCCGATTAGTTCAGGAGGCTCTCCAAGAGGCACTCTCCTCCGCGTTCGCTACCTCGGCTCAGTCCGGTAAGTCCCTCCGATGGCTCTTAGACTCTGCTGCTTTCAACCATATGACGAGTCATCGTCCGGCTTTTGATCACTTGTCCCCTGTGAACTCGATGCGTCTTCAAGTGGCCAACGGGGCCACTATTCCTGTTCATGGGTCGGGCACAGCTCACACCGGCCCGGTTACCCTTCCCCATACGCTATATGTTCCTCAACTTCGTCCAAATTTGGTCTCGGTGGGTCAGTTGACTGAGGATGGTTATAATGTCGTGTTTGACTCCACTGGCTGTGCTGTGCAGGACCGGACGACGGGGAGGGTGATCGGGCGGGGCCGTAAGAGTGGTCGCACATTTGTTTTGGATAACTTCTCAGGGGTGGACATGTTTGGGGAGGACGTGCATGGCAAATGCATGGAGATTGCCGCTGCTGAGAAGAATGGTTCTTCTTTGAAAGGGGTTGGTCCCTTGTATTGTTTCCCGGCTAATGACAGTGTTGATTTTTCGGCAAACAACTCTCGTATTTCTCTTGGAAATTCTGTATGGGATTTATGGCATCGACGTTTGGGTCATCCCCATTCGGGAAGATTGAAAACTATGTTTTGGCAGAACTTATTTCCTGATCGGTTAGCTGTTTCTAAGTTGAATGGTATTTCGGATTGTGTGGAATGTGTTGAGGCCAAGACCTCGCAGCTGTCTTTCTCCACTAGTGATACAGTTTATGACGACCCATTTGATTTAGTTCATACTGATATTTGGGGGCCGTCGCCTATCACGTCTCGCATGGGGTTTAGGTACTTTGCTTTGTTTATAGATCATACGACCCGATATACGTGGGTTTATTTTTTGAAGAAGAAATCCGACTTGGTTGTGGCAGCCAAGGAGTTTGTGAGTATGATCCGGACGCAGTTTGAGAAAACAGTCAAGGTCTTGAGGTCGGACCCTGGTGGGGAGTTTGTGGCCACCGAACTTTTACAGCTCTTTAAGGATTTGGGAATTCTTCAGCAACAGTCGTGTCCTGGTGTGTCTCAGCAGAACGGGGTTGTAGAGCGAAAACACAGGCATGTATTGGAGCTTACTCGCGCTGTTCTGTTCCACTCAAGGGTTCCCCCCGATTTTTGGGTTGAGGCGGTCCAGACTATTGTTTATTTGATAAACCGCCAGATTACTCCACTGCTTGGTCAGAAGTCACCATATCATGCTCTTTACCAGCGACTTCCTGATTATTCGTCCCTCCGAGTGTTTGGCTGCACCTGTTTTGTCCTGCTACCGAAGAAAGATCGGCACAAACTTGCTCCCAAAGTGGCTCGCTGTGTTTTTGTGGGGTATAGCGAGAAGCATAAAGGTTACCTTTGTTATGACCCTGGTGATCGTCGGATGAGAATAGCATATCATGTACGGTTTATGGAAGACAACATGTACTATAGAGATAAGTCTTCTACTGAGGCTGACATTGCCGAGTCATTAGACTTTCTTGTTCCCTTGGCTGAGTTCGACTCCTCCTCTCCGCCAGCGCCAGTGGATTCGACCCCTGCCAGCCCCGCGCCGTCAAGTCCCTCTTTGTCTCCCAACAGCCCGCAATCGAGCGCCTCTTCTTCGGGCTCTATCTCTCCTGGTTCCGCCTCATCCTCCTCTAGCTCGTCGAGTGGTGGTGGTCCGAGTGGTGCTGGTTCAGGTGGTGGGCCGAGTGGTGGGGACTCCAGTGGTGGGGGCTCCTCTCCACCGTCCCAATTGATAGTTCCGCCGCGTCGCTCCAACCGAGCTAATCTGGGTAAACCACCGCCCCATATGCGTGACTTTGTGAGCTTCTCCGCGGCCCCGATTTTTATCCCCACTTGTTATTCCCAAGCCGCAGCTGATCCACGGTGGAATGCGGCTATGAAGGTCGAGATGGACGCTCTTGAAAAGCAACATACTTGGGATTTAGTCCCTCGCGAAGAAGGTATGCAAGTCATCGGCAGTCGCTGGGTTTACAACGTCAAGATGCTCCCCGATGGTGAAGTTGAGCGTTTTAAAGGACGTGTCGTGGCTCAAGGGTTTAGACAGGAGTATGGTATCGACTACGATGAGACATTTGCTCCGGTAGTTAAGATGCAGACTGTCCGCTGTGTTTTTGCTGTAGCCTCTATGAGAGGTTGGTCTCTTCTTCAGCTTGATGTGAAGAATGCATTTCTTCATGGTGACCTGAAAGAGACTGTCTATATGGAGAGGCCTCCGGGATATGAGAAAGGGGATTCTACTATGGTGTGCAAACTTAATCGCTCCCTGTATGGCTTGAAACAGGCACCTCGTGCATGGTTCGAGAAGTTTCATGGGACGATCATGCAGGCTGGCTTTACTCAGAGCCAAAATGATCCCTCTCTTTTTACCCGTGAGACCATTGATGGCATTGTTATCTTGTTGATCTACGTTGATGATATGATTATCACAGGCAGTGATAAGGATGGCATTCGCGAAGTTACTACCGCACTCCATACAGCTTTCAATCTCAAGGAAATGGGGGAGGTTTCTTACTTCTTGGGTTTGGAGGTCAAGCGCTCACCACAAGGTATTTTCCTTTTTCAGCGAAAATATATTCTTGATCTTTTACACTCTTCTCAGTATGCAGATTGTGTGCCATGCTCCACCCCAATGGAGCAAAACTTGAAGTTGACCAGGGAAGGGGGGGAAGTGATGGAAGATCAATCGGGTTACAGGAGCTTGGTAGGGAGTCTAATTTACTTGACCCATACGAGACCAGACATTGCTTATGCAGTTCAGGTGGTGTCTCAGTTCATGGGAAGAGCGACTAGGGTTCATTTGGCCGCCGTGCACAGGATTCTGAGATATCTTAAGCAAACGCAGGATGTCGGGCTGTTTCTACCAGCAAATGGAGAACCTGTGGTTGAGGCTTTCGCAGATGCGGATTATGCAGGATGCATAGACACCAGAAGGTCTACCTCGGGATGGTGTGTTCGTGTTGGGCAGTCTTTTGTGTCTTGGAGGTGCAGAAAACAGGATAGAGTGTCAAAATCCTCAACTGAAGCAGAGTATCGGTCTATGTCTGAGGTAAGCTCAGAACTTGTGTGGATACATCGATTACTAGGTGAATTGGGCGTTAATTGTCGAGTCCCAATGCGCATTTATGGGGATAACACCAGCGCAATTCAGATTGCTGTTAACCCTGTGATGCACGATCGGACTAAACATATAGAGGTTCATGTCCATTACATCAGACAATTAGTAGCAGAAGGAGTGATACAAATTGGGTACCTTTCGACCGAAGATCAGACAGCAGATCTTTTGACCAAGGCAGTTGCTTCCAGTAGGCATTGGTATTTGTCGTCCAAATTGATGCTGCGTACCGCAGATCAATTTGAGGGAGGGTGTTGAAATATCAAAGTTTGGGTACCAATTTGTATAATTATCTTCTGTTGTATTGTCTATGTAATTGTGGAACCCTAAGGCAGAACCTATAAAAGGGCCGAGGGTCTTTGCTGTACAGCTTAAGCCGTTTGGCAATTATAGTGAAGATTATTGGAGAGCACAGCCTCTCCCGTGGATTAGTCCTGTACCTCAGGGATACCACGTTAAATCTCGGTGTTCATGTTTGTTGATTCTATAGTTCTTTACATATATAATCATCGTACCACGACCAATAAAAAACTAATTACATTAGTAAGCATCAAAGCAACATACTCATACAAACAAATGAAATCTTTTTTTTTTTCTTTTTTAATCCGAACACATGACGACAATACATGGACAAAAATGAGTAATTGAAAGACGAAAAGATAGAGCTACGAGCTTCATTATCAAGCATTAACACGTACTTCACGAGTACGCACAACTTATTGAGAGCAAAGGGTTGTACGTGACAATATTCAATTAACCAACACACAAAGCTGTCATGGATGCATCGACTACATGATCATTTCCAGTAATTACTAATTCTTCTCTTTAAGGACTGGCTGTGGTGCACTTTCTTCAAACTTGAAGTTGAAGTAGTTGGTCCCCGTGTACAGGCCATCCTCCATGAAATGGATCTCCTCTTTCCCCGTACTCTCGTCGAGAACGTCGTAACGAGTATAAGTAAAGGGAATATTACACGTGGCCAGACTCGCGGTCAGCTTGACCGTCACCGTTGACCAGGGTGGCACCGTGACCTCGTGGACTTTCACCTGGTCGGGGTCCCCCAGCTCAGTGCTGTGGGGACCCCACAGGTAAGACGGCTCGAAAGGAGCTACCAGCTCGATTTTGGACGAATCGCTGACGGACCCGATTTCGTCCGGCTGGATACGGACTACCGGGCCCAGCCTCGTCAGCGTCGGGCCATTCGCTTTCAGAGTGCAGCTCCTGACGTCCTTGTACCGGATCTCAACCGGCAGGGTTCGAGCGACGCCGCTCTCGTTGGTGACGGGTTCTCCGGGGTTCACGACGACGACCAGGGTCTCGTCGTGAACCCAACCGTATTCGAGCAGGAACTCGATGTCTTTGATCCTCCTCGAGGAGACGAGCTCGTACAGGGTCAGGTCGCTGAAGAACGGTTCGATCTCGCTGGCTCGCAGATAGTAGCCATCCCGAGAAGCGAACCTGTTGTTCCCCAAGTTGCGTAGAACGATGGTTTGGTCGTCCACCTTATAAATTGATTGATCAATTAATAAACAACAATGTATGTGTACGACGTCGTAGATACTCTCAGAAGTTTGTACAATAACATAGTATTTTCTCAAATCTACGGTTCGTTTTTGTACCATCTCTTATATTCAAATAACCCGAATTATTGGAAGAAACAGAGTAACTGACCTTAATTGGCTGAAACAGAGAATCCGGACCGGGAGTGGTGAGGTCGTCTTCAGCCAACACGAAGTCACTTGCCTCACCATTTTGCCTCCAGTAAGCCCCGCGGGAGACGTTCTTGATGCGGATGGAAGTCCCGTCGGGCAGAGGGACAACCTCGCTGGCGACGGATCGTTCTCCTTGATCGTCGATCTCGAATCGGAGAAACGACAGCTCATCTCCCTCGATGAGGCCAAGGTAGCCATAGTAGTTGACTTTAAAAGCCAGGTGCTTGGGGAGCACGAGCAGTGTGCTCCAGTTGGTGACCTGCAGCAATATCAGGAGAAATTAATGAGTTATCGTCGTGGTCATCATTATCAAGTCTAGTTTATTGTTACAATGTTAGTTTTAGACTTTAGTTTGAGTTTGATGTTTTTTTATTTATCTTTGTAGTCTCCAGTTGCAAGCCTGCAAATGTTGTCTTGTAGTACTACCGGCAGGCTTGAGTATTTAAATCAAAAGGACGCGAATGAGAAAACCCAAGAGAATCCAGGGTTTTCACTTTCTCAATCGGTTTCGGTTTTTCCGGTTTACCCAAAACCGACCCAATTATATACATTTTTGGTTTTTCGGGTTCGTTTCGGGTTTTGGATTTTTTCGGTTTTGCTTATCGGTTTTTTGGTTTCCGGCTAAAAACCTCCAATGAATAGAACTCAGCCCGTATTCTTAAGCGTTCGGATTTTCGGATTTCGGTTTTGCTTTAACCGAACCTGAACCCGATAAGAAATTTTCGAGTTTCGGGTAACCCGAAACTCGAAAATTCCTTATCGGGTTCGAGTTCGGTTCCAGTGATTTTCGATTTCGGGTTTTTTTTTGGGTTTCGGTTCGAGTAACCGAACCCCACCCGAACGGACACCCTCCCACCCCACAATAATATATCCTTTCTGTTACCTGGAACTGGACCAACGGGTCCGCGGAGTCCGTAGCATCCGCGGATATGCCGGGGGCGCGATACGTCACGTAGCGCCCCCGCTGGGTATGAAGCAGTTGCACCACGGTTGCATCGTGGTTACGGAACTCGGGCTGGAACAAGGTGCAGCGCCAGTCGACGAGGTTTTCGTTGGGCCTGTCGGCCATCGGACAGATCCAGCCGCCGATAGCGAGGTCCGGCCCGATGGGCTGGAGGTACTTGTTGTTGTAACTGCACTTGATGTGGACCATGGATGGGTGGGCCGCCGATGGCTCCACCTCGAACTTGGCCTGCGGTTCCCAGGCCTTGTCGGCGGCGACTCCGATGGCCAGCCCTATGCTCGGGTGCCTCAAGTATTTCCCCACGCTCTCCGAATACAGCACCATGAACCTTGGCAATGCCGCCATTCTCTCTCTCTCTCTCTCCTACCTTCTTTATGAGATAAATTGATGAATGATAATATGATATGAGTGTACGGTCGATCTCTCCAACGTTGATATTTATATGCGTCCTGGGCGCGTGGGTTCGGTGGGTTTACAACATATGCTACTGCAAGATGTCACATAATAATTGAGATTGAAATGAACTAAATAATGTTTTTGTTTCGTGTAAATCGGATGCGTCCTTTTATCTTAAAATATTAACAAAGGATTATATATCGTAGAATGATGGCAACATGTGATATTAGATTATTTTAGTCACGGGAAATAAATTAGACTCTGCAATTATTGTCGATAGCCATAACTTTGAGAACGTATTCATTCAAATAGAGATTTTGGGAAGATCTTTCGGTGGAAATCGGGGGATCTTTTAATTTGTGGGGGAGGCCCTAGCTAGCCAAGCTACTTGCATTTGAGTATTAATTAAGCAATTAAGTAATTAATTAACTAGTTCCATTATTAGCGACGAGTTGGTGACAAAAAAGTGCGGTGGTATTATTTTATGATATCATCGGCCGGCGGCCAGTTCCGATCACTAGCTTTGTCTTGTGACCATAGCATTCTTTTGAGATTAATGGCGTGACTAAAAATCCTGGCCTTTCACGATCAATCATGTAGCCACGTGATGCATGCATGGTTTGTCATTATATGTTGCACGTTAGGGCTGATACTACAAGTACCAAGCCAAACGACGTCGTGTTGGTCTCTAGTAATTAATCAAGTAATGTGTTGATGAATATATACAACGTTGGAGTTGGACATCTTGTTCCGGTTAGGCGGCGGATGTACGATAATCGGGAGCGGTCTGGACCATAGATCGTATATATGACCAGACCGCACCGTTTCCCAGCCCTAGAGTAATCCATCCTAAAAGAATGAAGCTCATCACAGATATGCAATTGACCAAACCAAAGTCATCTTTCTCAATTCAGGCCTATCCCCCTATTGGAGGCCCAAAGAGTTTGGATTTAGAGGATGATTCAATTGTTGAGGAGGATGTGGGAAGTGAATTGGGAACTTGGTATATTGGGCCATAAGTGGAAAGTGGGAAAAGGGCTTGGGCCACGAGTTTGGAACAAAGGTACGCGTCTAAGCGTCAGGGAGGACCTAATTTTGGGCCATGAGATTGTTAGTACTTTCGAACAAAAGGAGTACTACTACCTTCTCCTTTCTTTCTGGTGAAATAAAATTGCTTATTATTAAAAAAATAAAGTCAATAGTATTACATGTTGAAGAGTTGCTCGGTCTTATAAAAGAAATATTTGGGATTGCTTGGTCTTTTAAAAACAATTTAATGAAAAATAATACTCACTTTATTCTAAATAAATATCAATAATATTACATGTTGATGAGTTGACCGATCTTAATGTATTTTTCAAGGAACGGCTCGGTCTTAGAATATTGATATACTTTCGGACATACTAATAGTCTAGCTAATAGTCTTTGTATATGCAATATGTTTCTTTCGATTTAATATACACAACGACTTATGAATTAACTGCATGATCCTTTCTATTTAACAATATACAATGACTTATGAATTACTAACAGTTCATTTCGCTGCAATACAATAATAATGTTGACTTGGGGATGTCGAAGTCACCAATGATGATCAATAAACTAAAAGGACTAACCCATCAACAACACCCAACAAATTATTATTCATAACAACTGAAAGAAAATCGACAAATCACTGAAGAACTGGTTCAACTATGATGTAAGTACGAAATTGTGCACAGGTATACATAGACCGCAAATATGTGGATGGGGTTGCAAAACATTTTTCACACGAGTATGAGAATGCGGTTGATTTCATTGAACTTACTTCATTCTCATCCTTATTTATGTTTTTTTGTTTTTTGTTTTTGCTAAAGGTAGAAACAATGTAGATAGGAATAATGTTCAAGACCTTTGTGTTAGTAATTAAATGGTATATGATTTAAAATTGAATCTCTTGCAACAACTCGAGTTATTGAGATCAATAAATTTTTGACATGATATCAAAACTGGTTTGGCCGAGAGATCTTGTGTTTAATCACATGATGTGCGGACGAGATTGTTGCTCACCCTGTGTTTCACAAGGTCAATAACAATTAATTAGTCAATTAACCGATGATACACACTACATCTATCTATAAAATAGAGAGAAATGAAATCAACACATCACATCTCAATCCGACCTTCATATCCAATAAGAGAGAAGAATGGCGCCTGCGACGACACTGCCAAAGTTCGCGGTGTTCAAGAGCGGGGCGAATAAATACATGACCTACGTGGCCGACGACGCATCGGAGAAATGCGTGGCGGTCCGGCCCAACGAGGCCTGGAGCCCGCGCTGCAAGTTCGAGGTTGTGCCATCAACTGTTCACCCGACCATGGTCCACATCCGGTGCAGCTACAACAACAGGTTCCTCCAGCGACTGTCGGAGACCAAGAGGTGGATCGCGGCTCTGGCCCTCGAGCCAGAGGACAACCAGACCCTCTGGCAGTCCACGTTGTTCCAACCCGAGTTCGCGCCCAACGACCCCACGGGGATGGTCCGGCTGCTCCACGTCCAGCTGGGCCGCTACGCGCACTGGCAGGACAACGCCAACAAGTACGTGACCGCGGAGGAGTGGGACCCCGCGGACCCCAAGACCTCGTTCCAGGTCATCGACCGGGGAACTCTGGTCACGCTGCCCAAACACCTCGCCTTCAGAGGCGACAACAGGTTACTCCTCGGCCTCAGGCCCGGAGTACAGGTGCTGCAGTTCGCGTTTGGCGACGAGAAGGACGAAACCGTCGCCAACCAGATTGTCCCGCAACCCGATGGAACTTTCCGCATCAAGAGCGTCTCCCGCAAAGCGTTCTGGAGGGCGAATACTCCGAGCGGATATCAACACACGTACATTTGGGCTGATGACGTCACCACTGCTGACAATCACACCTTGCATTCTTCTTTTGCGGCGGTTAAGGTGAGTACTTGTCACATGGTCATCCCTAAATAACTCGGATTGTTAGTAGAGATCACTGGTGGATTCTGCAGAGGGTGGCCACTCCGGGCCACGGCCCAACCCTCCTTTGGGTCCAGAGATAGTATAGTCCTTATGAATTTTTTTTCGATTTTAGGCATTCGGTGCAGTGTTATTTTATAATAAAATTAGGTGTAATTAAATAAATGGTTTAGATGAACATATTCAAAGCATATACTAAATTTAGCCTACAAATTCTAGCCTCAATTATTTTTGTCCAAAAAATAATAATAGACAATGATACCTAAAAGTCTAAAGGAAATATGAGGTTTGTTCCCTTGAAAAAATTACCAGAACAACCGGTAGAAATAGGGATGGACACCAATACAAATTGATCAGTCGATCGATTTGTCTGGTCTTGACGTTATCCCGTTTCAACGGCTATTAATGCGAGAGAACCTTTTCCAACAATGAAACATGTGAAAACTGATTTACGCAACAAAATGAGCGATGTGTAGTTTTTTGCCGGTGGCTTAACGATTTTATTTGAAAGACAATATACTATTGGTATATATGTAGGTAGACTCCATCATCGATGAATTCGCTAATAATTAAAACACCCGTCAAGCACAATTTATAATTTTAGACATATACTAAAAACTATAGTCGTAATAATTTTTTTTACGGTATCTAATTTTTTAATAAAATGCGAACCTAGTACTTCTGCTCTACTGACAGTCAACAATTTACTTTTTTTCAATCAAGGTAAACGACAGGACCGTTGCACTCCGCAACCTGGGGAACAACCTCTTCACCCGGCGATACAGTTACCAAGTAACAGATGGTCTGACCACCATCGACTCCCAAATCACGGCGGTCAACCACCTGGAGCTCGTCGAGCTCGTCGCCTCCAGGAGGATCAAGAACATCAAGTTCCACCTCGGCGAGAGCTGGGTCCACGACGAGACGCCGAACGTGGTGCTCAACGAAGGAGAAGAGGTGAGGAACGAGACCGACGAGACCCAGGACATCGAGGTCGAAATCTCGTACCTCGACAAGACGAGCAGCACGTGGACGTCCACGAGCTCGTCGTTTAAGGTGGGGCCCGCGATCAGGGTCCAGCCTCCCCAGATCCCCTGCGTGACGGACTCGTCGGTGGTCCAGATGACGAGTCCGTTCGCGCCGTCTTACGTCTGGGGAGAGACCACGGCCGAGAACCCCGACCAGGTATGGGTGATGTTGGTGTGAACAGCTTGAAAGTTATAATAAAAGACAATTAATAAATAGAATAATTATCTGCGATTCAGTCAGATTGGTAATCCTAATTTTTTTTCCCTGCTGTTCGGTTTTTTAACAGGTGAAGGTCCACGAGGTCACGCTGCCACCGTGGACGATGGTGACGGTCAAGCTGCTGGCGACAAAGGCTACTTGCGATGTCCCGTTGACTTATACTCGGTATGATAAGGTGAAGGGGAGGGAGGAGGTTCATATCATGGAGGATGGTCTCTACACGGGAACGAACTACTTCGACTTCACGTTCGAAGAGTCGCTCCCGCAACCGATCCCCAAGGAGGATGATGAATAGATCGAGTTTCTGAGAGTGATATCGATTTTCTGTTTATTGTTAAGTGCTATTTGACGAATTCGAATGTGGGATTATTACTGTGTTGAAGACCTGCGCGATTGAACCGCTAGATCTGGGTCTTTGTTCAATTTTTCTTGTTTTACTTTGGTTTTCAATAACGAGCTATACGTAGCTTTGTAGCTACGAATATACTTCTGTGTGTTCCGGTTTCTTTGTTCATGGTTGGTAATGTAACATTTCGAATTGCAGGATTTGGTGTTTTTTTATTTTATTTTATGTGATCACCTCTACTTATGATTGATGTTCATGTAGCAGAAAGTCTAATGGCTTACCACAAAAAAATTGATATATTATTCACCTTGTGCAAACTGAAATCTCACAAATAGTATTTTCTTGAGGAACGTGTAAGGAAAAAAAAAACAAATGACTTGTAAAAACTCATACGAACTCTTTTCTAATAACTTGAATTATTATGACAAAAAAATGATTTATTGCAAGCTGTAACCCTTGACTTAGCTTGGAATAAACACAAACAAAAAAAAAATCCTAGTCTTTGTATATTGTGAATGATATTTTAACCCTAAATCTCAATCCATATCATTAATCAGCCAAAATTTTCTTATCGTGCAACTACAACTAGTTATGCGAATCAAATTTATTCTCTGATTTGTACATTTATACATTTTAGTCTATCAATATGGATAAGAGACGCAAATCATGAAAATGTGCAAACAAAGTGTTTCATCCTCCAATGTTTCCAATCTCGCCTTTGTAACTCTTTCTTCTTTCAAATGTTGCATTGGTCCCAAACTATTATTCCTTTTTTTCCCTGCCTGTCATTTACATCGGTCCAAAGCATATTTTAGGGGGATCAAAATATTAACATTAGCTATTTGTTCATGCACAAGACAAGAGACGAACACCTTTCAAACTTTAAGTACGTGATTTGACATTTTGTTTGAGAGAGGATGCCAGACACAACTGATTACGCACGTGGTAAATTCGAGTGGTCCGCTAGCTTTTGTGGAATTTGTCATTTAGACGTCTTGTTTGTGGTGGAGGGGGACCAATCCATTTATATTGCATGCATGAGATCGACGTATACGTATACGTTTCAAATTTTTACGCACGTGTTTCTATACATTTTAAAATCGTTCCTTTCTTTGCGGGTTAATTAGATTAGGACATTGGAATTTAACCTCTATAGTTCAATGAATATTCTCCATTCCACCAGGTGTGTACTGAAGTAGTTTGAAGTTGTACCATAATATAAACCTACGAATTTTCTTATAGCTAGTACAACATGAACTTGTACATTGAACACGCTATGCATGGTACAACTTCAAACTGTACTATAAATCACGTAGTATAGTAGAAATGCTCGTTTTATAGTGGTCCTTAAAAACCCCATATCGGTCCAAATATTGAGGGGCTATATATACTAATGGTCCCTAAAAGATTCCTTTGTCTTATCTTACCGCACATATATGCACACAAATAATGCTATTAATTATGGATTTACGGTATACACCAATCAATTCTTTGTCGCATCTCAGTGAGTAAGCTATTCTGCTATTGGGTGTGTTTGTCGGTCTCAACGTACGTTTGTGAACCTACATATCCCTTCATAAGCCGCCATGGCTATAAATAGGGAAAATATTGCAAACATATTCTAACTTCCACATCTCATCATATCAACAACAACAACCATGGAGGAGTTGCCAAGGTTTGTGGTGCTGTACTCCGAGACCGCGGGGAAATACGTGAGGCACAGATCGGACCCAACCGACTCGACCGGTTTAGAAATCACGGCCGACGAGGTCTGGAGCCCGTTTGCCAAGTTCGAGTTCGAGCCATCCACCGTTCACCCGGCCATGGTCCACATCCGGTGCTGCTACAACAACAAGTACCTCCGCCGCCACGACTCGTCCGCCGCTAACATAGTCGCGGCGGCGGAACAGCCCAACGACGAACTCTACCAGTGGGGATCCACCTTGTTCCAGCCCGAGCAGCTGCTTCCAGCGGCCGGCGGTGCCGAAGTAGTAATGGTCCGCTTGCTTCATGTCCAGCTGGCCCGCTACGTAACTAGTGTTCGTGCCCCAGAGGACGAACACTACTACTTCGTAGCGGCATTGGGTACGGACCCTCTGGACCCCGCGGCTCGGTTCGATGCTGTTGATTGGGAGTCACTCGTCACGCTGCCCAAACGCCTGACTTTCATGGGCGACAATGGGCTCTATCTCGGTCTTCCTCATCTGGAAGAGGAGGCTGAGGCCGAGACCGATGATGATGAAACTGCTGCGCTCCGATTCGTGATCGATGACGATGGAGATGAGTCCATCGCCGACGAGGTTGTCGCCCTGTCGGATGGAACCGTTCGCATCAGGAACGTCTCCCTCGGGGCTTACTGGAGGCGAAACGCCGATGCAGCTGACTACATCTGGGCTGATGATGATCTCACCACTCCAGACTCGAATTCTCTATTTCGGGCAATCAAGGTCAGTTAATCGTCTATTATTTTTGTTTTAGAGTTTATTCACGTTTATATGACTAAATAAATCAATAAATCTTATGTCCATCAACATTACAAGCCGTTTGGAACACGAATTCAACTTATTGTACCATTTGTGTTTGATAAACGGTGAAAAATGATAACTATACTTTGTTGTATTATTGGGTTAATAATTAATCATTGTAGGTGAACGACAGCACCATCGCTCTACGCAACCTGGGAAACAACATGGTGTGCAAGAGATTCAGTGCAAGCAAAGGAGACAATTACCTTCGAGCCAGCGAACCATCTTCTGCTCAGACCGTCACGCAGTACGCCAAACTGTCCCTAACCGACCTCGTAACTTCGAGGAGGATCGAGGACATCAAGTTCCACCTCGACTCCGGCTGGGTTCACGACGAAAACCTCAAAACCATACTGAACCCTGGAGAGCCCGCGTACAACGAGAGCGACGACACTCGAACCCTAACGCTCAAGATCCCATACGTGGACACCAAGACAAGTTGCACCTGGAAAGCGACCAACTCCACGCTGGATTTGGGGCCTTTCGACGTCGTGGTCCGGCCCGACGTGATTGCCACCGTCGACGATTCCTCGGCGATCAAGCTGGTTCCTCCGACCGCGCCGTCGTACGAGTGGGGGGGAACCACGCAGGGAGACGACCCCGACGAGGTTTTGGTGTACGAGGTCACGTTGCCGCCGTGGACGGCGGTGGAGGTCGAGCTGCGTGCGAGCTTGGTGGCTTGTTGTGTTCCTTTCAGTTATAGTCGTTACGACGAGTGGGAGGATGGGGAAGAGGAGGTGCATTTCATGGAGGATGGTATGTACGTTGGCACGAATTACTACAAGTTCGAGTTTACGGAGACTGCACCGCAGCCGATCGCCAATAAGAAGTGATTAAACAGGATAGCTAGCTTGCTAAATTTGCATCTTCTTCATGTACCCTTTTACTTTCAATAAGTTGAGTTGTTGCTTCATCCATGGTTGGCTGTGGTATAAGATATATAATAACCTTTTCTCTGAACAATTCGAGTTATTGGTACCAATGTGTTTATGACGTATAATATCAGGAGATGGTTTGGTCAAGTGGTCGTGTGTTCGGATCTCCACTATCCTCAGTATTAACAGTTGATTAAAGCACAAGGGGTATGGAAGGCCTGTGCAAATTTCAAGCCCGTGAGTTGGCGCGAAAAAGACACAAAAGAAGAGAAGAGAAGTGTTCGAGTTGTTGGAAGAGGGTTAATCATAGATTATATATCATTTTGTAACACCCCCTCCCAAACGAAAAAGCTAGTCAACTCATAAGATTTTTTCGTTTGCGCGTACAGTTCCTGAACACAAGAATACCATTTGCTTCTCAAATGGGCGTCACTGGGATCGAACACAAGACCTCCTGGCCACAGAAGGCTTTGATACCATGTCGAAAATTAGTTGGTCCCAATAACTAGAGTTGTTGGAACATTTTTTGGACATGATATCATAAGTAACTCATAATTTAACATTCAATATAAAATGTAATGTCACATCCAATATAAAATTAAATTGACATCCAAATCTATTGTTTTATAATATTCTCCTGCATTATGATTAATTGTAATTTGAGAATATGCACTCTAGGATAGAAACCATTTGCCACGAGGTATAAAAATTCACCATATTCGGTTGCCACAAGCGTTCTGTTTTAGTGTTTAGCGACCGAAATTCGAGTTTAGCGACCAAGGAATTCCTGTGACGTCCTTTATAATGGCAATGGGCAACAAATTTTGATCCCTCTTAAAAGCCCAACATGTAATCCAGTATAATGTAAGCCCAGTCGTTTTCTAATGGACGTAATTAGGCGGGCCTTCGACCGATTATGAAGCGGGCCAGTCTTTTTCCCCTCTACAATATCAGGCTATGCAAAATGTTCAGCCCCAGCTCAAGATGGATTTCCATGGGCCCATTGGTCTTGAAAGCCCGCTGATTTCCAGCCCAATACTTTCTCAAAGCAGCGTCGACGATTTCCATGCTTTTTCCTTTCCCACTCTTTTTCTTTTCTTTAATCTCCTGGAAACGAAACAGCTATGCCAAGCAAACCCTCTGGCAGTTAAGGCCGTGTTTGGACAATGAGAATGGAACAGGTTATAAACTTTTAACCTTGATTAACACTAATCAACCAAATTCGTTTCTTTTCGTTCATGAGCATGAGATATTGTTGCATAACATCAATTCGACCTAACCAAACAACCCCTCCCATATTTCTGAAAACAAAAACTTTTCATTTTTAATATTCTCAGAAGAAATACTTGAAGCCAAACAGTGCTTAATTCTCTCTCTACTTATCTCTAACTAAAATATTCCCGCAATCTGTTCCACTCTCTCTCTCTTTTCCCATCAGCAGCTTCTCTCTCCAATTCTCTATTCTACTCTCTCTCTCTCCTCTTCCTCTTTACAGACAATTCCAACGAATCCATTCCAGCCCCTCTCATCCCCTCCCCTTTTGGGAGAGAGAGAAGAAGACGGAGGAAGAAGAAGCACACCAGAAGAAGAGGGAGAAGAAGAAACAGAGCAACGGAATTCACCCATTAGAGAAAGAGGCAGAGATAGAGAGAGAGAGAGAGGGTTAACCCCAGCGCAGTAGAGGAGAGAAAGCAAAACCAGCTACAGCTGAGAGGTAATCAAACCCTTTTCCCTTTTCTCTCTGGTTGGTTCCTTCTCCCTCCCCCTAATTTCCGTTGCGATCCAATGGCTATTCCTCGGTTCTGTTACGGCACCTCTTAATTTTGGGCGTTTTTCCCGTTTTGTAACCTCAGTTTCTCCTTTCCTTTCTCCTTCTTCCCCTCCCCCCCGCCTTTTGTTGCAATCTGCCCAGCGACCGACGCGTCTCCCCCTCTTTCTCCCTTGTCTTTCCTTCCCCTTCCCTCCTCCTTTTCTCTCTCGATCAGTGTTTGATGGAGGGGAAGGGCTGCAATTCACGTCACCTTGTTGCGGTGAGGATTGCCCTTTCCAATTTGATTGGCTCCGTGTTCTGAGAGGTGGTTCTTCACGTTGTTGAATTCCGATTCAGTTTTGTTGAAATCTGAATTGGGCAGTTGTGAATTTCTTGATTAGGACGTTGTCTGATTTGTTGTAATTGAATTGTTTGAGAGGTTGAATTCGTTGGTCGCAATGTATTCATTTTCAAGTCGCTTTCTTTGTTGTCTGAAATGGCGCGGGAGAAAACCTGACCAGGGTATTGATGGGGTTTGATTGAATTGAAGCTTCCGAATTGTGATTGCCCATGATTAGTCTCGTGGCTGCAGGATGGGTCTTCATTCAGCTACAACCTTTTTCCAGTTTTAGAGTACCTCATTCGGGATTTTGTTCGTTATGTTTGAACTTTGAACCCCCTTTTGCCCCAATAGCAGACCATTTCATTTCCATCCCTCATTTTATGATGAGCGTAGTGATGCGGGTATGATATTCCCAAGTTAATTGTGGTGTACTGTATTCACCTTGTTTTGCTTTGTTGTTTGAACTGGGTATGGCTCTGTCAGGGTGTTGAAATTATTAGTGCCGAATGGTGATTGCCCGTGATTAAACTCGTGGCTGGCGGATGTGTTATCCAATCCTCAATGGGAATTTAGTTAGTTTTGTTTGAATCCCTTTTGATTTTAAGGCAAACCATTTCTATTTCTTAGCTGGTTGAATTGTTTGATTGTTGAACTTTCTGATAAGCTTGATTATGGGGGTATGATTTAACCAAGTTAATTGTTGTTGAATATGATGTGTGATTTGGGTGATGTTGAACAGGCACATGCACCTTGTCCTGCCTTCTTTAATCACGTGGATAAAACAAGGTCTGAAGACGATTTAACTTTGAGGAAGCGAGACAAGATGCGTCGGTGGCTGTGCTGCACCTGTCAAGTGGAGGAGGCTTACCCAACACATGAGAATGAGCTGCTAAGAAGCCCAAAACACCATAATGATGGTACATTTCTTGTCATTTTTACTTAATTAATGTGATCGTCTCCTGCACTGTGGATAGAAGGAAATCTGTTTATACTTGTCTTTGTTTGATACTATTGGACACCTTTAGGTAGCATCAATTTATGTTGCTGACAATGCATAACATGACTATTGTCTCTGATTTTCTGTTATACTTTTGTGAATGCAGTAGATTATTAGGGGCTTGACTTTTGGTTTTAGAATTTACTGTTTCTTTCTGAGTTTTATGCATTGTTGCTTGTCTAGATAATATCTCATTCTTTGGTCCGTCTAAAGTGGATTTTTCATTCTTAGATAGTTATGAGGTAAATCATTCGATAACCTAGTGCGTCGATATCATCTAACTGATGCTGTTTGGGACGTAATCATTGTAGCTTGTGTTTTATTTTATTTTTTGGTTGAAGCTGCATGTTTGCTCCTCATAATGTAGATGAATCTCTTGTGTTCTTCATTGCTGCTATGTCACTGTCCGATCTGGGGCAATCCAAGCAATCTGTGTGAAACTGAAGCTACTTTTTATGTGTAGACAAATCATTTCAAGTGTTTTATTGATATTGTGATAACGTGGATTGCAGCCAGTATAATATGATAACCGCCTTATTTTTTGCTATCTCATTGGATAGGGCATCTAAAAGGTGCAAATGCATCAGCTCTTGTCAAACCGGAAGTACAAAAGGAAGCACCACCTATTCAAGTGCCTGCTTTGTCATTGGATGAAATGAAAGAAAAAACTGATAATTTTGGGTCAAAGGCTCTTATTGGTGAAGGATCCTATGGCAGAGTGTATTACGCAAACCTAGATGACGGAAAAGCCGTGGCTGTGAAGAAACTTGATGTATCCAGTGAGCCCGAAACGAATAACGAATTCTTAACTCAGGTATACTTTAGTTAATGAATTATTCAGTTTTATTTAATTTTCGTAATTCAGCTCCACGTTCTGTTCAATTTGGTTTTATTTGCAGAGAAATTTCCGTTACATCATTAATATTGGTTTTCTTTTCTTTTCTCTTCTCCCCGGTTTCAGGTTTCCATGGTATCGAGATTGAAGCATGAGAATTTTGTGGAATTGCAAGGTTATTGTGTAGCAGGAAATCTCAGAGTGCTTGCTTATGAATTTGCAACAATGGGATCTCTTCATGACATATTGCATGGTACAATTACAATGTATCTTCACATCTGTGATGAAATGGATGGAGTATATGTTTTAAGCATATTTTTTATATGGGCATTTCTTATGTGTCGTAACAGGTCGAAAGGGAGTTCAAGGGGCACAACCTGGTCCAGTGCTGGACTGGATGCAGCGAGTCAGAATTGCAGTTGATGCAGCAAGGGGTTTGGAATACTTGCATGAGAAGATTCAGCCTTCCATAATACACCGAGATATCAGATCCAGCAATGTGCTTCTCTTTGAGGATTTTAAAGCAAAGATTGCAGATTTTAACCTATCAAATCAGGCTCCGGACATGGCTGCACGCCTTCATTCCACTCGTGTTCTGGGAACTTTTGGTTATCATGCTCCAGAGTAATGCTTAATCTTTTCCCTTTATTTTCTTCTTTCTGGCGGTAGTTGTTATTCCTACATATGAGGGGCTTGTATGCATGGATTATTGTCGGAGTTGCACTTGCACCCACTAGTTGCTTGAGACATAGTTGACCATGCTCAAGAAGCCTGTGTTTTATGAAGGGTGGGCATTGCCAGGTTGGTTCAGAATCTGACCTAATCTGCCTAGGAGATAGAGAATACAGGAAACTGAATCTGCATGGAATCAAAGCAAATTGAAGTCTTGCATTGGAGATTTGCAGGATTCAATCTGAATTGTTGCCTACCTCTAGTTTTAGGCTTTTTGTCGATCTTATGTTAGCTTCATATAGTTTCCCGTACCTTCTTGAACCTTTTCATTTCTTTTTTTGTGTTTTCTTCTCTCTATTTTCCTGAGCAACCATTTGACTATTGTGCATCTAATATGAATGGCACTTTGGCTTATTTTGTAGGTATGCAATGACGGGACAATTGACACAGAAGAGTGATGTCTACAGTTTTGGTGTGGTTCTCCTTGAACTTCTCACCGGAAGGAAACCGGTCGATCATACCATGCCCCGTGGGCAGCAGAGTCTAGTCACCTGGGTTCGTCATCTGACGTTGCTCTTGTCGTATTTTCTTTGCTTCATTGTATCTACTATGCAGATAGTTGATATCATATTATAATTCCCTTTGTTCAGGCTACTCCAAGGTTGAGTGAAGATAAAGTTAAGCAGTGTGTGGATCCAAAGCTGAAGGGAGAGTATCCACCAAAGGGAGTAGCCAAGGTACGTGCTCAGCCATCCGTCTTAAGCTAGTTCTATTTGGAGATGATGACGACATTACATGTGATACATGGGGGAACGAACGTCTTTCTTTTATTGCAGCTGGCAGCTGTTGCAGCATTGTGCGTGCAGTATGAAGCAGAGTTTCGGCCAAACATGAGCATCGTCGTGAAGGCTCTCCAGCCACTGCTGAAGTCTCAAGTGCCTCCTGCTGCTGCCCCCACTGCCGCCCCAGAGTCCTGAAGGAGAGTTGGCAAAAAAAACGTAAGGGAAGAGCACGAGATGAGTTGATTGAATACCTTTGATGTTTGGTTTGGAATGGTGTAATATTACTCGGGAAATCGTCGGTTGCAGCATGTGTTTGGTGTTTGAGGATGTGCTCTAAGGATCTTACAATGAGAGGGGTTGTATTTGATATTTTTCATCTTCCTTGATTGATGATCATGTAGAGAGATCGAATTGGGTTTGTAGTTTCTGGGAATATGGAGCCTGTTTAATTTGCTCGTGATCATTATCTTGTTGCTTCAGTGGCTCTTGCTTGTAGTGGACGAAACGTTTTCTCCCCGCAACTATGAAACGTTTATTATTGATCTGGTTTCGTTTGGTTTGATTTGGCCCGGACAGGCCCATGGAAGCCCAAATCCTCTTTCCGACCTATTGGCCCAACACATGAAAGCTGAGCCCATCTAGCAGTTTCCATTTTTCCCCTGAGAATATTATAAATAACTAAATTCAGTCGGCATCCCCTTCTTAAACCCTTTCTTCTTCAGTCTCTCATCAAAATCTTGAATCTCTGTTCATCTCCCTCTCTTACTCGCAAAGATTCTCTCTCAGTTTCGTCCTTCATCTCTTTTCCCCCAATCTCTCAAATTACTCGCTGTGTAATTGACCATCAAAAGAATGACTGAAGCTATGGTTGCTGATTCCGGCGGATGGGCCGTTCCCGCCGTCCACTCTGAGGAAATTTCCGAATCTTGCTCTCTGCTTCCCGCGCTGAAAGATTCGCCCCAGCCATCACCGCCCATCGGCGCTGCTCCGTCTCCTGCAGCCGTCGAAGATGATCGCTCGCTTCTTGCGGGCAACAATCCCAGTTTTCATCCTCTCGAGAAGGCTGGATGCGTAGTTTCTGAAGTACTGGTTGATGACCATGCTCAAGAAACGCTGGTTCTTGGTCGCTGTGGCGGCAAGATGGTAACTTGCGCTAATCCGGTTTCTGGGTACTCCGCCGCTGCGGAAGATGTCGACGGTAGAGTGGAGATTTCGGGCGGGGAGAGTTTGTTGGAGGTGAAGAAGAAAAAATTGCTGGCTGATCTTGAAGGTGGAGCAATCTTTAAAGGGAAAAGCTTCCTGGGAAATGTGGTCGATGGTTCCAATGGATTTGAGGAATCTGATGGACCTTCTCTCAAGGTTCAGTTAATCGATGACACCGTGCTGATCGAACCGGTTTCTGTCTTTCGAAACGTTCAGAACGAGAGGCAGCAGGTGAATGGGGGAAACGTGAAGAGGAATGGGAATCAAGGTGCTGGTGATGGAAAGAAGAAGAGGCCAAGAAGGAAGAGGAAAGATTCGGTTAATGAGAAACTGAATCAAGCTTTGGAGCCTCAAAATCGTGGCGTTGGAGGTTTATATCCAGTGAATGGAAAGTATTCGAGGAAGGAGTTGGAGGAGATGAGGTTTCTGAACATTGTGGAGCAAAGGAGAATCTGGAGTAGTATATACAATGGATTAGGGGCTGCTGTTGTGAAGGAGTATGAGGAGTTGGCTTGCTCAAGGAACCAGAAGAACTTGCACCAGCGGAACTGTGATTCCTCCAGGCATCCACGCTTTGGAAGTCAAGCTGCTGCTACTGCTGGCGCTCCAAGTGTACTTGGTGAGTTTTCCATGCTAATTTGACAAAAAAGAATGAATCTTTAATTTGATAAACTGCTGTTTCTCAGATCATTATGCATTGCCAAGAAAATGTCTAATTCTTTCCCACTGCGTGTTCTGCTAATTGCTTTTACTTTGATGGCTTCTTCCTCCGTGATTCAAGCTTGATTCAGTTTTGCATGGTTTATCGAACGATGGAAATCAATGAGGAAAAAGGGCATTAAGAAGGAAATTCAGTTCTTTGTCTGTTAAATGCTAAAAAAAGGAAATAGGGGAATCGGTTCAGAATCATCTTTTGGATTGATACTCTTTGGTTGCTTGATTGGGTTGTATGATGAAGAAAGTGATTGATGTGCCAAATTACATGCTGTTCTACAGAATTAGTTTAGTAATTGCTTCTGGTAGGCTTAGGAAGTCCATCCATTGGTTTGCTCTGGCGGTATTGTAGTTCTTTGTGATTTTCCCTCTTTCCTTAGTTTTTGCAGCTTTGGGTTTCTCTTCTTGTTGCATGTTAAACTACTGGTAGACATGCATTTCTGGGTAGATCTAGTTGGTAGCACATGTCCAAAGTCAAAAAGTTTGTAGAGGGTTTTTTAGGATTGGACATTTATGCTAAGGGTGACTAATTGCTTTGAAATGGGCTGGAAGTAGGTGTATCACTTGCCATCAGCCTAACCTGTGTATGAACTCAATAGTTGTGAACTAGATGAACAGGTGAAGGTATTAGAGTTGAGTAGATGGGGGAAGGATGTCTAGGGATTGAAATAGTTTGAGTTATTAACTCTGTCTAAAGATTAAAGGAGAAGGCTTTATACTTTACTATGGTGGCATTCAACACACATATCCAGTTCCATACTGTTTATACCCATCCCTTCCATCTCTGATTCTTGTCTATACTTCTCATCAAATAGTTTGATGTTTGGGATTTTCCCCCACTACCTTCTTCTTCTTCTAGAATTACCTGGTTCTTAATTGATCATGCTTCACCACTTCCTCTTCTATCTATCCTCGCTTTTCAATGTTACTTTCTACTTGTCTGATCTTCTATTCACAGTGAAGACACCAGACTTTGCTGAGCCTTCTCTTCCATTTTCCCTGCCTTTCTTCTTTGCTGCTTGCCTACTTCCCAGCTGGATTGAGCCCCCTTGTTATCAATTTGATGGGTTGAGTTTTGTGTTCTGGACAGGTTGTGGTGCTGCAAGGGGAAGGTGGAATCATGTGAATGTATATGTACATTGAAGAATGGGCTAAAGAGCAACTGAGTTGTAGATTTGAGAAAAAGTAACCTCAATGTTTTTGAGCACTATACATAAGCAGCTAAATGGTTTCTGTCTGTAGAAACACTGTATCTCGTTCTTCAAGCCATTGGCTAACCTACTATAGCTTCTTTGTGCATAGAAACACTGTACATAGGTGTTCTAGCCATTGGCTAACCTACTTCTTTAGCTTCTGTGTGCATAGAAACACTGTACATAAGTGTTCTAGCCATTGGCTACTACTTTAGCTTTGGTGAACGCTTTTCTTGTGATTGGATCTGTGTTGTTGTAGTAGATGATACAACTTGCTCGAAATCTGTGGATGAATGTAAAAACTGCCTGTACACAATCCAATTACAGTTGATACCTTGAACGTCATTTCTGTTTTTTTGCATTATCTTGTGGACCAAGTATGTTTGCGTTTGATGAATGGGTGGAGAGTTCTAAATTAATTATTGTTTCAGGGGAAGAATTGTCTTCCGAAAATGTGGGCGATGAGTTAGAAAACGTGCAAGAAGTTGATAGAGAAAATTTGAGTTTGAGTCCTTCCTCCAGTCATGATATCGCCGGTGGTGAAACCCCCGATACAGTTGCAGAAGAGCAGTATGATGAAGAGGATGATAGCGATGATGATTATGCCAGCATCCAAAAGCCGGCTTTTCGTATAGAAGGAGAACCAAATTTTGATTCTGGACCTCCAGAAGACGGATGGGAATATCTAAGGCGTGTCAGGTAACAGTTTTACTTCCATGTTCTGCAACTTAAAACATGAACTGAACATATCATTCGTTACTTTCAAAAATGGTATGGATTTCAGTTTGTAACTACCCATTTCTGTTTCTGTTCCTGTTACAGGTGGGAAGCTGCTCGTATTCCCAAAGTCAAAGTTGCCAAGCTTGATCAGCATAAGATTAAGAAAGAGCAAAGTGTTTACATGCCTCAGATACCTGATATCCCCAAGTGTCCAGACCATCTACTGCCTTCAAAAACTTGGGAAGACGCATTTCTGGCCGACTTTTCACAGCTGCGACTGGTATGTTACTGACAAAATTTCCTAACAATTTCAATTGTTTTAGAAATTAATACTCGCTTCACAAATTAGCAGCACAAGGTTTACTGTAATGAGACTCTTCTGAGTTTTGCTGAACACTTGAGGCTACATCATCCTGCATTCTTGATAAGTTTACACACTAGCATTCGATCCTGACATTCTCATGATCTCTCTCCCTCAGTTGTTGGCAAGAGATGAAGAATCCGATGATCTGATTTCTCATAAACCTCAACCAGTCACCATAGCCCACGAGAAGGACGACGAAACTCAGTTCCATCTGCTCACCGAGAATATCATTCTCGAAAATGTGAATCACCTCTGCCCTGAAAACGTTGATCCTAATGGTCCCCCCGATGGTTCTGATCTCGAGAACACGGTTGATCATGCCTCATCATCATCGCACGCGATCACCAACGAGGGTAATAAGCTGCCTGCACCTTCCCCCACTCCAAAATCTACCACAACCAGAGTCGAGGACAGTTCAACCAGCCACCCAGCCTTATCTGCAATCCTAGCTATGGACTCTGTGGTTCGAGTCTCCACTCTGAAGAAACGGATAAGCTCTGCAGAAAGCGCCACGACGACCAGTTTATCGAAGAACGACTGCCTGTGGCTGTTTGCCCTGTGTGCAGCGGTCGATACCCCGCTGCTGGCTGATACCAGCGCCGCCATTCGTGGGCTGCTCCGAAAATGTGCCAGCCTTCGAGCTGTCAAGTCCGAGCTGGACGATGAGGTTGTGATGCTGAATATCCTGGCGACCATCTGTGGCAGATTTTTCGGCCAGGCTGAATGCTAAAACCCAACCCTTTTTTCAAAAGCAGGAGTCTTTTCCTAGTAGGTTCTCTGCTCGCTGGGAAGTTACCAACTATGATGCCAGTAAGGTTACTTAAAACTTTTTTCTCTGTTTCTAGCACTGAACCAGAGGTGAAAAGTCATTTGTTTATGGTTTATTGGTTAACTGTTATAGAATCGTCATCATACTTATAATGACGACCTACTACGAAAAAGTAATTAACTCCAGTAAGCTTGTTCTTGTATATAATATGATCTGGGTTAGGTGATATGATGTGGGCTAGTTTTGTCAATTTGATTAATCTCCCCTGTATATTTTACAAAGAGCACAGGCCAACTCCATTTTCGTAATCTCCATTGCAACAATGGAAGCCATTAGCCATGAGAAGCTCTCCTCCAATTCCTTTCTTGCAGTACTATTAATCACCATCCTCATGATCATCATCATCATCATCATCGTCCAAACCAAAAAATCAAGAACCTCGAAACCCACTACTCGTCCACCGCCGCCGGGGCCGTGGAGGCTCCCCGTCATCGGAAACCTCCACCAGCTGGCGGCGAACGGCGGCCGGAGCCTGCCCCACCGCCGGCTCGCCGAGCTGGCAAAGCGGTACGGCCCCGACGTCATGCTCCTGCAGCTCGGGGAGCTGTCCCACGTCATCATCTCGACGCCGGAAGCCGCCAGGCTGGTGATGAAGACCCACGACCTGACGTTCGCCTCCCGGCCGTCCCTCCTCGCCGTCGACATCCTCTTCAGCCGAAACGACGTCGCTTTCGCCCCTTACGGCGAGCACTGGCGCCAGATGCGCAAGATCTGCACGCTGGAGCTCTTCAGCGCGAAGCGGGTCGGGTCGTTTCGGTGGATCAGGGAGCAAGAGGTGGCCAACCTCGTCACAACTCTTCGAACCGCTGCCCACCAAGGTAAACCATTCATTAATGAATTTAAACGTTATGGTACAAATTTACGTCTATAGTTCATTAAGATAACGTCAAACTCTCTCTCTCTACGTTTAAAAAATTCGTAGTTTCCAAATAAAATTTCTGGCTTATCACGACTGTATATCTTAATGATCTCTTAGATGAACCGGTGGTGGATCTCACCGACCTGGTGCAGAAGCTATTGGGATCCGTGACATCCTGGGCGACCTTCGGGACGATTCGAGGCTCGAACGAAATGTTTCTGAAGGTTGCTAAGAAGTTTGAAGATGTCGTTGCGGGTTTCAGGATCTCGGACTTATATCCTTCTCTTACATTCCTTCCCGTCCTTACTGGGTTCGAAGGCAAACTCAAGAAGATGCGCCTAGAAGCCGATTCCATACTCGACGCCATTATAGATGAGAGGAGATCCCAAAGATCTTCAAGATCAGGGAGAGATGGTGAAGTAGGAGACTATCTTCTTGATGTTCTTCTGAATCTTCATGAAAACCCTAGTCAGCTTGGGTTCCCCTTGACCATGGAAGCCATCAAAGCAGTCACTTTGGTTAGTATCATGATCTTGGATTCCCTTTAACCACATCATGTGTGTTTTTCTACATTCTTTGGGTTCCTTTACACTAGCTTGATTGTATAGGAACTCTTCCTAGCCGGCATCGAAACTTCGGCCAAAATCATCGAATGGACGATGTCGGAAATGATAAAACACCCAAAAGTGATGCAAAAAGCACAAGAGGAAGTCAGGGAAGCATTTGGCGAGAAGGGCGACATCGAGGAAGCAAGCCTTCATCGATTGAAGTATTTGGACAGTATCATCAAAGAGAGCTTGAGATTGCACCCTCCGGGTCCTTTACTTCTTCCAAGAGAGAATGGCGAGAGCGTCGAACTCCGCGGGTACCATGTTCCCGCCAAGACCAAAGTCTTTGTAAATGCCTGGGCAATCAATCGGGATCCTCGCTATTGGCCTGAAGCGGAGGAGTTCTATCCCGAGAGATTCAATGATCGCATGATCGACTACAGAGGCAACGATTTCCAGTTCATCCCGTTTGGCGCGGGGAGGAGGATGTGTCCCGGATATGATTTTGGAGTGGAAGTTGTGAAATTGACTCTGGCGAATTTGATCTTTCATTTCCAGTGGAAACTCCCCGGTGAAATGAGACCTGAGAGCCTTGATATGACTGAACGCTTCGGAGCATCTGTAGGGAGAGAATATGCTCTGCGTGTGATTCCAGTTCCATACCATGGAAACTGAATATTTTTCCGTTGATTGTTGGCCCTAAAGTTCGAACATCATGTGTGTTAAATGTTCTCATTTCCATATTAACATGGTACAATTTTGTGCTCGCCTTGTTTAATTTTCACGCCCTTACAATTTTAAGCCATGTTCAGTGTTAGTCAACAATATATGCAAGGGAGCGGTTTACTTTTTCCTACCGTTTAATTGATGTATTGCGATTAATATATGCGTTATATCATTACATGGATTAATGAATTTGATATATAATACGATATTCTATTTCAACCATGAAGAAAAAAAAATATTTTTTAAAGAAAATATCACTTGGGCACCTTCTTTTTAATGCAAAACTATAGGAGAGTCAACCTTTGTTATTAATCGAGTTATTTTAATAAATAGTTTGTCTCGCATTAATCTTTTTTTTTTTTTTTTTTGCTTCTATCGGATGTTATTTATTATGAGCATGGCACCTAGAGGTTCGAGCTTCAATGTCAAATATGGTTTATTAATGGGGTTTGTATTATTAAGAACAATTAAGATATGTCTCTTTAGCGTAATTCACAATTTAACCAAACAAGTAATAAAGTAATGCAATTTGGCAAGCAGACAATAAGGAGAAGAAGAAAGAAAGAGGAAAAAAAAAAATACGTAGAAAGGTCATAAATATTTGGGTAAATACATTATATTATCCACAACTATTATGAAGCGGGGAATTATAGCCACAACTATGAAAATTCAAATTATTAGCCATAACTATTGTTGCAGGTCAAGAAATGGCTAATTGTCCGTTACTGTTATTGAATTTTTAACAGAGAAGGTCACGTCATCGGCCACGGCAACAGCCACGTCGGACTGCTTTTAATTTATAGCTTTAAAACATAAAAGTTTAGTCAGTATTAATGACGGAATTGTTAACAGATAGTCAATATCTGGCTAATAATTTGAATTTTCATAGTTGTGGTTATAATTCCCCGCTTTATAATAGTTGTGGCTAATATATTGTATTTACCCATATTATTTTGTACACTATCTGTTCCCATTAATTAATTGATGTACCTTCAGTTCACATACTAACTCCAACACATATGCTATTTTGGAGGTCACTTCCCATAACCAATAATTAATTATGAGTATCGTATTGATTATATTCACATCAAGTTTATGTCACTTCCTCAAACACACCATCCAAATAATTCAACTTTCTCTATTACAATATTCTCCATATATAATCATCTCCCTCTACAACGTTGATAAATAGTAAGAAATGATAAAAACACCCAACAGTGAACAAGAATTCTCCACAATTATCTACCTCTGCAACGTTGTTAAATAGTAAGCAGACTATCTTCTGGATGTTCTTCTGAATCTTCATGAAAATTGAAAACCCAAGCCAGCTTGGATACCCGTTATTAACCATGGAAGTCATCAAAGCATTCTGTCCCAAGAGGTTTGATGATTGCGTGACCGATTACAAAGGCAACGATTTCCAGTTCATTCCGTTTGATGCCGGGAGAAGGATATGTCCTGGGTTTGATTTCGGAGTGCAGCTGGTTGTCAAGCTGACTCTGGCCAATTTGATCTTTCTTCATTTCCACCGGAAACTCCCCGGGCGAGGCAAGACCGGAGAGCGCCTTGATATGACTGAATGCTTTGGGGCATCTGTCGGGAGAGAATATGCTTTGCGTGTGATTCCTGCTCCATATATACCACGAAAATTGAATATTTTTCCTCCAAGGTTCGAACTTAATTAGCATGTGATACATGTTCTCATTTTCACATTATTAAGAGAAAAAGCTTATGGTAAGAATTGCATACATGGAAATAAAACCCCTTGTGAACGGTATCTATCAAGAAAAAAAAAAAATCATATTCCTACTTTTCATATTGAATAGTGAAATCTACTTGGACTTCTAAATATTAATAATATTTTAAATAATAATAAACATAAACTCCAACATATGCTATTTTGGAGGGTACTTCCCTTCAACCAATAATTATGACTATCATATTGATTATATTCCCAAAGGGAAAAACGGGAGCCCCATTTCAAATTTCCTGTAACGAGAGTGAAAGTAGGAAAGACATTTTGGTCTTCACAATTACTTTTTTTTATTCATTAAAAAGACACGTACTGGGATTCGAACCATGACCATTTTGAAGAAAAGCAAGAATCATAACCAATCACACTAAGTACATTTGTTATATCTTTTAAAATTAAAAACATATAATAGCATGGAGGAAAAAACCATTCCCCCATTTCAAATTCCCTGCTCCATGAGCGTTTGTAGGAAGGGTAGAATAGGGAGTATCAATTTTTTTTCTTTCCTCTATGGAACGGGTCAACTTACCGTACACATGCGGATTTAAACGGGTCCAGGAGTGTCAATTTTTTTCTTTAAGCCCTTTTATTTTTCCCTGGTGATAAAATATATATGAAAAGGCAAAAACAATACTCATTTTTATTGCTAAAATAAAAAATTTAACAATAAACTAATGCATGGTATCTAATGGGCTAACCGCTAACCATAAAATAAAAGAGTTGAATGAGTCTGACCTACTCGGGATTTGACCATCAAGTAAAACAAATGAACATCATTGGTTTGTCATTCTAAAACAAACTATTTTCTCTGGCATAATATATATTATGCTATTATTTTATATCTTAGTGGCTAAAATATAATGTATTTTAAAGTTATTCAATGGTTCAACCTCGACCAACCCAATTAGTCCAATTTTTATCATTTCAATTTTCAAATATATATTATATAATTATTTGATATCATAATGATCAAATTATAGTGTATTTTATAGGGAATCGTTTGGTATTTGTTAGTAAAAAACTAAACAGAACGATCTATTTGGTTATTTTAAACATTAAAACGATCCTAAACATTTTCAGTTCCATTTGAATTTTTATGGTTTTATTCTCGAATAAGTGATGTGAAAATGGTGAATTGCAGTCATCTCTTTTCTTTCACTATTTTTTATTTTCAAATAGAAAGTTTAAAAGTAAAGAATAATTAGAATTTGGCATGGGTCGGTCAAACATGCTGAATTTCAAGTTTTGGCCTGTTTTGATCAAGTCTAATTTATAATCACATGGTTCCTTGATACCCGATAAAAATCTCAATCCAAACCAGTTTGGCAGGTGAGTCTGTGTTTACCACCATTTTCTAGGATACGACAACGGCGGTTCCTATCCCAAATTGTGTTATTCGTTCTTGATTTCCTTAGATTTTATCATGGTCTAACAAAAACCAGAAAGCACAATGACGACAAGATGAAAGTTTTATAAAGCAAATTAATCGACTAACGGGCCGAGTAAAAGCTAGCAACGATTGTGAGATGCTCATTTCCCGAAAACCGACGGGATAAGCGATTTTTTATTCGATTTTCTGGAATTCGGTTTCTTTAAAACTTACTCCACATCATCATACTACCAGAAACAATATTGTTTCACAAGGTAACATGTACTTGATTTTGGTTCATAAGGCCGATTTTTGATTCATTGCATCATTCATGTCTCTTTCCTGCTAAAATTCACTATTTTTATCACGAATTTCCCAAAAAAAAACTATACAACAATAAGCTTTACACCCCATTATATTATCAAATTTCATACCTCACCTTCCTCCACCCAACTGACCGGGGCCACACTAGTTCAACTTTCTATATTACAATATTTCTCTATTATAATTGAAGTGGGTGTTGCATGTCAAGAATAACATGAAAAAAATATCCTCACATCATCGATCCATAACCAAATAAATAACCTGAAAAATTCTATTTAATTTGCATTCTCTTTATATAATATAATAGAGAATTGATATCTCCTATCCTTTTTTCACCCCCCAACAAATTAAATGGAACCCATTCACCCCTAAACGGCTAAACCCACCCAGCCACGTTAAAATCGGGGTTAGAGCATCTCCATCAATGCAATTGTAAAAGAAATTGCATTTATGTTTTTTATTTTTTTTTTGCATAAGAGGGAGGCCAAAGCCAAACAGAGAGAGAGATTACAGAAGAGAAGGGGGTTGCGTCACAATTTGACGCATAAGAGAGACACCCATACTATCCTCTCTAAGGATGGGAACCAAAGCAGGAGGAGGTTCGAAAAGTTCATGCATACCAGTGGGATAGACGAGACTGTGCTTCGAGAGCCAGTCCGCGGCTCTATTCCCTTCCCGGTAAACATGCCCCAATCGAACCAACCAGTCCTGAGCTAAGAGTCTCCGTATCGAGGCCAGGAGCGAAGCATAGGGGTGCACCGGATCATGACGATCATTTATCAAACTGATGGCCAACTGAGAGTCTGACTCCACGATAATGAGCGAGCATCCTACTTTCCGGGCAAGTTGAAGCCCATACAAAATAGCCCAGAGCTCGGCAAGGGCCGCCGAAGCTTGACCAATCTTAGCAACAAAACCCGCAACCCATTTCCCCATCTCATCTCGGATGATGCCACCAGCACCTGCCAGCCCCGGATTGCCCGCCGATGCCCCATCCACATTCAGCTTAAGCCACCCGCTGCGAGGAAAGCACCAATGAATGTGTGCCATCGATCTCTCCGGCCTGGGACCCTGCTTGCCCACGGTAATGGTAGGCTCTTGCCAGGCTTTGTGCCAGATGACGGCTTTCTGCTGGATAGAATGCGCTAAGGAAGGAGCAGACATAGCCATATGCAAACCTTTGAAACAACCTGTGCACCTGTTCTTCCAAATCAGCCAAATAGCAGTACTGAAAAAAGAATTCCACTGCATACCGGACTCCATCGTGTCGTCTTTGAGAATGTTCACTTGAAACCATTCTTCCTGGCTACTCTGAAAGAAGCTCTGTTGATCGGCTTGAGGAACCCATCTCAACCAGCAGAACCGAGCAGGATAGCAGTCTCGCCGAAGATGAGAAATAGATTCTTGGACATTCCCACATCTCTGACACATGGGGGAAGCTGCACATTTCCTGGAGAAGCGAAGGGCGTTAGTGGCAATCCGCCCCTGAGCCACAAGCCAGGT